AAAAATTTTTTTTTTTTTTTTTTTTTTTTTTTTTATTCAAGATATATTTGACTCAAGTGGGTTATCAGCACCATCTGATTTAACTCAGTTGACTCATTTGCATGAAGCATCAATTTTACATAGTTTAAATCTTCGATTTGATATAGACGAAATTTATACTTTTACTGGTCCAATATTAATCGCTGTAAATCCTTTTAAAACTATAAAAAATTTATATTCTGACAATATTCTGGCTAAACATGTACAACCAATAAAATCAAAAAGTCCTCACATTTTCGCTACCTCTAATAGCGCCTATTTAGGAATGTGCAATAATAATAAATCACAAACAATTTTAATAAGTGGTGAGTCTGGTGCTGGAAAAACAGAGTCTACTAAATATGTAATGAAATTTTTAGCATGTGCAGGCTCAGATATTAAAAAAAGATCGTTAATTGAAAGTCAAGTTTTAGAAAGCAATCCTTTATTAGAAGCCTTTGGTAATGCCAGAACTTTAAGGAATGATAATTCTAGTCGCTTTGGAAAATATATAGAATTACAATTTTCATTAGATAATAGAAATTATGTAAAAGGAAAATTATGTGGTGCCAAAATTTTAACTTATTTACTTGAAAAAGTTCGAGTATGTGATCAACAAGAAGGAGAAAGAAATTATCACATTTTTTATCAAATATGTAAAGCAGCACAATTTGCTAAAGAAAATAAAGAAAAAGAAAATTTCTATTTTTTTCCTTCAACACCTAAATTTAAAAATATGGATAATGTGAAACCAATAAAAATGGATCTTACTGATTTTAAAAGTCATATCCATTTTCGCTACTTAACGAAATCCAGTGTATATGAATTGAATGAAATTGATGAATTAGAAGAATTTGAATCTACTCTTTATGCTATGCAAACAATTGGAATCAATGAAACAGAGCAATATCAAATATTTAAAGTGTTAGAAGGTATTCTTTATATAGGAAATATTTTATTTAATAATGATGAAAATAAAGAAGAAGCTAAAGTTTTAGAAGTTTCAAATGATGATTTAAAAAAAGCTGCTTTTTTTCTTGATATAAATGAAGAAAAATTAAGAGATTCCTTGTGTTATAAAACTATTATTGCAAACGGTGAACATTATAAAAAACCAATAAATTCAAATATAGCCAATGATATTCGAGATGCACTGGCTAGAGCTATATATGGATGTTTGTTTTTAAAAGTAGTAGAAAGAACCAATGAATCAATAGGATTCATAGAAGATGTAAATTTATTTTGTGGAGTTCTTGATATATTTGGTTTTGAATCATTTCCTCTAAATTCTTTTGAACAATTGTGTATCAATTATACTAATGAATGCTTACAACAATTTTTTAATAATTTTATTTTCAAATGTGAAGAAAAATTATATATGGAGGAAGGAATTAAATGGAATCCATTAGATTTCCCTGATAACAAAGATTGCGTAGATATTTTAGAATCAAAACCATTTGGTATATTTTCTATGTTAGATGAAGAATGTCACATACCTTCAGGTAAAGACAAAACTTTCTGCAGTAAAATTGCTACAAAGCACTTGAATAATAAAAGATTTAAAGTAGTAAAAACAGATTCTTCTAGCTTTATTATAATACATTTTGCTGGTGAAGTCATGTATAATTCTGCAGGGTTTCTTGAAAAAAACAAAGACCAATTATCAGTAGATGCTCAAAACATCTTATTACAGAGTGAAAATCATTATGTGGCTACTCTTTTCGAAAAATACTTAAGAAGAAATATAGATAAAAGAAGATTTGTTACTGTATCAAGTGAATTTAGAGAGCAATTAAATTTATTAATGAAAAGAATAAGAGAAACAGAACCTCATTTCATTCGATGCATTAAACCAAATTCTCAAAATTTACCTGACATGTTTGATAGAATATCAGTCAATGAACAATTAAAATATGGAGGAGTTTTACAAGCCATAAAGGTTAGTAGAGCAGGATATCCTGTTCGTTTATCCCATGCAGATTGCGTAAATGATTATAAGATTCTTTTAAATAAAGAAGATAAAAAAGAATTCGCAGAATATAATGATAGATCATGGTCGCAAAAAGCTAAATTTATCTTAAATAAATTGTATCACAGCCCAGTTATACAGGAATATGTTAACAATTTAAAAACATTAAAAGAAAAGAAAGATGAAGAGGATAATTTTTTTGGAAAATATTCTAAAAAAAATAAATCAAAAGAACAAGACAATAAAAAAAACAAAGATCAGGTAAACAATGGAACATATAGTACTATTAATAATAAAGAAACAAATTATAATGATAATGATAATATTAATGTTGAAAATAATGATAAAGATAAAGAGCAAAATAATGAAACAACATTAATTTGGTCAGTAGGTAAAAATTTATGTTTTTTTAAAAGTGATGCCTTTAATATTTTATCAACATTAAGGAGTGATTTTCGATGCTCACAAGCCATTATTATTCAAAAAAATTATAAATGCTTTGCACAAAAAAAGTTATATAATTTAATGAAAACCAAAATTGTCATATTGCAAAAATGGTTTAGACATTTATTAGTTCATATAAGAAATGAAAAAATAAAAATAGAAAAAGCTAAGGAACTCATATGTTACTCAATATATGGTTATATAGTTAGAAAAAAATATATGCATACAAGAAAGTGTGCAATTTTAATACAATCACATATAAGAAGATATCTCACTTTAAAATTTTATAAAAAATACAGAGAAAACTATTATGCTAGTAAAATACAAGCAACATGGAAATCTTGTAAAGAAAGATTATATTATCAAAAATTAAAAATAGCTACTAGAAAAATTCAGTTAAAATGGAAAAGCATATTAGCAAGAAAACAATTAAGAAGACTCAAAGAAGAAGCAAAGGAAGTAGGATCATTACTATCAAAAAATCAGGTTTTGATGAAAGAACTAAAAAAAGAGAGAAATGATAAAATAGAAATAGAAAACAAATTACTAAAAGCTTCTGCTAAAATTGATAAGTTAACGAAAAAGATACAAAATTTAGAAAAAATAAACAAAAATAACGAAAAAGTAATTAAAGATTTATTAGATAAAATATCCATTTTGTCAAATAAAGAATCTAATGATTCATCAAAAAAATTATCAAAAAGTGAATTTGCAATGAATAAAACTTCAAAAAAAGAAATTGTATCAAAAAGAGAAGATGCTTACAATTCTACAGAATCTCTATCGGATATTAATAATCAATTAAACAAAGACAAAAATATAAAATTATTAAACAAAATAAAAAAATTGGAATTAGAAAATAAAGAATATATAAAACAGAATACATCTTTAAATGATCGTTACAATAAGTTACTAAATTTACTTTCTCATTTCAAAGATAAAAATAATATTATGTCTGGTAAATTTTATTATAATTCATACTTAAATAAGTTTAATAAAACATATTCTTCTTTACATAATAATACCTTTCCAGATTCCAAGTTAGAAAATAATCATGCAGAATACAAAAATGCATATAGAAGGAATGACAATTTAGTAGATATACTTTTATGTGGTCCAAAAAAAGTAGGAAAAACAAGTTTGCTAGAAGATTTGTTTGTTAGGTTAGGAGACGAAGTAAACTTAAGTTTATTAAGAAAAAATAAAAAAAATCAATTTGAAGAATCAAATTCTTTTAACTGTAACACTTATATAATAACTCACAAATCTACAAAAATTAAAATTGTAGATTGTGGTTATTCGTCTAGTAGAAATGTAGAAGAATCCCTTTTTAATTATATAAAAAATTCCATATGTATAATTATTGTCTTTGATTCAACTAATAAAGATTCAATTAATCCCGCCTTACATTTACTACAAGAAGCTTCATTAATTAATGTTAAAAAAACAACAAAATTATATCTATTAGAAAATATATTCAATGAAAAAATTAATTTGAATTTAAACACAAATGATGTTTCATATGCTTTAAGAATAGCAAAAACATGTAATGCATATTATGTAAAAACATTAGACATATATGATATTGTAAATGATTATGCTAATGAAATTACATTGCATTCAAATTATTTCCTTGATAATTTTAATAAAGAGAAAAATTTCAAAGAAGGTATTTATAATAGCATGAATAAAAGCAATTGTATGGATGATGATTCTGTTAAATTGAGTGATGTAATTTCGTCAATTGACAAGCATAGTGATTTAAAAAGTAAAAAAGATGATTTTAATTTGAATAAAAATAGTATGTACTCAGTTGTGAATACCTTAAAAGCTTTTTGTGGTATTCAAAATAAAAAAAATCAGAATGTGCAATTATTAAGAGAGTCATTACCTTTAAATAATTATGTGTACAGTAATAAAAAATATAATACGGAATTGGGTAGAGGATTGCAGCCAGTTTACGAAATAACCTTAAAAGGCAATGTTCCAATTACTTATTTATATATTGGTCAAGATTCAATAAATAAAAACTATACATTATTAGCAGTTGGTTGTAAAGACGGAATAATTTATATATATAAATGCTTTCGAACAAAATTAGAAATGAACAACGATTATTTTTTTCAAAATGATGATAATAGCAGTTTTCCAAAAAATAACAATCTGAGTGATCATTTAAACAATGATTCAACTAATGACGATAATGCCATGTCTTCTAAATTATTATCAAAATTGTCTGGTCATAAAAAAGCTATAACATGTATAGTTTTTTCTTTTTCAGAGGATAAAATTATATCTTCTTCTATTGATAGAACTATAAAAATATGGGAAGTATCCACAGGATTTCTATTAAAAGTTTTCTCTGACTCGTCAGCAACACTATCAGTTTTATTATTCCCAACAAACTTAGATATTTTTTTATGTTCTAATTGTACCTCATTGTTAAGAATTGTAAATTTAAATAGTGGTCAAGTATATCAAAAAATCAAAGTAGAAAGTGAAATCAGAGCTTTAGAAATGGATGATACATGCTTAAATATATTTGCAGGGTCAAAAAATGGAACTATTTATGTATTAGAGGTAATTTATAATGAAAGAGTAGAAATTAAATTTCGTTTTCTTTTTTCGTTATCACCTATAACATGTATAAAATTTGTTCCAAGGAGTTCTGTTAAATCTTCTCCTTGTATAATTGTCAACTCATGTGATAACCACATCGGTATAATTGAATGTATATACGGAAGCAAAGGAATATTAACAACATTATCAGTTAAACATAGAATAAGAATAAACCACGCACTACTCCCCATTAGAAATTGTTATTCAAAATTTGGTGGTGGGTGGTTAATGTCTGGTTCTGAAGATGGAAATATTTATATATGTTCATTGTTACCTCAATCAAATTATAAACTAATTTTTTTGAAACATCATAAGGTATGAAAAAAAAAAAAAAAAAAAAAAACTAATTTTAATTGATTATTTATATATTTAATTTCATTTTTTTAGGCACCCGTTATGGCTGTTGTTGTAAATGATAATGATACGTTAATGGTTTCTGGGGATTCTAAAGGAAATATTGTTTTTTGGAGAAGATCTTTTGTATAATAATATTTCTTATACTTTTGTCTATTTATTTATTAATTCTTTTTTTTTTTTTTTTTTTTTTATCTTTTTTTATTTATTTTATTTAGCTTTACTTTGTTTTATTTTTTATAATAGAAAAAATATAATAGTAAAATACTAGTCATATATATATATATTTTTAATAATATATCATGTAATAGAATCATTTAAATTTTAAACAATATTTCCATTTATTAAAAAGAATATACATATTTTTGTTTTTGAAAAATTTTTTATGTATGTCAAAATTTATTATAACTTTTACTTCTTTTAATATGCTTAAGAATAAGTAAAAATGAATTTTCTATAATAAAAAAATCTATTTATATTTTATTTTTAAATCATTCATAAAAATATCATATAAAATGTATATATAGGTATTTTATCATACTATGAATATATTCTTCTTTATGTAATAAAACAAAATTAGTTTTTTATACTATAATAATTTATCTTCAATAAAAATAAATAAAATATAAAAAGGAAAAATAATACAATTTTTTCCTTACTCCTTTGTCTTTTTTTTTTTTTTTTTCCCCTCTTTTTATCAACGAATTATCATAAATCATTTTTTTTATAGATATTTAAATAGTATTTTTTGATTTTTTCTGTAAATAAAACTTTATCAAAATTTTTATTTTATTATATTCTATATAACATGTAACCATTTTTTTTTTTTATTTTATAAACATGAATTTAATGTAATTTTGTAAAAAATTTTTCAAATAATTTTATTTAATTTATATCTACAGTGATTATAGCAATATTCAATTTAAAATATTATATAATAATTGCTACTTTAACTATAAAAAAATAAGTTTTATAAATATTTAATCATATTTTTTTTGTAAATGTTAATTTTCTACTATTTAAGTAGAAAAACTTTTTACTTTATTTTGTTTCGTACATTTCTGATTAATTTATACTATAACATAAAATGAAAAATGAAATTTTTTTTTTCATAATATGTTTTTTAACATTAAAAGTTGTGATACGTATTCTTAATGTCATAAATATGTACATTTAATAAAAAAAAAAAAAAATAAAAATAAATAAATAAAATAAAATTTAATACTTAATTTTCTTGTATGAGATTAATTTTAAGAAAAATAAAATTTTTGAAAAATAAATTCACCAAGATTGTTAATAGTTTAATATATTTTAACATCTGTGAATCATTTTACTAATTTCCTCATTTTTTTTTTTTTTTTTATTAATCTTATTGTTAAATTTTAGTTTGATAAAATATTTATAAAAAATGTAAGTGATTTTCAACAGATTAATAAAAGTATCAATACGAAGTTTGTAGGAAAATATTTTTTTCTTAAATATAAATAAAAGGAAAAAAAAAAAAAAACAAAATATAATTACAATGAAAAAAAAATGTTGAAAAAATTAACAAAAACAAAATTATAAATAAGAAATAAATTACTTGTAAGTTTGTATCATGTAAATTAATTGTAAATAAGATATAGATTAATTATATATGAGCTATTTATCAAATAATTATAAACAGGAAATACATGAAATAACTTTAATTAACATATATATATTTATATATATATATATATATATAAATTTTTAATGAGATAGGAATTTCTTAATTCTCTTCTATATAGAAGAATAAAAAAAAAAAAAAATTTTATTGATGAATATTAGATATTTTGAAAATGAATAAGAATATTGATATAGAAGAGTTAAGAAATTTAATCCAAGAAAATAGTATGAAGAAAAGGTTCGTGAAGGATATAAAAAATAATTGCGAAATAAAAAGTATAAAATTTGGAATTATGAGTAAAGAAGAAATAATAAAATATTCAGAAGTAAAAATTTTAAATAGAGAAATGTATAAAAACAATAGTGGAATTCCTTATCCATATGGTGTTTTAGATTTAAAATTAGGTGCTCATAAAAGTAATACTATTTGTGAAACGTGTAATAAAAAGCTCATAAACTGTTCAGGTCATTTTGGATATATAGAATTAAATTATCCAGTTTTTCATATAGGTTATTATAAATATATAATACATATACTATATTGTATTTGCAAAAATTGCTCCAACTTACTATTACCGAAGGAAAAAATAGAAATTTATTCTAATTTAAAAAAAAAAAATTCGGAGGATTCTTTTTATAAGAAACATTTATTTAAAAGAATATTAAATCACTGCAAAAAAGTGAACAAATGTTATAAATGTGGAAGTGCACAAGGTGTAATAAAAAAAATAATCAAACCAAGCTTGGATCAATTTATGAAATTAAAACATATTTTAAAAGTAAAAGAAAATGGAAAAATGGTTATAAAAGAAGAAGATTTAAATAGTTTATATGTGTTAAAACTATTTAAAAATATTAACCCTTTTCATGTAAAATTATTAAATATAGAAAATCCCGAAAAATTAATCATAACAGCTCTCTTAGTGCCACCAAATACAATTCGTCCATCAGTAATAATTGACGAACATGGAACAGCAGAAGATGACCTAACATGTATATTGTCAGAAATTGCTCAATTAAATAATACAATAAATAGTCAATGTACAAATGGATATCAAACAAATCAATTCTTAGGTAATGTAGAATTTTTACAATTACAAATTACAAGGTTTATTAATAGTGACTCTCCTGCAGTTTCTCAACTATTAGCTACACAAAATATTTCCAAGCCAGGTAGAGGAATATGCCAAAGATTAAAAGGAAAAGAAGGAAGATTTCGATGTAATTTGTCAGGTAAAAGGGTAGATTTTTCAAGTAGAACTGTCATATCTCCTGACCCAAATATATCCATTGATGAAGTGGTAATTCCCAAAATTATTGCTATGAGATTAACTTATCCAGAAACTGTTAATAAATATAATATTGATAGATTAAAAATGTTAATAAGAAATGGGTCTAATAAATGGCCCGGTGCCAATTACATTATAAAAAAAAATATTGATACTAATTATCAATCGAATAATGGTATTTTTGATGTTATCAAAAATTATATCAACAAAAAAAATAACAAAGATATTAACGAAGAATGTAAAAATAATCATCTAAATAAAATAAGTTTAAAATATGCAAATAAAAAATTTGTAATAGAAAATTTAAAAATAGGTGATATAGTTGAAAGACATATTTGTGATGGTGATATTGTTTTATTTAACAGACAACCATCTCTTCATCGTATGTCTATTATGAGTCACAAAGCAAAAATAATGGATTTCAAAACTTTTCGGTTTAATGAGTGTGTGTGTTCTCCTTATAATGCAGATTTCGATGGGGATGAAATGAATTTGCATGTACCCCAAACAGAAGAGGCGAGAGCAGAAGCTTTGTATTTAATGAATGTTAAACACAATTTAATAACACCAAAAAATGGAGAAGTTATAATAGCATTAACTCAAGATTTCTTATCTGCATCTTATATTATCACAAATAAAGACACTTTTCTTGATAGAGATACCTTCTGTTTATTATGTTCATACTTTTCAGATGCTAAAATAAATATTGAATTACCTGTACCAGCAATATTAAAACCAAAAGAATTATGGACAGGTAAGCAGTTAATTAGCGTTTTAATTAAACCAAATAGAAAGGAAAATACCATTATAAATTTTGAAATAAAAGAAAGAGAATATTCAACGAAAAATGGAGATTTAAAATATCTATGTTTAAATGATTCTTATGTTTGTTTTTATAAATCAGAATTAATATGTGGATCTCTTGGAAAAAAAGTGTTAGGATCTTCTAAATATGGTTTATTTTATTACTTAATTCATCATAATTCGTCTTATGTAGCTCTAAAAATTATGAATAGATTTTCAAAATTAACAAGTAGATATTTCTCTAATAAAGGAATGACAATTGGAATAGATGATGTAACTCCTTCTTCTACTCTGACTGAAAAAAAAAAAGATTTATTATTAAAAGGGTATGAAAAAGTGAATAAAGAAATTATATCTTATAACGAAAAGAAAATGCAAATACAACCAGGTTGTACCTTAGAGGAAACATTAGAAATAAAAGTAAAAAATATATTAGATGATTTAAGAAATGATGCAGGTAAAACATGTAATCAATATTTGCACTATTTAAATAAACCATTAATTATGTTCAATTCAGGAGCAAAAGGTGCTTTAATAAATATTGCCCAAATGATTGCTTGTGTTGGTCAGCAAAATGTAGCAGGACAAAGAATTCAAAATGGATTTATTAATAGAACCTTACCTCACTTTCACTTTCATTGTAAAGATTCAGAAAGTAGAGGGTTTGTTCAAAATTCCTTTTATACTGGTTTAAACCCAACTGAATTTTTTTTTCACACTATGTCAGGAAGAGAAGGATTAGTAGATACAGCGGTAAAAACAGCTGAAACTGGTTATATGCAAAGAAGATTAATGAAAGCTCTAGAAGATTTATCAATACATTATGATTACACTGTTCGGTCATGTGACAAACAAATAATTCAATTTATTTATGGAGATGACGCATTAAATCCTTCTTTTATTGATAACAATAATACGTATTCTGATCAATTTGATAAAATTTTTGATCATATTATCTCTATCTCTTCAAGTCACGCTTTGTTATCTTTTAGAAATAATACTAAAAATACAACACAGCAAATATTAGATGAGCACAATAAAAATAATATACAAAAAAATGACTTTCAAGATATTAATACATTTAATTATTCATATAAGAATAATGAACAATATCAAGATAATAACAATAACAATAACAATAACATTGTTTGTGTTGAATCAATTATATCTGAAATTATTAAAAAAATTTCATCAAAAATGAATGTAGGAAATTTATTTATACCATTAGAGCATGACAAATGTTTTATTAAAAAAATAATAGACAAGGATGAAATCATAGAAGAATATATTGAATATATGAAAGAAAAAGAGTGTTATATGAATGATTATAAAAATAATTTTTTTGTTAACCATAATTGTATCGATTCAAATAATAGTGATGTATTTGAAGAGCAACAAGTAGAAAATAAAATGAAAAATCAAAATATAAAAAATGAAAAACACATAACAAAGAAAAAAAGAGGAAAAAAAAAGAACGAAATAGAAAAATTAATTGATAAAAGCACTGATAAAAAAAAAAACAATCTGTTAAAAAATGAAAGTATATCAGAAATAGAAGAATATATAAATGATTTTGAAACACATAAAAATAAAAAATTAGATCAAAAAAATATAATAAAAGAAAATATAAATGAAACGAAAGAAATGAAAAAAAATGAAAACCTTATACATTTTTACTTACATAAAAAACAAATAAATTGTTCTAAAAATAATAGTATTTTACCACCATATGACTGTGAATCAATTCAACATTTTGTGAATGAATATAGAAATATTGTAGTAATTAAGAATCTACTAGATAAAAAAAAAATTGTTTTGAATGAAACGGAAAAAAAGATTATATGCGATAAATACAATAAAATGAGTAAAAATATTAGGAAAAAAATAGAAATTGTTAATAATATATATAGACACGAAAAGGAGAAAATCAAAAAACTAAAAGAAAGATTTAATGATGACTATTATTCTTTTTCAGATGACTCAATAATCTTTAAACAAATTAAAAAAATTAAAAGTAAAGAAAGGAAAAACCATGAAAACGATGACAACAATAATATAATAACTTGTGATAATAAAAGAAATATGATTAATAGTAGTGATAATAATTTTATAGTTAATGATGGTATAAATTGTAGCAAAAATGCATTAAATAATGAAAATGATCAAATAATAAAAAAAATTAATTTTTCAAAAGAAAAAAATTCCAATTTACATTTTAATGATATAAAGAAATCTAAAGACAAAAAGTTGTATAAAGAAATTGTAAATGAAATAAATGAAAATGATTTTTTATATGAAAATAAATATTACAAACAAATGATTAAAAATATTATAGCATTTGTTAGTGTTTTTGAATATATAGAAAGTTCTAAACAGCATTATATATTATTCCCATATGAAATTATAAAATGGTCTAATTTTTTATTAAATTACTTGACAGAAATTATTCCTACTAATATTTATATTCACACAAAATTATCTAAAAAGGAAAAACCAACACATCAAAAAAATACGCAAAATATGAAAATATATATCGAAGAAATAAAAAAATGGTTATTTATTAAAGCTATAAATATATATAAATATTTTAATTATAAAAAAGGCCTTCAACTAATAAAAAAAAACGACTACTTCCATTTCATAACACATGAATATGATATAAATTACAGATATATTATTTACGATTATTCTTTTATAAATTTAAAACAATTATATCTTTTTATTTTTTTTAATATATATAAATATTTTAAATATATTTCTGTTCCTGGTGATGCTGTTGGTTCCATCTCTGCTCAGTCTATTGGAGAACCTGGAACACAAATGACTTTGAAAACTTTTCATTTTGCTGGTAAATATTATATAAAAAATTAAAAAAAAAATTTAATTAGAAATATATTATGAATTTATGCATTATATATATTTTGATATATTTAATTATCTCATGTATTTTATTTATATACATATAATTATATGTTTTTTAAGCATATGTATTTATTATATATATATATATATATATATATGTGCATTTTTTTTTTTTTTTTTTTTCTTATAGGTGTTGCTAGTATGAATGTAACATTAGGTGTTCCTCGTATAAAAGAAATAATTAATGCATCGAGTTGTATTCAAACGCCAATATTAAATATTCCTTTAGAAGTTAATGATAATTATAATTTTGCTTTAATGATGAAATCAAAATTAGAAAAAACAACAATAAGAGATATTTGTGTTTATATAAAAGAAGATTATTCTAATAAAGGTATTTTTTTATCAATTAAATTTAATGAAAAATTAATTCAAAAACTTTTTTTGAATATTAATGCTTATAACATCAGAGATATTATATTAAAACAGAGTCATATTAATAAAATAAAAATTAACAAAATATTTATTGAAGTTATAAATAAATACAAACTACATATTTCCCTGAAAAATGATGAATTTTTGTTTTTTCAAATGGAATCATTAAAAAAAGGGTTACTTGATTTATTAATATATGGAGATAAAGACATCAAAAGGTGTATTATAAAAAAAGAAGAAATAGAAGTAACTGACAATGAAGACGAGAATGAAGATAAATATAAAACTGTTCACATGAAGGAATATAAAATAAATGAAGAAACTAAAAAAGACAAAAATAATGAAATAAATGAAAGTCTTACTCGTATAAAAAAAGAATCCACAAAAAATGTAAATGTTAAAAAAGAAAAAGACATATGTATTTTAAAAGAACAGAATATAAATGGAATGAAAAAGGAAAATGTTATTAGAAATATAGCTAATGGAGAAAAATTAGAAAATATTATAGAAAGTTTTAATAATAAAATAAATGAGCGTAATGTAAAAAAAGAAAATCAAATAATAAATTTGGATAACACAAATATGGACTCCCTTAATTTTGAAGAGATCGATATCAATAATATTTATAATGATAAAATTGAGTTTTATGATGAAAACATTAATACATATTATTTAAATGGAAACAAAAAAGAAAACAAAAAAAAAAAAAAAAAAACCATATATTCCATTTTGGTTGAAGGAAATTCTTTGAATTATGTTCTTGGCTTAGAAGGTGTTGATTTTAAACATATTATTTCTAACCATGTAATTAATGTCTTTCAAGTAAGTATTATTTTTTTCTTCTTTATATTTATACGTATATATAAATTTATTCTTGTTAATTTTTTTTTTATTAATCATAGGTTTTAGGCATAGAAGCTGCGAGAGTAACAATAATAAATGAAATCAAGAAATGTGTTGAAGCATATAGCATTGATATCGATATTAGACATATAATGCTTTTAGCAGATATAATGGCTTTTACGTTAGTATCATTTTTTTTTTTTTTTTTTTTAAGAATTATATTTTTATCTAATTTTAATAAATCTTTTTGTTTTTTTTTTTTAGAGGTGATATTTTAGGTATAAATAGATTTGGAATACAAAAGGCTCGACAAAGTACATTAATGTTAGCTTCTTTTGAAGAAACAAATGAACATTTATTTGTTTCATCATTTTTTAAAAATATTGATGAAATTAATAATATAAGTGAAAGTATAATAGTAGGGAAAAATATACCGATTGGTACAGGATCATTTCAACTCCTTTATGATTATAAATTGTTAGTTATAAACAAAAATAATATTTTAACTCATATATATACTTATTTATTTATATATTTATATATTTTATTTACAGCAATAAACAGAGGAAAAACTTGACCTTACTTGAAAAAGCTGAAAGGAAAATAATATAATTTTATCAAACATATATGCATAACATTTATTTTAATTTTATATTTGTATTATCTCTTTTATGATTTTGATTTCATATATATATATACATATATATATATATTTATGTTTGCTATATTCTTTTTATTTTAGTTGATTTATTATTTATTTCATTTCTAAACATGAATATTCAATTTTTAACCTTGAAAATAATACGTTATTATATATTTTTTTGAAACTATATTAATTTTTTATATAATATTTTCTTTTTTTTTTTTTTTTCTTTTTTTTTGCAAGTGCATAGTAATTATAAAATTCTATTAATTTTTTTGTTTGTTAATTATCAAGTGTTTGTAAAATGAACTTTTTAAAACTTTAAAAAAAATTATTATGTTTTAATTTTTTTCCTTTTTCAAGTATAACTGTAAATATTTAATAATTCATATCGTTTAAATTTCCTATAAAAATTTTAGTAACCCTTTTAAATTAAAATATTTTTTTTCTGTTTATTCATGTTTTTTATTAAACTAATAACATAATTTATACTATTTTTTAGAAATAAATCTCGCAGCAATTTATATAAATTATTAAAAAGTAAAATAAATAGAATATAAAGAATGACTGATTACAAAATTGCTGTTAGTTCTATTGAAGAAATAAAAGACATTTGTAGTGAACTATTGAACTCAAAAGAAGAAGATATCTATAATAAACTTAGTTTATATTATGAATTTGAAGATAAATTAAAAAAATTACAACCAATTATCACTCGAATAAGAATAAGAAGAAATGAAACAAATGAAGAAAAAAAAATTTATGGAGAAAAAATGATAAAAAATGTAGATGTATTATTAGAAAGGTATGATATGTTATATAATATATACGAAGAAGAACTAACAGTGTTTAAAGAAAATTATGAAATTGAAAAAAATAAAAAAATTGAAAAAAGGTTATTAGAAGAACAAAAAAAAAAAGAATATGAACAAGAAACACTTAACAGAGGAAGAATTAAAACTAAAATGGAAGAAGAAGAAATAATTAAAAAAAATGAAGAAAAATTAAGAATTTTAAAAGAAGAAAAAGAAGAAAATGAAAAAAAGATAAAAAAAATGGAAATTATAAAAGCAGTAATACAAGAAAAATGCAATTTTTTGTATGATGAAATATCTAATGCTTGTAGCAAAAAAGAAGCTATAAAATATATTTATTCTCAATTAGGTGTAAATAATAAAAATTACAATGACATAGAAGATGATAATCGTTTATGTAATTTTAGTTATTTTATTGATTGTTTGTATTTAGTTTATAAAAATAATGAATATAAGCTTTTTAAAGAAGCTATACGAAATATAATTGAATATTTAGAGGAATTAGTAAAAAATATAGATAACGAGCAATTAAAATTAATTAATCTCATGAATAAAACTTTTCAAAATAATATTTTATCAAAAAAGGGAACTTTATTTATGTTTATTTTAATTGGATACGTTTTAAAAAGACCAGAAGAAATAACTCAAATATTAAAAAAAATAAACAGGGAAATTAATAAGGAAAACATTTATATATATTTGGAAGAACCGAATATTATTAATGGTTATAAGGAATGGAAAATATGGTTTGAAAATATTCAAATGTCTTTAAATATTTTATGTACTTTTTTTAGACATGTTAACAAATACTCAGATATTCCTGATGATGAAAAAATCAAATCTATTTTCTTATATTTAAGAGAAAAGTTTGGAAATGAAGAATAAAAAAATACTTAAATTTTATTAAAGGATTATAAATATTAAAAAAAAAAAAATTAAAATAAAATGAATCAAAAAACTAACAAAACATACATAACTCCATTTTTATATTCTCTTCTTTTTTTTTAAAAAAAAAATATAATTATATATTTTATTTATTTTTTCTCTTTTAATATATTTGTTACTTTAATAAGCTGACTAAATTTTGCGCAAACATGATAATCAGACATTTTATTTGTTATATAAGTTTTTGATATATTTATTTCAACTATTTTTTTCTTTTTTTTATTAGCAAAATAACACAAATTAGTAGCTGTTGATACAGTTGAAGATGTTCCAATAACTAAAAGAATATCACATTTTGCTATTTCCTTTTCAGCCTCTTTCAAAAGATCTTTTGGTATAACTTCTCCAAATAAAACCACATTTGGTTTAAATATTCCTCCACATGGACATTCAGGTGGTAATTGATGCATAAAATGAGAAGTTTTTTGTAGCATTATTTTATTTAATTTTACAATTTTATTGCATGTACAGCAACAAGCTTCAAAAACATTACCATGTAATGGAATTACCTTTGTGTTTCCACTTTCTTCATGTAACCCATCAATATTTTGTGTAATTACTGATTTTAAATATCCCAAATTTTCTAATGTTGATAAAGCTATGTGTCCATTATTTAGTTCTATGTCATAATCAGATGAAATATCTCTTATTACTTCCCATATTTTTTCTGGGTATTTCCAAAATCCCCATATTGTTCCATAAATTCTTGGATCATATTTGTTCCATATGGAATTGATGGAACCACGAAAACTTGGTATATTACTTTCAGCTGACGTTCCTGAACCTGTTAAGGCAACAACATATTTACTATTTTTTATTAGTTCAGCCAACTCCTCCAGAGTCATGTTTTTTGTTTCTTTCTTTAAAGTAAATATCATTAAATTTCCCATTGTTATTTTCTTTTATAACATTTTCAATTCTGTCTTCTTCATCAAAAACTTCTTATAGTAGCTAAAATATTGTTAAAAACTTTTCCTATATAAGACTATTGTAATGATCATCAAATGACCTTTTTTTTTTTTTTTTAATCTATATTTTAAATATTAAAAAACCTAGAATAATTTATTTATTATAGAGTCAAATAAACATCAATATGAAAAAGTTTATTATTAATTTAGTAGCTATTTATACATTAATAAAAATAGTAATTCTAAAAGGTATATAAGCTACGTCTATAAGTATATAAAATTTAAAAACCTTTTTTCATAAATAAAAAATATGTTAATTTTATATTCACATAAAAAAAAATAAAAACTGGAAAATAAAGAATAAACTATTAATGGAATAGTGTCAATATAAATGAAAAAAGATTTTCATTCTTTTTTTTTATCTACTGTAGTATTAAATTTAATTGAACTATTTTGTGAAATTTTTAGTAATAAAAATACTATAATAATTATGTGTACTAATAATAAAAACAATGCAAAACAGAACATTTTTGTATTCAAACTCAAATCTTCTATCTTCATAGAATTCATGTTAAAAAGAAAAATTTTTAAATTAAATCAGGTTATAAAATAAATTAAACAAAATAACTATGTGTAGGTATTAATCAGTTATTTAAATATTATAAAAAAAACATTTCATTTTCCAAACTTTTCAAATTTTGATTATTTCAAACTTTTTTCTTATTAACTTATATACATATTTTAAATTTTCATTTATTTTCCTAAAATTACATAAAAAATAAAATATGGTGAAAACTTAATTTTTTTTTTAATAAAAATTAAAAATAATTTTGTAAAATCTCATGAATAATGCGAAAAATTTAGCGTAATATCGATGCACCTTATTTTTTTTTTTTTTTTAACTTGTAAAATTTGAGATAGTAAATGTTTATTATACTCTACCATTTTTTTTTTTTTCATTCACTTAATATATATACACATGTCAGCATTTAAATATATTATAATAAATAATTCCTATGTTTACAATTATAAAAAGGTGTTAATAAATTATTTTTTTTTTTTTTTTTTTTTTTTTTATCATAATAAAATATCATACTAAAAAAATCAAAATGGGAAAAAATACATATAAATAAATTTATAGTATTTTTATTGCATGTATACAAGATATATAAAATAACTGAAAAAGAAAATTCCCATGCTAAAAATAACTTTTTTTTTTTTTAAAAAAAAAAAGTGAACTATTAAGATACGATTTAAGTAAATTTTTTTTTATGTTCTCCTCCGTTTTGTTACGGCAAATTCAACATTACTTAACAAGAAGCTGCCTAATGGCGTTGAAAATACCGGGAATATAAAGGAGAAATCAAGCATTTATCTTTATGCATTTCTTTTTTAATTTTACTTAAAAAATAAAAAAAGAAATGGTTTAAAAGATAAATAATGATTCTTTATTTAGGTTAAAAAATAAATAACGATATAATATAAAAAGAAAAATTAAATCGCTGAGTGTAATTTAACCAGTACATTTTTTTTTTTTTTTTTTAAATTTAAATTCTAGTGTACGTATTTTATATAATTTAAAATTTTTATTTTCTCTTATTCTGTAATAATTATTAAAAAAACTGTATCTTTTTAAAAAGTACATAATATATAAAATATATTTATTACAAATCTTTACTTTTTTAATTTTCATAATACCTCTTTACTCATGAATATTAATATTCAAAATTAACACTTAAACTATTAAGAATATAGTACTATGTATATTTTTTAACATCAAAATCGTACTTATTTTTTTTTATAGAACCAACCCCCTACTCTTTCAATTTCTTTTAAGGTCAAAATTATTTTTATATAATCATTAATTTCTGAGCACTTTTTTTTTTTTTTTTTTATTTATATATAGTCCTTTTCCTTTTTGGTCCTTTAATTTATTGTTTTATATATAGAGCTTTTTCTTTTTTAAAATTTTTTTTACATAAAACTTTTTTCACCACATTCCAAATTTACACTAAATCATATAAAATTTTTTTTTTTTTTTTAATATAAATATATTATATATTAAAATTAATAAAAACTAAAGAAAAAAAATAGAGATAATAAAAAATTAAAATATTATATAAAACATGTATTTTGATTTACCATATTCTTCCTATTAACATTTTATTTTATTAAATATTTATAATTCTATAAAAATGTTCATATGACATTAAATTTACCGTAAATTTACTTTCATTAAAAATGAGAAAAATATAGATAATTATTTATACACTTAAAATGTAAAAAAAAAAAAAAAAATTCTAATTTTAAACTTTTTTTGTTTTTGTATATAATAAAAATATAGGAAATTTCTATAAATTATTAGAAACATTTTTATTTGGAATAAAACCTCGAACTAAAAATATTTAATAAAATGAAAAATATAATGTTTTATTATTTATTGAAAAGTGAAATTTTATACACGCAAATATTTTTTTTTTAATGAAATTTTCAAAGAAAAATATTTTTTATGAAATACAATCTTAAAACTGTTATGATTATTTTTTTTTATCCTTATAATTAATATTATAATTTATTTAATATTGTATTGTCCTTTAACTTTTTCTAATTCTTATTTTTGAGAAAATAATAGCATTATATATATCAAATTAATTTTATAAAATTTTCAAGAAAAATTCAAGTTATCAAATAAAAAAAGTACAGTATTCATAAATATTCCTTTTATTTTTACAATATCAACATCATTATTCTTTAATTTTAAAATATGATCTTATACACTTAAAAATGGGTAATAAATTATAAAACTGTATATGCATCATAAAATTTTTACTTGGTTATTATATAAAGGAGGTATATATTCTTTTAAAAAAAAAAAATAAATAAATATGGGTGATGTTAAATTTTAAAAACACTTCATAGTAAATTTTTAATATTATTACAATTTTTTAAATTTTATTTTAAATAAAGCATTCTTACTTCAACTATTTCATTTTTTTTTTTTTTTTTAATTGACCTATTTTTAAATATTTTTTTTCTTTTAATTAAATGTGTTTAAAATATTATAATTTCTTAATGTCTTTTTCTTTTTTTTTTTCTTTATTGTGGATTACAATCTTGTGTATTTTTTTAAAGTATACAGCAAATAATTTTTTTAATCCTTTTTTTTAATATAAAATTAATATATAATTTTAATAAATTTTTTTTAATTTAAATTATAATTTCACTTGCCATTTAATAATTATTAATTAAATAAATACGTAGTATATTCTTAGGTTAGACATCTTTAAAATATATTTTTTTTTTCTTGTGTTTTATAAAAAGTGTGCAAATTTTTGAAAAAAATTGAAATATAATTAATATTTTCACTCTACTGTATGATAGCAACTAATTTTTTTGTTTTTAGATAATTTATATATAATATTATGGATGATGAAATTTTAAAAACTTTAACTGATAGGGAATTAAAAAAAGTTCAATAAAATAATTATCAATATAATAAAAAATTATAAGGATGTATTAATTATAAAAAAAATTTAAATTAATATTTAAATTGCTTTTTATTATAATCTTTTTAGATAATTTTAAACGAAGCTAAAAATATTTTATCTCAAAGAAAACTCACCGAAAGTGAAAAAGATGGAATACTTCAAAAGAATAAAAGCTTCGAAAGTTTTTTTAACATAGAAAATACTGAAAAATCTGAAGGGAAATCAGAATATAATGAAAGAAAACCAACAACACATGAAAAAAATGAATATTTAGAAAATAAAAATAAGAATTTTTTCAATCTACAAGATTTTTCACTTAAATATTCCGAAACAGTTTATTATAAAAAATACACATTATTAATACAAAATTTTTTTTTAATTTAAATAAATTTTATTTTATCAATATCTCATTTTTACTTTATTTTTAAATTTTTCTCTTTATTTTCATTTAAATTTTTTTTTAATTATTTACAGTGTAAAATAAACAACCTTAACTATGAGAATATTGAATATGAATTGATAATATCTTTTATAAATACATTTAATAATGGTAATATATATATATAATATATAATAATTTTTATATTATTCCTTTTTTTTTTTTTTATACGATAATGTCTTAAAATTATATAGAACTAAAATATCAATTAAAATTAAATAATATTAATAAACAAGAGGATAAAGAAAATAATATCATTCATAAAATGGTCAAAATTTTCATGGACAAACTTATTTTTTATTGTACACATCCCATAATTTTTTTATCACAAAATAATAATAATAACAGTTTATTTGAAAAAGAAATAATTAGCCATATTGAAAATTTTTTTAGTAAGCATAAAAAAAATTAATATAAAAGTAACTTTAAAAATAATTTAAATGTGTTTCTTTTCCGAAGAACAATTAGAAGAAACTAATGATAAAGATATTTTATTTAAAAATTGCTTGAATGAAATATTAAAAAATATTTTTAATTTCAAACCTAATCGTAAGCAATATATTTAATTTATGTATATATTTTTTTTAATGTTATTTATATTTCACTTTTTTTTAAATTTCTTATGTTTTTTTTTTTTTTTTTGTAGTATATTATATCACACCATTTACTTTTGTATTTTTAAGCTTATTTTATTTTTTTATAATTATCCTTCATTTTCTTTTAAAATTTTTTTCATCATATATATGCACATTTGTTTTTTTTTAATTTATAATTGATATACTATTACATATTTTTTTATGTAATGTCATCTGTATTCCACTGTACATAATAATATATCATTAAATTATTTTTTTTTTTCATTTTAACAAGCTGACGATATAGTTAATTGGATATCCAGACAAGCTTTTGTTGATCTTATTAAAATCATAATTGAAGAAAATATAAAAAGGAATGAATTATGTAATAATAACTAACCAAAAAAAAGATATATATATATAATTTTTCGTTTTATAAACTCGAAATATTTTTATTTAGGTGTTATATGTACTACTGATTTAATAAAAAAAAATTTTAAAAATTTAGATTTTTTTCAAGTTGACAACGTTGTTGTCCTAATAGAAATAGTTCAATATGCAATAATTTTTTTAGTAGAAAAAAAATATAGTATGGTAATATATAAACACTCGTCTTAATTTCTTATATTAAGGCAATATTATATATATAATTTTTTATTTAACAGAAGAATTTTTCATTAAAAAATGAAAAATGGTTTGAACATTTTGGAGATCTAGTATAATTAAAGCAAAAAAAAAAAAAAAAAAAAAAAAATTCTTAAAATTTTTTAACATTTTTTTTTTTTTTTTTTTTTTTTTTTTTTTATAGCTACAATTATTAAAAAATAGCGAATGGAAAATATTTTTAAATCAATTAATTGCAATTGAAACCTTTCTTTATGATAAAAAAAGGGAAAATATTAAAAAATCATTTAATGAATTATATAAGCATAAAATAGAATTTGCATCTACTAAAAATAGCTCCTACTCAAGATGGTTTAAAATAGAGATGCCATTATCAATAAATTTATTCAAATAAATATATTTTAATAAAATAAATAATAAGTACAAAAATTTATATTTAAAACAAACATAAAGTTTATATATAAAGCTTTTCTCATACAAAATTATTTTTGTAATTTTTTTCAATGTGATCAAATAATTATGAACAAAATATAATTACTAGAGATATAATAAAAATGTGGAAGTATGAAAAAAAAAAAATTATAAAAAATTTATTTTTCTCAAAATACTTCACACGCACACAAAAAATTGCATGTATACTTTATTTGCTCAGATACTTAAAAAAAAATGATATGAAAGAACTTTCTTCCTTTTTATTCGTCTTCTACTTTTTATTTTAAAAAGAGAAAAAAAAAAAAAAAAAAAATGAAAATTACTCGTATTTATATTTTAATATGTATAACGTACATTAAAATTATTTTAGTATTTATTTTTTTTATGTTATTAAAAATAATTTATTGAAGAACTTATATTATATTTGTAAACACCTTATATATATCTAGATATATAATTTTACATCTTTTTTATCAATTAAAAATATAATACATAAAAATAAATTCAGTATAATAAATTATTGTATACATAAATAGAATATAACAAAATAAAATAAAAGTAGAATTAAGCTTAGTATCAATTGAAATAATAAAAAAAAAACATAATAATACAAGTTTTTAAATAAACAGTAGTAAAATATTAATGGAATAAAAAATTTTAATATATAAAAATATATACATACTAGCGAATACGGCATTTTACTTTATTATTTTTCTACTTTATAATACATATGTTACTTCACTATTTCCATATCCCGTTATATATATATATTTATATATATTTATTTTTATTATTTTAAAATTTTTTAATCCCCTTAAAAATATTTTTTTTTTTTCTGAGCCTTTTTTACCTAACTTCCATTTATTTTTTTTTTTTTTTTTTTTTGCACGATTTTTTAAGTTCTTTTAAAATTTTATTTTTATGTGGCTCAGCTAATTTTTTAATTTCTATAAATTTATCATTTTAATTTTTATACAATATTTATATCTTCTTATGTTAAAGTATGACTTTATAACTTCCATATAAATCCTTTCTTTATTACCATATAAGCGATTGAATGTATAAATGTAACATATAATCTCATTTTTTCATTGCTTATATGAAGTGTATTAAAGATTATTTTTTACATTCGAAAGTATGTAAAATTACGAAGTTTTTTTTTATAGTAATTTTTTGTTTATAAAATTAAAAAGATTTATTCAAATTATATTAAAGTGAATAAATTTTTTTATTTTAATATTACATTTTTTTTTTTTCTTTTTTAGTATATGTTTGTCTTTTTTTTTCTCAAAAAAGATATACACACATTTATATATATATAATTTTTTTTAAATAATGTTATATGAATCTAAGATAGAATGTAAAAAAAATCTAAAGGATGTGTGTGAAAATAATTATAATGGAGAATTAATGAAAAAATCAGATGAATTAATGAATTTAATAAAAAATGAAAATGAAATAAACTCAAATGAGGAAATAATAATTGAAAATAATTCAAATTATCAGAATGAACATAATAAAAAATTAATTAATTGTGATTCTTTAAACGTGAATGACAAATTAAACTTAGAGTGTAGCCTTAGTAAAGAAGATGATGAAACAATAAAAAACTCAAAAGAAGAATCAAAAAACAGAAATAATGAAGAAAGACATATAGAAGATAATTATTTAAAATATGATGATGGAAATCCAGAAATAAACTTTTTTATTAATAAGGACAATTTAAAAATAGCTAGATATGCTTGGAAAGCAAAAAATCCCAAAGCTTACATTTTTGCCTTACATGGAATAACCTCTCATTTAAGAAATGAATATCTAAATTTTTTAGGTAGACCTAAATGGGTTGACGAAAAAATAAATGAAAAAAAAGAAAAAAAGAATAAAGAAAATGAAAATGAAAATGAAAAAAATGAAAATGAAAAAAATGAAAATGAAAAAAATGAAAATGAAAAAAATGAAAATGAGAAAAATGAAAATGGAAATGAGAAAAAAGAAAATGAAAATGTTTTTGAAGAAGAATTATTAAAAGATAAAATAATAAATAAAAATATAAATAGTGAAGAAATTAATTGTATAAATGAAATATGTAATAATTGTAAATATGAAAATAACACTAATCAGAATACAAAAAAAAGTAATGATTCTATTAAAACATCCCCAGATAACACTTATGAAAAAAATGATTTTTACACTGTAAATATAAATTATGAAAGTACTAGAAGTAATATTTCAAATAATAATCTAAATTGGAATGAAGATAACGAGCAAAATGAAATAAAATACAATAACGGAAAATCTGATGAAAAAAAAAATGATGTTGAACTAGAAATGAATGAAAATAATTATATTTCTAATAATAACAAAATAGATGTGAATAATGTAGTGGATCCTAAAGAAAAGGATATAAGTATATTCTGTAATAAATCTAACTTTTTTAAAAAAAAAGAATCAAAAGAAAAAATGCAAAGTTCTATATCATCTAATAACACAAGTTACTCCCTTAAAAATTATATAAATAATAGGAAAAAAAAAAAAAAGGAAGAGAAAGAAAAAAATAAATTAAATAGTAATTTTTTTAACGATTGTGCTAATGAAAATACAGAGGAAAATGTTCAAACTAAAAAATTTAGTTATGATAGCAATTCAGAAAACAAAAAAGATTCCTCTATTTTAGAAGCACAAAGCTTATCAAAAGATAAAAAAAAAAATTTTCGATATTCAAGTGCTGAAGGATTTGGTTTTTCTATTTATAAAATGAAGAAAAAAGGTTCAAAAAAGGAAACAAAAAGTATATGTGAAACTAATTCATTAGATGGTGAACCTAATAATTCGGATACCTCCTTTTGTAGTTCATCTGAAGTAATTAATAAAAGGAATTTAGAAAAAAAGTTAACAATGTTTTTATCATGTTCTTCTTGTGTATCAAGTTTTATAGAAGATACACATACACTAAACGACAGAATAACAAGTGAAAGTTCATGCAATGAATTTCCCACGAATAAAGTTGTAGATGATGATAATGTATTATTAGTAGATAAAAATGAAACAGGAAAACCTTATGATTCTAATGTGTACTATTGTTCTATGTGTGGTATATGCGAATACTGTAATTGTGGAAATAGAAGCATATCTTATAAAAATAGTTGGATAGAAAAATTAAATCAAAATAATTTTTCGTTTTTTGGTATTGATAATCAATCTCATGGTTTATCAGAAGGATGGCAAAATCAAAGATGTTATGTAGATGATTTTGATAATTTTATTATTGATGCAATTCAGGCCTTAGAAATTTTAATAAATGAATGGAAAGAAAAAAATGAATTAAAACCAATCATAATTATGGGATTATCAATGGGTGGTTGCATAGCTTTAAGAACATTAGAAACTATATTTAAGTTAAATAAAGAATGGAAAAATTATATAAAAACATTAGTACTTATATCTCCCATGATATGTTTGGGAAAACAAAAGAGTAAAATTACCAATAGACTTTTATTTTCAGCTTCTAAATTCCTTAAATATTTCTTTCCACGCTTAAAAGTTAATGTAAAAGAAAGCAATGCTTTGTATCCATGGTTAAAATATGATTCTCAAATAGATCCATTACATTACTGTGGTCCATTAAAAATAAAAATTGCAGCTGAATGTGTAAGTGCAGCTGATAACTGCTTAGATTATAGTATTCTAAAATATGTAGAAGAAAGTGATGTTGATATTATTATCATTCAGTCGAAATATGACTGTATTGTTGATCCATCAGGTACTATTAACTTTATGAAAAAAATGGTACGTTTATGTAAAAAAAAGGGAGAAAAATTAAAAGAGAATATAAAAGAAAATATTAAATATAGTCAAGAAAGAAGCTTTAATACTAAGGAAGAAAAAGAAGATGAAATGAATAACAAAAAAATTTATAATGATGATGAAGTAACTTCAAATATTGAAAAAAATGAAGATATTAGTAATATAAGAATTAATAATAATTGTAGTAATGAAAATAATGATATTAGTAAAATATATGACAAAACGGAAAATGAAATTAATTATAATCATGAAATAATCAGTGACTATTTAACAAATAATTGGGAATCTGATAATAAAATTTATGCAAATATAAATTTCAATGAAGAAATAGAAAAAGAAAAAAAACTTACATATGATGATTTAACAGAAATATCAAAAAAAACAGACTTACAACTTATGTCGAGAAAAACCCTTAATTACTCAGATATTATGTATAATTATGATGAAAAATATTCCCTTCCCGTAAAAAATAAAATGGAAATATGGAACTCTTTTGATCATGGTTTTTATAAACACATTAAATTAAAAAAAAATACAAAAAGTAAAAATGATTTTTCATCAGATGAAGAAAAATTTAAAAATTTAACTATTTATATTTTAAAATATGGTTGTCATACCTTACCGGTTGAACCAAATACAAAAGAGACAGCTAACATTTTAGTTGATTGGCTTAATAATATACATGAATAATCTTTTTTTTTTTTTTTTTGAATAACTTTTAATTTTCTCAATAGTATGTTTATTATAAATGTTGATATATTTATAACAGTAATTATATATATATATCAACATTATTTTTCCAATTCTTTTTTTACGTATTTATTATGAATTCTTTTAATTTAGTGTTATTATTATTGCTATATTTAAATTTTTTGTGTATTATTTTTTTCGCGCGTATTACTGTTCTTACAATTTTTTTTATAATTTTTTTTTTTTTTTTTTTTTTTTTTGTGAGCACAAATCATTGCTTGAGTATTAATGATTTTTTTATTGTAAAATATTATATATATATGTATATCTTTAATAAAGAATAAAGTGTATAAACGATGAAATTGATATAATTTCTAACTTTCATTTAAAATGAGTTTTATCACTTTTTTTTTTTTTGATTTATTTCGTTTATAACGTTTTATTTTTATTTATATTTTTTTGTAATTAAAAAAGTGTGGAATATATACTTTTCTGTTAATTTTTTTTATTATTTTTCTTTCATTTAAATTTATCTAATTTTTTATTTTTACTTGTTTTAATTAATAGTTATATATTATATAGTATCTTATTTTTTTTTTAACAAAGCTAAAATATATTATTATTTTTAATATAAACAACAGTAGTTTATGAATTCATTATTATTTCTTAAACTATTCTTTCACTTTTTCTAAAATGTTAAGCTTCACTTTAGAAGCTCACTCGCACCATTATTTTTTGAATTTAATAAGAAATATATATTCCTCTTATTTTAAATCTGAATTTTAAGGAATTAAAATATAAAAAAAAAATATATTTTAACTTTTGTTTTTTTAGGATTTATCTACTGCTATAATTTTTTTATTTCTTTGTATTATATCTTATAATTTTTTTTATTCATATATTTTATTGTCGTTAAGCATCATGTTTAAATTTAACTAAAAGATTTTTTTAAATTCAACTGTTCCTCTTTTATAATTCATCTTTAAAGTTATTAAAAAATAAAATATGAAAACTTACAAAATTGTAGTTAAACATTGAGAAAACGTAAAAATAATTATAGATAATATAAGATGAATGTAAACAACAAATTTTTTTTGTAAGAAGAAAAATTTTTATTTAAATGTTTATTTTTAAAATTTAATTTTTTTTTTCTTTTTTTCTTCACGTGATAATGAAAATAAATAAAAATTTAAAAAGAAATATTTACAGTCACATTTTTTCTGTATAAAAATACAATTATAATATATAGCTACAAAAAAAAAAAAAAAAAAAAAAAAAAGCAGTTATAAGTTATTTGAATTTTGTTTCAATTTAACATTTTGATTTTTCTGCAAAATATATATTCTATAACCTTATCAAAATAATTAAAAAACTATAAAAAGAGAATTATATGCATATGTATATGATACAAGAATCATGATTAATCTGAGAATTTTTTCTTGTGGTGGAATAATTAAAGAAAATAATAAAAGAATTTTAATAAAAACCAATTTGAACTATTTTAGTACATTAAAAAATCATGAAAAATATTATCGTAAATTTATATGTCCGTCTAACAAAATTTGTATAGGACCTAAGAAAACTTTTTTTAACCTAAATGTAAATCATATCAATGCCACATGTAAAATTATAGATAACTGTACCATATATAATAAAAAAAAAATTCTGCAAAAATGTGTAAATTTTAATTCTCTTTCCAATAATGAACATAGTGATACAAATTTATTTTCTAATTTAAAAGGAAAAGAAGAAATGAAAAAAAACAATGTAGATGACAATGGTAACAATAATATGAATATAGAAAAAAAAAAAATGAATTATGATATTAAATATTTAAAAAAAAATGAGAATATTCCTTACGATAAAAATGGAAAATCTAAAAGAAATAAACTTTTTAAAAGAAATTATTTAAAAAATATGCATTCTTTGTTATTGACAAAAAAAATTAAAGAATCCTTAAATGGTTTGAAAAGTAGGCATAGTTATAAAATATTAATGAAAAGAATAAAAATAGAAAAAAATAAGATAAATTCTATTTTAATAAAATATCAAATAAAAAAAGGAAACCTAAAAATTAATTTCAATGAACATATATATAGAAAAGCAATAATTAACACAAAAACTAAAATTTTCACCTTCTTAAAAAGAAATAATAATAAATCATTAATGGATATATATTACGAAGAAAAAAAAAAATATAAATTAAGAAAACAAAAATTATTTGAATTACAAGAGAAGTTTATCAAAAATTCTAAAATAGCCCAATCAAGTATTAAAAAATTTTTTAAAAAATACGGCTATGTTGGCCTAACAACTTACTTTATTATATTTTTAATAACTTTTTGTTGTTCTTATTTTTGTGTCCATTATAAATATATATCTTTATCTGATTTAAAATATGTGTCAGAAAAAATACATTTAAACAAATATATTGATGAAGATTTACATAAAAAAATAGATTCGTTGTGGGGAGAATTATTATTTGCATATATAGCTTCAAAAATATCAGAACCTTTAAGAATAGTTATTACAATTTTAATTACCCCATATATTGCAAAAGTTATCAGATTAAAAAAAAAAAGTAGAATACTTTAAATTTTTTATAATTAAGAATAATTCGTCTAATATGTTTTGTATTTTTGAAATAATTTTTTTTTTATATCTAAAAAGAAAAATTTTTACAGATATACAAAAATTAAATTGAAGACATATAGAATTCATTTATATATATTAAAAGAATATTTAAAATAATTTTCTCTAATATTTCATAGAATATTTTTCTTTTTAAAAAAAAAATACTTATTATACATTTGTTTCATAATTCTTGAAAACATAATATTTCTTTAAAATAGATTATTAAATGTGTTTTTTTTTTTTTTTTTTTTTTTTTTTTTTAAAAAAAAAAAAAAAAAAAAAAAAAAAAAAAAAAAANNNTTTTTTTTTTTTTTTTTTTTTTTTTTTTTGTGTTGTTCAAAGAGAAAAAAACAGTTGTAGATGATAACGAAAACAAAAAAAATTGTAACCCCTTATGAATCAAACATATACAAAACAAAATATTTGATAACATATATATATATATATAATATACAAAAATAAAAGTTTTTATAAATAACTTCATATGATTTTACTTCATTATATTAAACTTTATAAAAAAAAACAAAATACGAAAAAACTCTTGTAATTTAAAATACTTTTTTTTCAAAATACACTTTAAAATTCTCTTCTTTTATATAAAAAAACGTATGTATGGACTTAATTTTTGTCTACAAATTATTTCCATTTATATATATATACATTTTTTCTTCTTTTAAAATAAATAAATTTTATCTCGACATAAGCTACTTTAATTTTCTTTTTTTCATAAACTTGATTTCCTTTTTGAATATAACAAAATACATTGAATTATATAATTTGCACGCATGCACACACATATTAAAAAAAAAAAAATAAAATAAAAACAAAAACTCATATAAATATCTTCTAAAATTAAATAACTTATATGAAATAATAAAATATGAACAGTACATAATATTAAAAGGAGTATTTATTTTTTTATCATTTTTTAATCTTTTCAAAACAAAATAAATATGCGCAAGAAATTCCTTTTTTTTATTCTAAGTTAAAAGAATAATGAAATGATTTATTTCAGACATAAATATTTTTAAAGGAATCTTAAAAAATAGAATAGATTATTCTCCTTTTCTTATATTCACAATACAATAATCATAGTCATATATGATTTATTCAATATTTAATTCTTCATATATATTTTATCATAACATATACAAATAGTGTTTCATGCAAGCATTTTTACTAAAAATTACTTTCACTTAATTGAATAGTCTTCCTTAATATATTTATATTTTTAAAACATATCAAAAAATATTCTTTTTTTTTTTTTTTTCTTAATTACATATTTCTTTTTTAATTTTTCTTTTAATATTTTTTTTTTTATTTTCTTTACGCACATAGAAAATCTTAGTTTATATTGTATTAATAGAAACATAAATGAATAATTTTCAAAAAAAAATTTACAATTCTAATTTATTTATTATGACGATTAGAAATATCACCGCGGCAAATACTAATTAGAACAAAAAAAAAAAGTAGTGATTATAACATATTATATACATTTTATTTATTAAATATGTTTTGTTTTTCTTAAAAATTAAAAATTTTGATTTAGATTATTAAGTGGGAATATATTTATATAAATTCGTATATATTTATATGTTTTTTTTTTTTATATATATATATGAATAATTTACAAAGATTAATATTTTTTTTTTCGTAATTTTTATATAAAGAAAAAAAAAAAAAAAAAATAGTAATTTTAATTTTTGTGTATATAATATATATATATATATATATATATATATATACTTAAAAAAAAAAAATTATTAAAAATAAATAGCACAACATATAAAACTATAAAAAATTATTAAAAATTTTTTAAGAATTATATTTTTCTTTTAAAATTTGATATATATATACTTTTTTATTTTTTAATATGTTCCCAAAAAAAAGGAAAAAAAGTAAAGAAATAATAAATGATACATAGTAATGTTTTTATTTAAGTAGAAATGTTAAAAAAAATATATTTTGAAGAACATTTTTTTTTAAATATATAATTAATACAAATGTTTTTTGAAAATATATAAAAATAAATTTAATGTCATTTTAATATTTTTCCATAAATTGGGGAATTTTTCTTTTTAATTTTTTTTTTTTTTCATATTATTTTTTTACCTTTTTTTTTTGTAAAAAAAATGTCGTTAAAAAATCAANNNNATGTAAATGAATTAAATGAAACATTATTTAATGAAAATTATAAAATTAAAGGAAATACAACAGAAGTCGAACTAATGGAAACTATTGAAAATTTCAGTGATGATTTAGTATCCAATAATGATTCCATTGACAGTAACCAAAGCGTCAATATATCAAGCAAAAAAGCTAATGAAAAAGGGAATGAAAAATCAAAAAAAGATAATTTTAAATGTAATAGGAAAAAAAATATATCAAGTTCTAATAGAAAAACAGAAAATTCTTATTCAAATATTCCACAAATATATGAAACATATGATTCTAATGTTAAGGACGAATTTCATTCAGAAAATTCTAATGAAGAACAAAATGAGAAGAATATTTTTTCAAATGTCTTAGCTATTTTATACATAATAATAGCAATAGGTAAATATAAAGAAAAACATATATGTATATATTAATATATTTTAATACTTCTTTAACTATTAATAATTTGGAAAAAAAAAAAATAAAAAGAAGTTAATGTTTTTTTTATTTTTTTTTTTTTATAAAAATATATATTATATTTTATTTATATTTCTTTAGTTATAATTTTACACTTATATCTAAATGAAGATCATGTAATTATAAAAAATATTACCATATTAAAACTGAAATTTGTTGGTTTAATAAAAAGAATACCAATTTTCAAAAATTTAATGAAGACTGTTACTTTAACTGTGAGAATTAAAAAGAGAAATTTTTTGTACATTAATATTTAGTATATAAGTTAACAATTTTTGTTTATATGAAGTTTTATTCAATATATGTAATATCATAATTTATATATATATATATATATATTTTTTTTTAGAATAAGAAAATTAATTACTTTTTGGATAATATAACAACTAAATCTGATTTAATGAAACCTTATATGGAAGCATTAAAACAACTAAATACAGAATTTTCTATTTTATTTATTATATTGATTATAACTTTTTTCACAGCCACATTTATTTTACATATAATGTATGGTCTTATGACTATGAAGCAAGAAAAAGATAATTCAGAAAAGGAAAACGTTGTTTTAGTTACAAACAAAATGACTGTAGAAGAATATGAAGATAAATCATTTACTTATAGTGAATTAGCAAAATTGCATGAAGATAAAGATTATATATGTCTAAAAAATAAAAGAGCAGGTGAAGGAATTGAATCATGGAATTGGCAAGTAAGAAAATTTAAAAATGAAAAAAATGATAATAATGATAACGATATTTGTAGTGATATTGAACTTTCTGATATGGATGAAAATTGACTATCTTTTTCTTTTTAATTTTTTATATATATTGTATAAAAATAAAATATTAAATTATTTAAAAATTTCAATCCTTGATTATTTTTCATTCCATATTTTTATTTGTTAAATATTTGAAATTCAGATTTAATATTTAGTCGCTGTTTATGTTTTTTAAAATGTTATTGTTCTTTTTAAATTCATAAAAAATGTGAATTTATATGTTTTAATAAAAAAAAAAATAAATAAATAGAAAAAACAAAAAAATTTAAATAATATATATATCATATTAAAAAGAATATATTATGAAATAAGCTCCTTTAACCAATAAATGCATTTTTAACACCATATTTTTATGTGCATCATTATTTTTAACATAAAAAATGATAAAAAAAAAAAAAAAATGTTCAAAAAAGCGATGTTGTTATTTACCTTTCTCATTTATTTGGTCAACATTCGATATTAAGGTTGTGAATATCGTAAAATCACTTTAAATTCATATTTTATTGTTTTTAATTTTTTTTTTTTTTTTTTTTATATGTAATTTTTTTATTATGTTTTTTTTATATCTATTTGATTTATTATTATTGCATATTAAATAATAGTAATATATTAAATAATCAATTAGATAAAGCTACCATTTTTTAATATTGTATATATATATATATATATAATCTCATATTTTTCATATAAATATATATTTTTGAATATTTACAAATATTGTAGGTAATGTTTTAAATCTATATATACATATATATGTGTGTATATATATGTATTTTTGTATTCATTTATTATCTCACATTTTTAGATAAATTTTACTTATCATTTTTATATTATATTTTTTTCTTTTTTAATTTTGAAAAGATATTTATATTTTCTTTTTATTATTATATATTTTTTGTTCATATAAAAAAGATATACCCAAGAAAAAGAAATAATACATACTATTTATATTGTTGTAAATTTTTATTTCGCAAACATTACTAACTGTAATATATTTCATTTTATAAAAATTTAAATTTAAAAAGAAAAATATATTGAAGAGAAAAAAATACACAAAAAAATATAAATATATAAGAAAATATATTCCATTTTACAATATTTCAAAATTATTTTACTCAAAGAATATTATATGGTTGCTTAATTTTTCCAAATAATATAAATAAATTAGTAAATCACATCAAATAAAGTATAAATGAAGTTATAAACACATAAAAATATTTTAATAAAAGATGAAAAGCGCTTTTATTTTCTTATACGTTCATTTATGTATTATATTTTTTTTTTTTTTTTTTTGTATATAAATGACAAAAATAAAAATATATTTAAAATTTATAAAACTCAAACCTGTTATATATTATATGATAAAAATATTTTTATACATCATCATGAACATCATTTCAGAATAATACAGAAACATCTATTCATATATTTCTGAAAATTATCACAAAGTTGTGTGATAGCTATGATTCTGCGTTCATATATTCATATTATACATATCGATTGTTTTATTTAACTAAAATCAACAAAAATAATTTTGATATCTTAACATATAGTTATGATGAGAAAACTCAAATCGTTGATTAAGAAGATTTAATATCGTATTTTATTTTAGTACATTAGAATATCTTAATAGAGATATTTTGATTTATATTAAATTTGTAATTAATATATTCTATAAATATGGAGATTTTTCTTTAGCATAATTTTATATTTACAATTTGTATTTTATAAACATATACTTTTTAAATATACGAATAGCAATAAAAATTTAGATAAGAATGACATAAAATAATTTGAAACTATGTTATTGCAACAATTTTTACGAAACAAATAAAACAAAAATGCATTCATGAAAAATAATTAAAAAGTATACTCATGCCTTTATAATATATTTGTTATTATGTTTTCTCATTTTTAATTATAAATTATTATTTATGATATTTTCAAACAGATATCTATAAATAAACAGATAATCATTTAAGTTTTAAATAATAATCATAATAACAAAATGTACATGAATAATCCATATCTTTTAACAACACATATATAAATAAACAAATTAAATATATATATTTCTCAAATAATTTTTTTTTAAATGGATTATCATATTAAGTTTTTTATTTTTTATATTACACATATTATTATATTATAATTTTTATATATGTACTAATTTTAATCTTTCTATAAACATATTTTATTATCGTCATATGTCTAGCTTTAAATATATTATCTATGTTATTAAAAAAAAAATATAATAAATATATCTAAAAAGTTTTTTTTTTCTTTTTTATTTTTGTTTAAGAAAAAAATATGTTAAAAATATCAATTTAATTATGACATGACTTTTTAAATTACATCTTTCAACATTCATAATATATGCGAATTATTTTAAGTTATTCCTTATTAAAATAAGAAACTTTAAAATTTACCTATAAAACTTTTATGTAAATTTGTCCTTATATTTATTCTTATTTTCCATACAAAAATAAGACAAAAATATTATTATTATTCCCAAACTTCTAAATAAAAAATTATTGAATAAATTTCTTTTCTTTTTTCATTTAAAATTAATTTTAAATGAATTATTTTTATCAACATTTTTCTTTTTATAGTAATACTAATCAACGTAACATTTTAATATTAACAATTAACAAATAATTAAACTATTTTAACATATTTTTTCTTTTCTATTTTTTTTTTTTTTTTTATATTTAAAATTTAAAATAAAAATAGTTATACTCATTTAAAGATATATACAAAAAATATAAATAAAAATATCACAAGTTTCTTGACACATATTTATTTTAATACATATCTATAAAATAAATTTAATAAAATATATTCTATTTCCTTAAAATATTTATTGCAATTTTATTACAATTTGTAACTACTTATAATTTTAATTATTTATAATTTTTTAAATTATAAAATTTTAATAGTTAAAACGTTGAAATATACTCAAACAATTAGAAAAATAATTTGCTATAATAAAAAAAAAAAAGAATGAAATACAAAAAAATATAATACAAAAAAAAAAAAAAAAAAAAAAAATATATATATTTTCTATAATAAGAATTATTTAACAAATATACTCCAAATGTCCTTTAAAAAATTAGATAAATAATTATTTTTTAAGCAAACTCCAGTTAATTCCATCGATTTGCATTTTGAATAAATTAGTATATATAAAAAATGTAAAGAGGATAATTTATTTTTCTGAATTTTTATTTTATAATTTTCCTGTAATTTTATTACAAATTTATTTTTTTCATATGTAATATAATTTTCGTTTATTAATTCTATTATATTCGTTTTTATTTTTTCAAATTCATATGAATAGAGCTTTAAAAAATCAAAATACTGAAAATAAAAAAAAAATAAATATATATAAAAAAAAGTGTATAAAATAATTATGGTAATTTTATATATTACATGTATATAATTTTTATTATATTTTGTATTAACTATAATTATATATATATATTTATTTATTTTATATATATATATATATATATATATATATATATATATATATATATGTAGAATGCATATTAATTTTTTCACAAAATATATATTTCATATACACACTAATGCCATAAAATATTAAAATATGTTTGAATAGAAATAAATTATAAAAATATATTAAAATATAAATGAATTTAATTACTGGATGATAATAAGATCTAAAGTTAAATATATCATACTTTTCATCATAATTAATAAATTCCAAATTTTTGAAAAATATGAAAATATCTAAATCTTTTGAAGAAACACAATTTTTATTATTATATCTTTCATAATTTTTTTTCTCACATTTATATAAATAATTAAATAATTGATTATTGTTATTATAATCACTCTTATTAGTATTCAACTGATTATTATCAATTACTTTAAGTTCTTTAAATGTACTGTCTTTTTTTTCTTTTATCTCTTCATATTCTATGTGAATCATTTTTTTAAGAATTTCTCTTTCTTTATATTCATAATCCTTCTTATAAATTGAAGCTAGAAAATCTGGAAATATCATAGAAATATTTATACAACATAAATTCCCGTTTGATGTTAATAAAAAAATTTTATAATATAAAATTTTTTTGTTATCTTCATTGGATTTATGATCTATTACTTCCTAAAAAATATATAAAAAAATTAATATAATAAAAAAAAATTCACTAATTAAGGTAGCATAAAAAAATTAAATGAATATGTAAAATGTAATCAATATTAAAAAGCAAATGTGTTAAAAGATCAGTACAAATATAATAAAAAAAAATTATTAAAATATAATTAACATTAAAAATAAAAAAGATTCCAGCAACATTATTAATGTAAATGAATAAACAATTCACTTAAATTATTAAAATAATTATTGTATTTTTTATTTTAAATTTTTTATAAAAAGAACAAAAAACTTAATATTCTTGTATTATATTAATTTATTTTATTTTTTTTTTTTTTTTTTTTACTTTTATTTCAATATCCGTATAATGAATAATTAAACCAGAAATATTATAAATATTTCCTTGAATTAAATCAAAATACAAATTGTTTGTATTCCCATTTAATTTTAAGCTATTTTTGAAGATATTAAAATGTATGTTTGATAAAACTGGTATTTTATAAATATTTGTATAAATAAAAGATGGATAAATACTCTTTATTTCTTTAACTTCACATATACTACTATTCTCCTTTATTTCTATATTATTTTCTATATTTAATACACTTTGAAGTTCTTCAAATAATTTACTTTTATAATTTGTATTTAAATTTATATACGTTGAGTGAGTGGCTTGAAACACAATAGGTGTGTAATATTTCCTTGTTAAAAAAGAACTATTAAAGCATTTTATATAATTATCATATTCATTAAAATATTCATTATTATTTGTTTTAATATTTTTTTCTTTTAAAAAATATGATTGAAACATATTATAATTTAGCGGTCTTTTCATATAGTCATTATTTATTCTCTTTTGAAATGTATTATAAATAAAATCATCTAAAAGATTTTCATCGAAACATTGACTAAATTTATTATTTTTATTTGATTTTTGTACAAAAACATTAAATAATTGAATTCTATATCCTTTTTTCAAATTCTCATATGTCTCATTATCAATCTAAAAAAGAAAAAAATTATTTGTATATACATGTGTTTATATATATACCCTTTAATTCTTTTATAATACATATATATAAATTTTTTTTTTCTTACTTTGAATATTTTAATTTGGCATAAAGAATTCATTATATGCTGTACTTTATCATCAAAAAATTTTGTTTCTTTTATTTTTTCTGAAGAAGCAAAATCTACAGCTTGTATTGTGCAAAATGGAGTTGCCTCAAGAAACATATTTAAATCATTTTTTAATTTTACATATTTGCTACTTTCTATAAAATTTTCATCATGTAATATTTTCGTAATTTCATTTTTTAAATTATACACTATTTTCTCATAAACATTACTATTTAAGAGAAAAAATTTTTTTCGAGATGGATCATAAAAACCATAAGAAAAATCACTTTTACTAATAATTATTACATCTATAAAAAAACAATTGCTACCAAAATCATGAATATGTCTAATTTTTTTAGCTTTATATTTTGATATGCCAATTTTCAATTGATTCTTTCTGTCAATATCAATTAGATTGTTACTAGACAACATAAAATGAGAATTTTTAAAGTATATATTTTTATCCTCTTGTTTCACTTTATCGTATAAATCAAATGAATTGATTTTTAAAATATTACCTTCTTTAATTTTATTGGAATTTAATAAATTTTTTAAATATGAGTCTTTTATCATACAATATATATAATCAAAATTATCACTTAAAATAATAACAAACTCATCCTGTTTTTTAATAATTTTTTCAACTCTTAAATTTACCGGTATTTTATAAGTTATTATATTATCTTGCATTAACTGTAATATACACTTTTTATTTTTTTTTTCTTCAATATATCTTTTTAATAATTTAAATATAAATTCAATTGGTGAAGGAGGCTCAATCTCATCAATACTTTTAATTATCATCATTGTATGATTAAAGTTTTTCATTTTTTTATATTCTAACTTATTTTCTTTGTATTTATCAAATTCATATATACCAGAAGATTTACATACATCATTTATGCTATTATCATACATTATTTCATCATATTTTTGAGGTTCATTTGAAAATTTTCTTTTGTTATTATATAAGCTTACGCATTCATCTTTAAATTTAATTTTTTCTGTATCATAAATGTTATTTTCGCTTTTTCCTAATTCATCATTAACACATATAATTTCCTCTTGGGTGTTTTTCAAAACTGTATCACCTATATTTGGTATTTTCTTTAAATATGTATTTTCCTTTAAGTATACATGAATAAAATTCTTATAGTACTCTTCATAACTTATGTTATTATAAAAATCTTGTTTAATGTTTTTGAATGTTTCTCTTTTTATATATTTATATTTTTTTCTTAGCTCCTTTTTATATTTACGAATTAATGCCATAGTTATTAACTTATATTTTTTTGAAAACCAAGAATAATCGTATGTACAGAAGATTTTTAATTCTTTTGTTATTAATATAAATAGCTCATAAAGCTCATTAATATCTGATATATAATATTCACTTTTTTTTCTACTTTTAAAAAAATACAAATAATCATTGTTAAACCAATTAAATTTAGATGGATTTTTATTTTCATTTGTAAACATTAAAGTATTTGTTAAACCCCCATTATTTAACTTTTTGATTTTTGACAAATTAATATACATATTTTTTATTAATTTTAAATGATTTCTTAAATCAATATTTAGATTTAATTCTTTATTTTTATTATTATAACTTTTTTTTTCCCCCTCCAAACCATCAATTGTTTTTCTTTGCCTTGGGTTTATAAAATCTTTTTTAGTTCTCAAACCATTACTTAATTTAATGTTGTTTTTGTTATGTGGTGAAAAATTATTATCTAATAATATAGAGGAATTTTCATTTTTAAATAAATTTACCTCTTTTTTCATAATCTCATCATATCCTTCTGATTCATATGATTCTTGTTCTTTTAAATTTTGTTTATCATATATTTCTACCATACTTTTACTTAAAGAATTTTTTTCCGAATAACTTGTATCATTTTTTATATCTAAATTTTTGTCACAACATACTACCTTTTCTTGCTCCTTTATAAATGTTTCATCTATTTTTTCTTTCTTTTTTGAAACATATGAAACTTTTGGTATGTTTTTTATATTATAATTTTTCATATTTTTTGTATATGAATTGACCCCATTATCAAATAATTTACATTTCATTTCTTTTAAATTTTCTTTATTTATATTAACTTCTTTTCCTGAAGCATATGTAAAAGAACTATACATTTCATTATTCTTTTTAATACTTTGACTACATGAATCATTATCATCAAATAATTTATTTTTCATTTCTTTTAAAATTTCTTTATTTATTTTAACTTCTTTTCCTGATGCATATGTAAAAGAATTATACATATCATTATTTTTTTTAATACTTTGACTATATGAATCATTATCATCAAATAATTTATTTTTCATTTCTTTTAAAATTTCTTTATTTATATTAACTTCTTTTCCAGAAGCATATGTAAAAGAACTATATATTTCATTATTCTTTTTAATACTTTGACTACATGAATCATTATCATCAAATAATTTATTTTTCATTTCTTTTAAAATTTCTTTATTTATTTTAACTTCTTTTCCTGATGCATATGTAAAAGAATTATACATATCATTATTCTTTTTAATACTTTGACTACATGAATCATTATCATCAAATAATTTATCTTTCATTTCATTTAAATTTTCTTTATTTATTTCAACTTCTTTTCTTAAATCATTTATAAACAATGAATTATTTATTATCTTATTTTTCTTTTCATTATTAATTTGATCATAAATTTCTAAAAATTCATCTGTTTCATTTTCTTTATTTTTATCCATATTTTCAATTTTCCTATATGTTTCTAAATATTTGTCTATTTTATTTTCTTTATACGAATTCGCACTATTTGTATATGAATTGCATTTATCATAAAAAAACTTATTTTTCATTTCTTCTAAATTTTCTTCATAAATTCTAACCTCTCCTCTTGAAGAATAGATAAATTCTGAATTATTTTGTGAGTTACCTCCGTTTAAATTTTTTGCAGATAAGTTACTTTTATTATTAGATAAAACATTTTTCATTTCATTTGATATTTCATCATCTATTTTATCTTCTTTCCTTGAAGTATACATAAATAGAGAATTATTTGTAAAATTGTTCTTATTTGTACTATAAATTTTCAAAATGTCATTTTCTTTATTTTTATTCATATTTATAGTTTTATTATATATCTCTAAAAATTCGTCTAATTCATTTTCCATATTTTTATTTATATTTTTATTTTTATCATATATTTCTAAAAATTCGTCCAATTCATTTTGCTCATCTTTATTTATATTTTTATTTTTATCATATATCTCTAAAAATTTGTGTAATTCATTTTCCTGATTTTTATTTATATTTTTATTTTTATCATATATTTCTAAAAATTCGTCTAATTCATTTTCCTTATTTTTATTTTTATCATATATTTCTAAAAATTCGTCCAATTCATTTTGCTCATCTTTATTTATATTTTTATTTTTATCATATATCTCTAAAAATTTGTGTAATTCATTTTGCTGATCTTTATTTATATTTTTATTTTTATCATATATCTCTAAAAATTCGTCTAATTCATTTTCCTTATTTTTATTTATACTTTTAGTTTCATTATAAATTTCTAAAAATTCATCTTTATTTTCCATATTTTTATTTACACCCTTATTTTTATCATAAATCTCTAAAAATTCGTCTCTATCATCTTTTTTAATTTTATCATAAATTTCTAAAAATTCATCAACTTCATTTTCTCTATTTTTGTTCATAATTTGATTTTTATCAAAGATCTCTAAAAATTTGTGTAATTCATTTTGTTGTCCTTTTATAAAATTAGAAACTCCCTTATATTTTAAATTAAACTTTTCACATAAAAAATTATCATTTTTTACCTCAAAATTTTTTTTTGCAATATTGCCAGTTAATATATTATTGTTACTCCTGTTTAAATATGTCGTATTATATTTATCTTGATTAAAAATATTTTCTTTAAAAGTGCATAAATTATTCTCTTCAATTATTTCATTCTCAGTTTTTATTTCATGTATTTTTGGTAATATCAAATCCATCTTGTTCACAGTATTTTTAACTGACTCTAAAATATATTTATTTGAATTATTAAAACTTTTTTCGTTTTGAAAATTTGTCTTTATTTTTTTATTTATAAAGGAATCTTTTAAAATATTATTTGATGACATTTCGCTAAATGTCCTAGATTTTTTTAATGTTTCGCTTTCTGTGTTATTTTTTTTACTATATTCATTTAATTTTTGAATAATATTTTTAAATTCTTTTTTTTCCTCATTTTCTTTTTTTTTATCATAATTGCATTTATATGTATCATTTATATGAATAGTTGGTTCTTCATTTTTGCAAATCATCTTGTTTCGACTAAAATAATTTTGGAAGCTATCTTCATAATAATCAAGTGAACCTTTTTGATAATTTTTTTTTTCGCATTTTGAGGAATTTAAATTTTCGCTGTTATTTTTTTTTAAAATATTCAATAAATTGCAACCATTCACATAACAGCTATTTTTATTTTTTTCATTTTTAAGAGTTAGTAAATTTTCTTTATCTTTTACAATTATATTTTTACTATCATAATATATTTCTCCAGTTAATTGATTTTTTTCTTCACTTCCATCTGTTGCGTATTCACACTTATTTTTCATACGATTCTTAAAAATTTTACTTTCATTACAATCAATTTTTTTTTCATCTTCTTGCTTAATATTTTTGCAGTCATTATTTATAATAGTGTTAATGTTATTTGTGTTATGACGATTATAGATTATATAGCTGTCAGATATATTTTTATCTTGATAATTAAAGAACGTGTTTTTATGATCATAACTTAATTTTTCAATTACTTTACTTATGTCTTTATTGTCATTAATTAAATTTATGTTATATTTAATCATATTTTTATCTTGATAATTGCAAATATAACTTTTGTTATCTTTAATAGTTTTTTTTTTATTTCTGACAAGGCAATGAAGAATATTTGAAGAATTTATGTTTTCATTTAACTCCTTTTCATCAAATTTCAACATTATTTCTCCTTTTTTAACTATATTTTCACAGTTTTTTATATCAATCCTATTATTCTCCTTTTCTTCCATTTTTTTATATGTTATATTTTTTTTTTCATGACTTTCAATAATTGCACAATTAATTATTTTTTCTTTATTTTCTATTTCAACATTTTTCTCCACTTCACATTTATTATCCTCTTTCTCTTCAATATTTTCACTTTTTATAAAATAATATGAATAATTATCATTTTTATTTTCTGTGAATTTTTGATCGTACGTTAAACTGTTACAACCAATAGTATCATTAAAAATATTAATCCTATAATTTTCATTAACATTATTTAAACAACTTTCAGTTAAATTTTTATTTTTTTTGTCTGTAATTTTAATATTTGTAACGTCTTTGAAGTTATTATTAATAGAATTAAAATATACATAATCATCATTTCCCTTATTAATATAAGTACCATTTTTAATTTTATATTTTAATTCATCAATAATATTTCTCGATTCTTGTGATTTACTATAATGTACCTTATAATAATAATTGGAATTAATATTACTGCATTTTTCTACACTTTCTTTTAATTCAAAGTTGTTATTTTCAATAATATTGCCACTATCATACCTATTTTTATGTTTTTTAAAATTATAATTATCCTTTTCAGAATTATAGTCCATCTTTTGAATTTCATTTAAAGTAGAAAATTTTCCAAAACATAATTTCTCATTTTCACTATTATTCCTTGATATACGAGCTCCATTTTCTTTTATTTCGTACATGTCATTTTTATATGAACTGTTCATATATTCATTGTTTGTATTCTTTATTTTTAAAACAGAAACTCCAGTATTAATATATGAACCATTTAAATTATCAATTTTACTGTTTAATTTTGAATTAATATATCCTCTTTCACTATTATAAGTTTTCATTTCATTAATAGAATTGTAATTTTCTTCATTATGTTTTTTATTTTCCTCTATATTATTTGAGAAATTAAAATACCCCAATTTTTTTTTACTTTTGCATTTATTATGTACATTTTGAATACATTCATTTATGTTTTGATTACTAACAAAATTGAAAACATCTCCATCATTTAGTAAATTATCATTATTAAAATTTTTAGCAACTATATCAGAAATGCAACTTTTCTGATTATGTTCACTATTATTTCGGCGGTTTATGTTATATATATTATCTACTTTTTCTATATTATTTATGTTATATATATTATTACTACTATTAATTTGAGTTTTACTTACCTTGTCAATATTTTTTACCTTATTCGCGTTTTTCTTAAAATCTATTAAACTTTTTGTATTATTAGAAGTATTTTCTGAATTATGAATATCATATAAATTAACTAAATTCTTATAAAAATTGTTTACGTTATTGTGAATATGTTCACTGATATTGTAATTTTGTCCACTCTCCACATTGTATACTCTGTATTGATTGTATTCATTTCCTATTCTATCATCCTTTACTGGTGTATTAGAATTAAATTTATTAATATTCATTTTATTGAATTGATGAAAATTTCCTTAAAAAAAAGAAAAAAATCATTTATTTTGTGGCTTATATCAATTTATATTGTAAATATGCTAAATAATGTACACATCATAATTTAAGGATTAAATGTATTATATTTGTCTTTGTTAATGAGTGGTGCTATTTTATATAATAAAACCAATTTTTTTATTTTTCTTCAAAATTTTTAAATATATTTTTATTTCATCAAAATATCTTACATTTTACAATCAGTTTCTGTAATGTGAAAATAAACATTCTTTTTCATTTTATAATTATATTGATCCCCTAATTTATTTCTTGAATTAAAAATATTTTATTTTTTTCAATAAATATTAATGAATATTTTTTTGAACTTCAAAAAAAATTTAACTATCTTCAAACATAGTTATTTTCATAATGGTTTTCATTAAAATCAACATCCATAAAATAATTTTTCATCACCTTTTTTTTTAGTATTTAACTTTTTTTTTTTATTATTTTTAATATTAACTTAAAAATACATTCATCACTACGGTATAATTACCTTTGTAACTAATTATTTTTCAATATAAACCAAAAGTTAAAACTTAAATTTGTGCAATTTTTTTTTCTTGGGATAATGAATTTTATAATATTCACACTTAACTTTTGAGAATATATTATTTTTTTAGCATAAATATTTAAAACGTAAAAAAAAATATTAATTAAAATATTAAAATTAAATAATTAAAATTTTTTATTTTTAGAAGCTTTTCTTGTACTTCATTTTATATTCACTTAATTTTTTTTTTTTTTTATTTTATCTAAAAACTTTTTGCAAATTTTTCCATTTGAAAGACATAATATAAATGATATTTATATTCAATAATAACTTTTTTTTATAAATATTTTTATTAATTTTTTCCATATTATTATTAAAAAATTTCTAGATATGTGAAATTGTAAGCATGTAATAATAATAAAAACAAAATGTGATTTTCTATATATTCAAAGTTAATTTTGTTTGGGAATAGTTACTACTTAATAATTTTAATATATCTTATATTCCATGTTTTTTTTTTAATATTTTATTAGAAAAAAATTTCACTTATTTTACCTACCTAATTATTTTTTTTTTTTCATTTTTTCATTTAAAATTTCCATTGTTCCTTAAGTTACAATTCTTAAGAAATCATTAACTTTTCTGAATTAATTTGTTTATAAAATAAAAATAGATGTATTCTAATAAGTTACTTTTCTATATTTTAAATACATAAGAATATAAAATAAGTATAAATTTTTTTTTTTTTTAAATTAGCAACGATAAAAAATTGTAAAAAATGATAAAAAATGTTTCATTCCAAAACTTTTGTATTTAATTGAAATTTCAATTAATATAGGAACTCTTTTTTAGAATGAAATAATAATGTATTAATTATATTTTTTTTTTTTTAATTAAAAGATCAACAGGAATTTTTCTCTATATCTGAATATTTATATCAATATTTCCTTTTTTCCTTTTTTTTTTAACTTGGTATCCATATATCATTTAAGATGTATTAATTATTAAAAAAAAATTTTAATACTATTAATAATATATGAAATTTTCTTTAAAAATGGTGAATTACGCTATAAAATGAAAAAAAAATTATTAAAAAATTTTTTTTTCATTGGATTATTATTTCAAAATAAATAAAAAAAACTATGGAACAACATATTAAAATAGAAAAAAATTTATTACAATATATTGTAAATCAAAAAAAAAAAAAAAAAAAATAAATAAATAATTTATTAAATAATAAAATTATGCGTCTTCAACTGTGATATATTTTTTTATATTTTCAATTTTTTCACATAAAACAGGTGTAGTTCCTTTTGGATATATGGTTGGATGAGGCAAATGATATAATCGGACGTTTGGTTGTTTATAAGATCTTATATGCTGTGTTCCATCCTTTGTTATAACACATATATCCACATTACCACCTGAACCTAAATCATTAAAAATACCTGCACATATAGCTTCACAAACAAGATTTTTCCCTTCTTCTATTGTCATGTTATCCCTATATTTTGCTTCTAATACGGCCATAGCATTTAAGGATCCTGATCCCAAAGCAGTAAAAGGTAATAAACAAGAAGAACCATGAGGATGTATTCCATATAATTGAGGCCCAGTAACATCTACCCCTCCTAATACTATTGCACACACTTTATATCCTTGATATTTAAATAACTCTTGAGTTAATCTTGATACACACATAGCAACTCTTGGTTGAGAATTTGTATTTAATCGATGTAATTCTACATTATGTTGTAACCACAACGTAGTATGTTCTAAATCTCCTGCTACTCCTGCTCCAGCACAATATATATTTTTACTTATATAATGTAATTTACTGCAATTTTTATCGGCAACTATTGGTCCTTCTGTTGCCCTTGTATCAGCTCCCAAAATAACTGCATTTTGACAAACTAGTCCACATATAGTTGTTCCAGTTTTTCGAAATTGTGGGAATGTTATTCCTTTTTCCTTTAAAATTTCATTTCTATTTAAGTTTTCAAAATTATACCCTCCATTTTCTTCTTTTAGAACGTTTATATATTCCAGTTTCATAATTATTCTAATTTTATTAAAATTTCAGTTTATTATGTGTTCAAATTAAGATTTTTAAAATATAATTATTTTTAATTTATGAAATATTTATTTTAAAAAATAATACAATTTTAACTATAAGCTAATTACACTTTTTTATATTTGATATATGGTTTTCCTTTTCAATACTTATGAGCTTTTTCTTCAAAAAAGCATATCTACAGATAAATACATAAAAAAAAAATTTTCAAAAGGACAATTTAAAATAGATACTTTATCTGAGGATAATTATAAGTTGTAACTTATTTGTAATATATATGAAGTATTTATATATATATATTTTAATAAAATATTTTTCCCTTCGAAAAAAGAGCATATATTTTAAATAAAATTAAAATTAATTTTATTTTTAAAGTATATTTTTAATATATTGTTTCAATTAATATTTTATTAAACTATTAAATTTTATATTATATTGAAATCAATCATAATAATTTTTTTTTAATCAGAACTTTTTATTAGATAAGAATATGAAAAACAATAATTTTCATGAAATATTCAACTAAAAAATGCAATTTTTTTTTTTTTTTTTTTTTTTTTTTTTCACATAGTAGATATTTTGTATTTTTTTTTAAATATCGGAACCCTTGTTAAAGCAAAAAAATTTTAAGAATATACATTTTTTAATTTAAGTAAATTTTTTTTTCTGTACTGAGAATTTTATTAAATAAGTTTACATATGTAAATTTATGAAATTTTTTGTAAGTTAACATGAAAGTTAATAATTGAGTATATTCTCACCCTTGTGCATTGAAAAAAAAAAAAAATTAAACTGTGTTGTTTTTTAAAAGCATTTTATAAAATAAATTTACATTTTACCCAATTTTTTTTCTTAGATAACAAATATGATTAAGCCAAATTATCAAAAATTATGAATTTTACAAAAATGTTTCTTTTTTATTAAATATTTTTTTGTTTATTTTCTCTTTTATAAAACTACATATTTTTTTCTTTTATTCTTATATCCATTTTGGTGTGCGAGCAAAAAAAAAATCGATGTTATGCATCTCTATAATATATTGAAACTTTTGTCTTTTAAAAGTTATGTATTATTGTATAATGAATAACTGTTTATAAATTAATTAAAAAAAAGAGGATACATATTGTAAGAAATTAAATTTATATTTTTTTTTTTTTTACAAAAAAATTTAAAAGAAACGAACATTAAGCTATTTTTATTAACATGACATGTAAATTTTTATAAAATAAACAAAAAATACATTTTTTTTTTCAATTAATTTTAATACTTTTCATATATTTATGTTTTTTCTTATATATTTTTTTTTTTTTTTTGAATATAAAAAATTATTTAAATAAAAACGAAAAGAAAAAAAGACAATACCTTTTGAGAAGAAAAAGCATTAAGAAAAAAATATATCAATTTTAAATTAAGAGAAAAGATACATATTTAAAATTTAGTAAAAATAATTTTTTTTTATATTAATGAGAAACATTTAATGTTTTTAATTGTAATAAACTTAAAGCATTCTTTTGAATTGAAATTATCATAAGGGTGCTAAAATACTGCTTTTATTAATGAAATGTCTAAATCTTTTTTGTTCTTTGCAAAATGATATAAATAAAATATGATTCATTTTATTTTTTAATTTTCTCTTTACACGAGATTTTTTTTTCTGTGTGTTATAAAAAACTATTCTTATGTTTTATAGAAAATTAATAAGTATAATAATAGTTGAATTACTTGTTTATAAATAAAGTATTTGTTAAATTAATGTAAATATATGAATTTTTTATTTTACATATATTTTTATATATTTTCATGGATATTAATTAAAATTAAGTATTTTTAATTATATTCTTCGTAAAATTATAATTTTTAAAAAACTAGTATATATTTATGTATGTATTATAAATAGTAATTTTCAATTAAAAAAAATATTTTCATTTTCTTTTATAAATGTAGAATTTTTATAAAATGAACTTTGAATAGTTTAGAAATTATGTTATTTTATTACATTAAAATTTATTTTTCTAATATTTTTCTCCATTCCTTGAATAAGAACATATAACGTTCACTTACATAAAAAACATAGATAATAATAATAATAAAAAAAAAAAAAAAAAAAAAAAAAAAAAAAAAAAAAAAAATAGGTAAAATATTAATTATTATATAAATTAAATAACAATTACATGAACAAAATTATGCATAAAGTCAAGATTAAAAAATTTTACGCAAAATGGATAAAAATAAAAAAATATAAATTTTAATATCTTTAGATATTTATAAATATATATTTATTTAATAGTATAATATCCATTAACAATTATTGAAACAATGCTTATTTTAACAGAAAATATTTTTGAGAAATCAAATAATTCAAAGAGTTCAAGAAACGAAGCATTTTTAAAAAGTAACAGTACACAACTGAAAGTTATAGCAAATAGAATTACTCCATATTGTAGAGAAATATCAAAAAATAAAAAAGTTTTAATAAAAACTCGTAAATATTCAAGTAGTATAAATAAGATAAAATACAATTATTCAAATTCAAGAAAAAACATAGGTAATTCTCTAGTAAAAAAAAAATTGAAAACATCTTCAAAAGAAAAAAAAAAGGATTTATGCCAATTAGAAGTCTTTTCAAAAAGTAAAAATAAGAAAAATCAAGTTATAGCAAGTAGAGTTAACTATAATATTATCCTCAAAAATTTTTATTTAAAAAATATTGAAGATCAGAAAGATTTATTTTTATTACATTTAAAATCTAAAGAAAGAAAAAAAATTCATAGGAAAGAAAAATCAAAAAAGAATTTATTAAATATAAAAGGAATATCATTAGACAATCTTAAAGATATATGTAGAAAAAATTTTGATAATTTTTATAAATTAGGTAATATTCTACATCATAAGGTAAAAAATATAAATGATATAGATACAAATGATATTATAAAGAATAAGCAATTCAATTATAAAAAAGTAGGCAATTTAGATTTTATTGATACACCGCAAAATTATGCAATATTAGACATACCATTTAGCAATAATGATAATTTTTTTAATCCATATGTAAAAACACATATGTTAAAACTTCCAATTTGTAATAATTACAATAAACGAAAATTAATTAGTAATAGTTTAATAGACTCAATCGTAACTTTATCTAACGAGCTAAATAGAACGAATGAAAAAAAAAAAACTTTTAAATATGAAAATAATAAAAATGAAAAAAGTATGCTTCATTATGTAAATAAAATATTACATGATAGTTATGTTCATTGTGATCGTAGTGTTAATGTAAAAAAAAATGAAATTAAAAAATTAGAATATAAAATAAAAAAGTACACTGATATACCTCACTTATGCTTAAGAAGTTTATCAAAAAATATAGAATGCAAAAATAAGAATAGTAACAAAAATAAATCTAATAATTATGATATATGCTATGATAGTGATTATAACATTTATTACGATAGATTTTTCATGGATAAATATAATAAGAATGAAAATATATATGTATATGATAAGGAAAAAAAAAATAATGAATTGTCTTTAAATTCATATTTATATGCAAGTTGTTATTCTGATAATTACTTTTCAGAAAAAAAGAAAAAAAAAAAACGCTGTGGATTTCATCAGACCTACAATTCATTTAATTATATAAATTTATATATACAAGAAAAAAATAAATTTTTCTATACAAAGAACGGTAATCAAAATATTAATTTTAAATCTATCATAGATAGTCAAATTAATAAAAATGATGTTAAAGAATTATATGCATTTAAACAAATAGAAAATATTAATGAAAACTATAAGTCAAAAAAGCAAAAATCTGTAAAAACAGAAATAGATAATAAAATATCACTTTATGTAAATAAAGATAAATGTAACGAATCTTTTAATTTTAATAACAATAATGAAATAACGAATAGTAACATATTTAATAATTATAATAATTACAATCACATGAATACTAAAAGTAGTATAAATATGTATAATAGAGTAGAATGTATTGATAAAAACAAAAATAATGAATTATTCAAAACAAATGCTTTGAACGATTATAATAAAAGATTTTCCACTGATTCATTACATTATATTAAAAAAAATCCAACTATTTTTGTAGACTCAAATAAGAATATATCTACTACAAAGACTGACATTAAGGAAAAATTAAAAGAAAATTCTAATTTAAAAGATAACTATCCAAAAAAAATTGTTTATGCGGAGAAATACCTTCTAGATAAAAAAGTAAATTTTAAAAATGAAAAAGAAGAAACATATATACATAAAAATAATAGAACAAATGAAGATAAAAATCATGAAAATGTAGATAAGTATAGTAACTTATGTAAAAATGTAGGTAACTTCAATAGTTGCATTTTTTCTAAAAATGCAAATGATAGTTTTATAATTTCAAATATAGCAAATTCTCGTAGTAATACAAATAACTTTAAAAATGTAAGTAGAAGCCATTGTAAAGATTTAATCATTCATTTTAATAGAAATAATAATATTAATATTAGAGATGAAAATAATGTTAGTAATAACAGTAATAATAATAATAATAATAATAATAATAATAATAATAATAATAATATCAGCAGTAATTATAATGACACTTATAATAATTATGTCATAAATAGTAATAGTAACAACAATAGTGATAATAATTTCATTCATATTTATAATGATTATAATTTTAATGTAAACAACATTAAAAGAAATGATTCATATATTAATACATGTGAAAATAATATTAATGATAAAGAATTTGATAAAAATTGCATAAATAATTACACAGATTATAGTATCAATTATGATTGTTTTAGAAATGTATATAACAATTTTAATAAATGTTTTAAAAGTGATCATATAAAAAAACATATTTTTTGTAGTTCAAATAGTCTTATTAATAAGAAAAATAATGATTTTATTTGTAAAATATCGTCAGAAGGCAATAATGATACAATTAAAAACAAAAATAATAATAAAAATATTTTTATGAACTTAACGTCTTTACAGAACAATATAAATAAGAATTCTCTTGATAACGAAAGTATAAAGAACAATTCCGAATTAATAATAAATAAATTTAGAGAATTAAAAAGTTTAACATCAAGTATCAATTCTGTATCTAGTGAAGAATTATTTAAAACTCCTATAGAATCAAATATAGATAATTACAATTTAAATAGTTTTAACAGTTTTGTTTCTGAAGGAATTAAGACTTTGTGCATTATTAAATCAAAACATAAGAAAAAAAGATTAACTAACAAGACATCATTAATAGTTGATTTCATAAATTCACATTCTAATGATATTAATTTGATAACACATAATAAAAAGTTTAATAATTTATTATTTAATAAAAATATAAAAATGAATAATAATGACCCTGATTTTTTAGTGGACGAACGTTTAATGAAATGCTTGAAAGAAAGTTCATCAAATTTTAAAACAAATGAAGATTATGAAAGATATTGCAATGAAGACAAAATATTAAACCCAGATTATATACCCTTAGAATCTAAAAAACTTGGAGAAAAATTCTTAAAAAGTCAAAAAGATCTATTTTCATCCTTGACTAATAACAATTTTACTTATGACTCAAACGTAAATAATGCTGAATGTGGTAATAGTTGTTTTAAAAATGATAAAGGCTACAACTTATTTAATGATTCCAATAAAAGTTATTTTAATAATATGAATATCAATATATTCAATAACAATGACTACTTAAAAGATAAAAACAATAATTATAATAATAATAATAATAATTTACACAGTAAAAATTATATGAATTCTATAAATAACGAATATTACATGAAAAAGAGTAATGAAAACACAAAAGACAAATTTATTAGATATTATGAAAAATATTCTAATAAAGATAATGATGAAAACGAGGAAAAGAAATTAAATTATACAGATTGTTACGATTTTAAAAATCCCTTATTAAATGGATTAAGTAGAGATGATAGTTTTTATTCTGATGATGATATAAGAAATGATGACAACGAGACAAGTTTCCTAAAAGATTCATTGAATTCTTTTGATAATTTGGAGTCAACAGAAAAAAAATACGAAGAAATTTTGCGCGATTTTAATGGAAAAATACCATTACTTCACAAAGTATTAAAACCTTTACCACAAAAAAATAGATCTAATAATTTTGACATTTGTTTATATTTATTACAAAAACATGGAGGTGACTTAAATAACGAGGAAAATATTTGCATATTAAGAGATAAGGAAATTGTTGAACATAGTGCTATATATGATACAAAAAAAGGTTGTATAAAAAGTAATATAACAAATGTGACAAATATAAAATTATATCATCCTAAATGGTATAATAAAAAAAAAATTATTGAAAGAATGAAAGAGCAAAGTTGTTATAATCCTTTTACAATATTTGGATCAGCACCAACTTTACTAGATTTTGATGAAGTTTTTGATAAAGATGTATACAATAAATTTGTCTCAAAAAACAGTCGTAAATCTCATTCCTTATTAAGAATATTAGCTAAACAAAAAGTTATAAGTAATTTAAGTGATAAAATATCAGATAAAGAGTGGCCACAAGTTCATGCTTATTTAAAAAAACGATGGAATAAAGAAACCAATTTAGAATTAAATTGGGCATGTGATCCATTATTATATGAAGAATTAGAGTGGTACTTAAGCACAAATAATGAATATCTTAATATGACTGATAAAGTAGCTGATATTGAAGTATGTTATTGTCCAACCCTAAATCCAAGCTCCTATTATGCATGGAATGACTCAAGAGTTATTTATACTAATTTATGTTACAACAAATCTAAGGAAGAGATAGACCCCAATTATTCTAGCAAAGGAAACTATATGATAAATAAGAATATGGGATTAAAAAATAACGATAAGCAAGTTTCAATTAGAAAAAGGGCAAGTGGATGTGAACATCTTATGTTTAAACAAAATATTATGAAACAAAAAAATTTATCAAAAAAAAAAAGGAAATTATTAAAAAAAAAAAAAAAAATTCTGAAGGAAAAACAAAAATCATTTAATCATCATAATTATAGAAGTACCTATAATGATGAAGCAGAACACTGTGAAAATAATTATAATATCTTTTTCCAAGTAAGTAAAAACGACTACGTAAATGATCAATATATTAATGAATTAAAAAATAAAGCTGATAGCAGTAATACTTATCCAAACATTTTTTTAACAAAAAGTAAAAAAAGTGTTTGTAACAATAAAAATGACAATACTATTCCTATTATGACTGTAAATACATCACTGTATAGACATAATATGGATAATAAATACAACTGCAACAACACAGCAAATGATTACATTAAAAACAAAGATAATACAATAAAATTTTTTGCTTCTCCTAAAAAAACAAAAAAAAATAATTCAATCAAAAAATCACTTAATAATTCAGAATGTTTCTATTTTTTTAATCACTCCATGATTAATTCAGATAATATATATAATAATAATTTTAATAGCTTTGATTCAAGAAATTCATTTGAATGCAACAATGATAATATAGTTCATCATAATAAAAATATTTTCAAAAAAGACAACACAAGAAATAAAAATGAAATAGATGCACAAAATACTTATATTAGCAATAAATTAAGCTCTGAAAAAAGTACTCAAAATATATGTGAAAATTTGGAGACTAATGAAAATAATTTTGGCACGAATAATATATATGAAATGAAAAGCAATAAACAAACATATATGATTAAGAAAAATAATAATTATAGTAATATGAACTATATTATAAGTAATAATAATAATTATGAAGACCAAAATAACTTTAATATAAAAAGAACAAATCTTACCCAATCGTTTCATAAGAACATAAATAAAGAATGTTGCAGATATTATAATAATAATAATAAAATCAATAGTGAAAATAATAATGGCATTGATAATGATAAAAATAGTGACAATAATAATTATAATAATAATACTGATAAAAATGACGACGCTCATAGTAGTAGAAGTAGTAGTAGTAGGAGTAGTAGTAGTAGTAATAATAATAATAATAATAATAATAATAATAATAATAATAATAATAATAATAATAATAATAATAATAATAATCATAATAATAATCATAATGGAAAAGAATGGTTTCATAAAAATAAATTAATAGATAAAAACTACCATGAAATAGGCCATTTGAAGCTTACCTCTAACGATATTAATGATTTACAAAATAACAAACTAAGTTATTATGATAAATTTCAAAAAAATAGTAATTTTCAAAATAAACAATCAGACCTCAATTTCTCTGAAAAAAACAAAGATAAAAAAAAACTTAAAGAATTAAAAGAAAAATATATAAATATTTGTAAAAATCAAAACACAAACGAAAATTGTCTTAAAAATTCAAAATACACTTATGAAACAATTTCCAATAATAATTGTAGTAGTAGTAAAATAGAAGGGGAATATTTTCTAAATAAAAATATTGCCAATAAATCTGAAAAAAATAACAAAATTATAAAAAACTTAGAAAATATTACAAGTAATAATGCACTAAAGTTAACACAAAGGAATATCAATAAAAAAAATATATTAGAAAAAAAATTTAAAAGTAATATATCATCACACTCAAAAAATAGTAATACCAACATTTCTTTAAGTACTTCAAATTCAAAAAGACTAAGTAATAGTAATATTAGTGTCAATGAAAATAGAAAAATCAGAAGGTATACAAATCAGATATCCCTCGAAGATGATAATATATCTATTGAACAATTTGACAATACAAAAGAAGGAAGTAACAAAAAAGGTAGTAATGAAACTCTTTCTAGTAGAACTAGTGAAACGTCAATGTCAAGTGCTTTTAAGATAGCTACATCTGTTTTTAAAAAATTATTTTAAAATAAAAATTTGTACAAAAATTAAACATACGCACACTCTTTTTAAAAGAATAATTAAAGAAATCATTAGGTTTTATCGTATATTAAATATATACATTTCCTCATATATATAATTTTTATTAAAATATATATATTATATTATGTTATTCTTATACTTCTTATCTGACAATTACCTTTATCTTTATATATATATTTTTTTTTATTAAAGTAAATTGTTTCTTTTTTCAGTTTATAAATATTTTAAATTTTTAGCCATGTATTTTACTCAATGTAAGCACATATGTCAATACTCTTTATTATATATTATTATATATTATTAAATTATATTCGTATATATATATATATATATATATATATACATTTTTTTTTTTTCTGTATTATGAAAAAATAAATTATATAGTTAAAAAATTTCATATACATTTGTTTATATTAGTCATAAATATACATAATATTTTTATTTACCAATAACACATGTAAAGTTTATAAAAAATAGTTACTTTTTAAACTATAAAATTTGAAAGGTAATAAAATTACTAACAAAAACAAAATTTTACTATACTATATATATATATATAGTTATTTACAATTAATAACATATAAATAATTAGATAAATAGTAAAAAAATGTTGTAAAAGCATATATTTTAAAAGTAAATAGGTACGTTAATTTAAAATATAAGTTTTTAAAATATATTTATGTATTCCTTTTTTTTTGTATGCATAAATAGAAGGTATAAATCACTTAATAACTTTTTGTTTTATTTTAAACATAAAATGGGTGCACTTTTTATTAATTTTATCTTTACCTTCTTTTTATCATTATTTACTTTTTACTAAATTTTATATTTTATAATAGAAATATTATGAATATCAATTTAGAAAAATACATTAGTATAAAACTGTTACATTTTTTTTATTTCTTATATCAATTTTAAATTTCTTCATTTTATTTTCTTGATTATAAATTATGAATATAATTTTCTAATTTAAACTTTAAAAAAAATTGAAGCTATATTTTATTTATAACATTTAAATTTTAATTTATTTCAACATAAGATTTTATCTTATTTTTTATTTAAAAAAATTTAACTAGAATACGTCATAACATAAAAAAATAAAATATTTCCAAAAAAATATTGATGTTGTTTTAATTTGCATGTGTATAAGTGTATAACACAATAAAAACAAGTTATGTTACCATAAATTCAGAAAATCTTAATATAAAAATTTAAACAACAAAAAAAATTATGCATACTTTTCTTATGACATATCAATTATTTACCTCTATACATATATTTATATATTTTATGTAATTTTTTCAAAAAATTGGAATAATCTCTTTTTAAAGGAAAATTTCTTTTTCCCTTCAGGTTTACACACACTGAAATATGTTACGTATTCATAAAATCATAAATATATGATGCATTTTATTTTGTTCTTCAAAAAAAAAATCGTAAAACATAAAGATCAAATATTTTTCAAAACAAAATAATAGAATTACTTCGAATATTTTGTAAATACCTTCAGTGAAAATTGATGAAAATTATATTCAATATTTAAATAATTTCTCTATTTAAAATATAAATTTATTTTTCTTGTTTTTTAAGTGTATATCATCGATTTAAAACGCGTTTTAATGAACTATTATAATTAAAATTAAGAAAAAATATAATGTATAAATCTTAGTTAAGAAATATGTCGTAAAAGACAAAAGGCCAAAATAAAAATTATCCTATATTTACTTAATAAGGAACTTTAGTTTTTTATTCAAAAATAGTTAAACGTAAAAATAAAAAATAAAATTTTATAAATATAAAAAAAAAGTAAAATATGTCCTTTAAAGTACAGAAAATAATAATAAAATGCATTTTATAAAACTACAGAAAATATATTTTAAAGAAAATAATTCTAACTCAAGTTCTAAAAAACAAGAAGACGAGCAAAAAAATAGACTAAATAATAGTATTATGTATCAAAAAAAGTTCACAAATGAAAAGCAAAAATGTTTCATTAAGGGTTCATGGAAAATACTTCAAGATTTAAAATATGCACAAAACTATATTTTATTAGAAAAAAGTAATGAAATCTATTTGAATAAAAATTTAAAAGAAAACAAAGACAAGAATAATATGGTAATTTTAAATAATATAAAGTTTCATAAACATTCTTTAAATTTTAAGAAAAGTAACATTGTAACTCAACACTTAGAAAAAGATAAAAAAAATAAATCAGGAAAAAATTTTGTTCATCCTTTTGATAACTTAAATTATGGAAAATGCAACATTACACGCGAAGATAAATATAAAAAAGAAATTCATTACTATTATAATTTAATAAAAGTAAAAAAAAAATTTAATAATTTACTAAATGAAAAATATATTGATAAAGTAACCTTTAATTTTTGTAATAATTATTTAAATAAAACTTTAAATGAATTTTTTAAGGAGCATTTTATTTATAAAAAAAGGCATTCTAATGAAAATTACAAAAGTTTCTATAATTCAAATAATATTTTACTAGATAATATATCAAAAAGCGTTAAACACAATAAGTTCAGTTTCTTAAACACATTGTCTTGTAACAACTTTGATAATAATATTTCAAGAAAATTTCTAATCAGAGAAAACATTAAAAAAAAAAATTATGATTCCAATATTGATGAATTTAAATTTTTTACAAGTATTGATGGTAAATGTTACATAAATCGCTATAAAAAAATTAAAAAGATAAATAATCCATATTTTGATTTTCATAAAAATTTAAAGATAAATAAGGCTAATATAAAATATGCCAAATGTTCTTATAATAATAAGTCTACATTTAATGAAAGAAATATGAATAAAATTAAACACAATATCTCGTGTTTGTGGAAAAATCCTAATTTTAATTTTTCTCATAAATTTTTAAATAATTCAAAAGTAAGTATAAATAATGATATTCTTAAAATTAAAAGAGTTGAAGAAAAAAGTAAAACATATAAAAATGGAACATTAATAAATTCTAAGGGAGAAAAAAAAGAAAATGAGCCATTAATAAGTATTATAAGGAAAATTGATGAAAATTTAGAAAGTAACAAAATAGAAAATAAAATAAAAAGAGAGTTTATAAAAAAAAGTAAAGACAATAATAAAACTGTTAATCAAAAAATTTATAAAAAAAAAAAATTTTATAAAGAATGTAGAAAAAAGGGGGAAAAATACTGCATGTATAATTCTAAAAGTGTTGATATAGTAGATGAAAAAGCTGATATTATTAAAGAAAATATTAAAACGGAAAATGATATATGTAAAAAAACTTTAAGTAAGGTAAAAATATATAACTCTATAAAAGAAAGAGAATTAATTGATAAAAAAATGAAACTAAACAAAATGAAAAATAATATATTAAATGAAAATTTTAAACTTAAAGAGAAAAGACATTATTCTCATAATAATTTTTTAGGAAATTTTTATTGTATAAATAAAGTAAGAATTAAAAAAGAAAAAAATAATAAAAATATAATGAACGATTTAGGAAAACAAAACAAAGAAAATTTATTTGAAATCAAGAAGAAAATAAAACTTAATTTTACATGTGTTGATAATTTAAATGAAAATTCTGCAAATAGAAGTAATCTTTCATTCTCAAAAAATATGAATAATTATCAAGCTAATATTACAAAAACAATGAATAATAGAATATTTGATGAAAATCATAAAAAAACATTTCATTCTAATATTGAAAAATCCATTAAAAACAACCAAAAAAAATTATTAAAAGTTAATTTAGGAAAACTCAAAAGTGAAAAGGAAAGGAGGATTAATGAGATACACAACATAGATATTTTAGTAATAAAAAAAATGGAAAATAAATTTAATGAAAAAGAAAAAATTATTTTTAATCAAAATGAAAAAATAAAGATACACAAGCGTCTACCCAATTTCAAAAAATTAATAAAAAAAGTAAAGAAATATTTATATATCAATGTAATATTCAAAAAGAAAAAAAGAAGAAAATATTTATTAAAAGACATTCATTTTTTAAAAAAATATGTATACAATTTTTCTCAATTAAAAAAAAATATAAATAAAAAAAATAATAGAAAATTTTTAAAGAATTCATATACTAAGAACAATTTAATTTTAAACAAATTATACAAAGATAGAAGTATCATAAAAAAACATGATCAAAGTAAATTTAAAGCAAATAATAAGGATTACACAGTGAATAAGATGAAGAAAAAAATAGAAAAAGAAAAATCTTCATTAAAAAATTTAAATGATGCTGAATGTAAAATATACATTTTACTCGAAAATTTTTCGAGTGAACGTAAAATTAAAAGAATGAAATAAAGAATATTAATCATAATAAAAGGTTATTTAAAAAGAAATTGGAGGTATATAGACAAAAAGTCTTTAAAAATAATATTAAGAATTTGTAAATGAAAAAAGATAAATATTGAGGGAAAACATATATATAAAAACTTATCAATCAAATATAGAAACAGATAAAGAATAAGAATAATAAAAAAAAGACATTTTGACAGCTAAAAAGTTGATTTTAAAGAAACAGTAAATAAAGTAAGTACATAATAAAGATAACTATTGTATGTATTTAATTTACAGATATGAGACATTTTTTACAACAATTTTTAATTGAAGTCATAAATATTTATTGAATTACTTCTATACAATAATTCAGAAATAAAAAAAATAATAATTTCTAGATTAGTTTCATTTTTAATATAATATTTGCACTTATTTACCTAGAAATTAAGATTTAATAATTAAACTGTAAAGGGGAAACGAGGAAAAAAGGAAAAATAAAGATATGAAATTAATGGAATAAAACATTATTGGAAAACTAAAGTATATATAGATTAAAAGATAAAAATGTATAAAGACAGAGAGATATATCAACTCAATACACAGATGCTATACCTTTATGTAGACATAAATTAATAAAAATATTAACAGAATAGTAAAAGTATAATGTGGATATTTATGAAGATTCATAATTCTTTTTTTTTTAAATTCTTAGACGTAAAAATAACACCTTTTTTAAACATAAAAAAGTGTTTTGAATAAACATTTTTAATTTCTTTTTATATTAAAATAACTTTTATTGTAAGTTCAATGTACATTTCACATCAGAATTTTTAGCTCTCGGTAAAAATAAATGACAATAAATATTACCAGAATTAATAAAGTATAGTTAACAAAAATATTAAAAAAAAATGTAATATTAGCAAAAATTGTATGCATTAATCTTTATCATAATGAACAATTTAGTTTAAGTAACAAATATCAATAACTTTAAAAAAAGTTATATAATAAAATGTCATAAAACCACTGTTTAAATAATATTTAAAACCTAAAAAAATATTACTTTTTCATAATCTTCTTTTTTTAAGAAAATAAACCTACACATATTTATAGAATGAAAATTATATCATTGCATTATTAACTTAAAAATATGTGAAATTTCTTCTTTTTTTTTAGACAAAAAAACCTTTTATTTTATGTGAACAAAATGTAAATTATTAAATTTATTTATGAATTATATTTTTTTTTAAATTGTGAAATAATAATTTTTCATACCCTTCATATATCCCTTAAATATTCTTTATTACCTCTTTTAATTTTTCTTATGTCTATAAGACTTTGCAGTTCATAATATTATCTCTAACAGCTAAATATTATTTTTTTTTTTTATAACTTTTTATTCGAAAAGTAAATTATATTTTAAACAATTATCAATTTTTTTCTATTACAAAAGATATTAATTTTAAAAGCTTTCTATGCAAAGTAAAAAGAAAATTTTTGAGGTATAAAATTTCAACAACGGAAGATATATTTCTGTTTGGATATGTGATATATAGTGCATAAAAAAAATGAGTATGAAAAATTATGTAATTTTAATAGCATATATTTTTATAGTTTCAAATACATAATTTATTTTGGATAGATATTTTACTTATCCTGAATGAGTCGAAATCATGTTGTAATGTAAAAAAAAATATTTCACAATTATTTAAAAGTGAAAATAAATTTAAATAGAAATAGAAAAATTGTTTAATAAATAAAAAAAATATATCATATAATTTTATACATTGATTCTTCTTATATAAAATTAGTAAATTTTCTGTTTTAATAATTTAAACATAGCATATAATTATTTACAGTTAAATTTATGAAAAATCATATGGATCTATGAAAAAATAGAAGAAAAAAAAATATCATTCGTTGAGTATTTCATTGTTCATTTTGTTAATGTATTTAAGTTTTACACTTATTAAGCATAGATGAAAATTTTTAAGTCAACTGTAAAAATTAAAAAAATAAATTATTAACACAAATTATATTTAGCATTTTCATTGTCTTTAATATGTTTTCTTTGAATAGTGATAAATCTTTCATTTTTTTATGTATATTTATAATATCTATTTTATTTACTATTTTCCAGATTATAAGATTTATATATGATCATCCATCTTTTTTTTATTGTAAATATAAAATATTTCAATTGGGGATACTGATTGAATAATATTCATTTTTTAATTTATATTTACAAATTTTTACAATAGTGTTTTCTTCTAGACCAGCAAATTGCTTTAAAAAAAAATTTCAAATATTAAATTAATTTTTATTTTATTTAATAATTCTCCAAAAAATTATGTAGATAATATAAAGTTGTCTATTTTTTTATAATACTTATTAATATCAAAGTATCAACATAAAGGGAAAGTTATGAAAATATATTATATAAAAGGTTCAGCGTTCTTTTATTTTTATTAGTGTGTTATATTTAAGACTTTAAAAATAAAAATGTATAATGCTAATAAATATATTTAAATTAAAAAATAAAAAATCCCTTTTTATGATATATTAGATTCATAGTCTGTATATAAAAATAGAAATATACTTATAAGGTGACTATATAAATATATATTTATTAAGAAATTATATAATATATAATTTTATTGTTTTGGAAAGTATCTTACTCCTAAAATGAGCTAATCAGGTACAAAGATTAATAATTCAACACTTCATATTCACAAATGTAATACTAATTATGTGAATCATAAAATAGTAAAAAATGAATAAAAATAAAATAATATTTTTATTGGTCTATATAATAATTATTTTATATTTTTTTATTAATTTATTCTTTAATATTTACCAACTGTAAAAATTAAGAAATGGTGTAAATTTCCCAGTCAATTAAAGCATGTTATTTGTAGTTAATTTTTTTTTTTATAAAAAATTCTCTAAATTTTAATAAATTCATTAAATTAGTAATTTATAGTTTCTATTCTTAAAATAAACAATATATATTTTAAAATATAAAGAAATAGCAATAAAAATAATAATAGAAAAAAGTAAAAGAGAAGAAATAACAAAATAAAACGATCTATACTATTATTTAGAGGAAGCGAAGTAATAAGTAAAATATTCTTTTATTTACTCTTCACATACTCGATTTCACTTTATAGATTTTCAAAAACTCTCTAAAAGTTAAAAATTTTTCTTAATTTATAAATTATTTAAATATAAATTTTTTTAAAATACAATATTATAAAAGAGAGTAAAAATCATAATTCAAATTTTACATAAATAATAATGTACAATATATAAATTAAATAAAGAAAAATAATATAAAAAATTCATAGTTTACCATCGTTTAAAAATGTGTTTAATATGTCAATTAAACAAATTAAAAATAATAAATATTAGATAAATGATTCTTAATTTTATATTCATTTTTTTTATTAAATATTATTTATACTATATTATTAATATATTAATTTATTATATTAAAATTATATATATATAATTTTATTTATTACTATAAATATACTACAATGATTAATAAATCTAATTTAAATTGTTTTTAATAAATAATATAATTTCGTATTTTTTCAAAAATTTTTATTCATTATTATTTTCTTTTACCAAAAATTGTCTTATCATTTTAGTCCATTTAAATTTTAATATAATAATAAAATTAAACTTATTTATTAGTACAATATATATATATATATATATTATTAATTTATAAAATTAATTAATTTTATTATTTTAATAACATTTATTTAATTGATAAACGTTAGTTTATTTTTTGATATTTTTCATTATAATTTACTTTTATATATTTCACAATATACGATTAATTAAATATAAATTATTATTTTTTTTTTAAATTAATACATATATTTACTTATTCAATTAAATTACATTGATTGTACTAATTTATAAATTATTTCGTTTTCGCTATAGTTAATTCAATAATAAATTAATTTATGAATATATTTATTTCATTGTTGTTTATTTATATATTACTTACAATGATAATTATATTAATTTTAATTATATAAGTTACTGTAAAGTATTATTATTTAATTAAATTTATTTATTTATATGTTTAATAATAATTATTGTTCAATTAATTAAATTAGTTTATTCAGATTTTTAATTTAATTTATTTACTTGTATATTTTATTTATTTATTTTCATTCATTTACCGATGTACTTATTATTTCATTAATATTTAAATAATTAATTTATTAATAATTAATTATCACTAATTAATAGTATATCAGTTCTATTAATTTCAATTAATTAATTTGTTTTAATAATATTTAATTTAAATTAATATATATTAATTTTATTAATATTAATTTAATTTATTTTTATTATTATATATATTTTATTAATTTAAATAATTAATTTATTAATATTATGTATATTTTTATTAATTATCATTAATTTTAATTATTTTATTTATTAAAATTATATTAATTTTATTAATATTTATTTCTATTATTATATATTAATTAATACTTATTTAATTATTTTATTTATAATATATTTATTTTATTAATGTTAATTAATTTATTAATATTATATTAATATATTAATAATTATTTAGTTTATTTATCAATATTATATAAGTTTTATTAATTTTAATTAATTTATTTATATTAATTCTTATTATTTAGTTAATTAGTTTAATTATAATGTTTTTATTTTATTAATATTAAATTAATTTAATTATTAATATATATATATATATATTATTAATTAATTAATTAATTAATTAATTAATTTATTTATTTATTTATTAATAATATATATATTTTATTAATATTAATTAATTTATTTAGAATATGTTTATTTTATTATTATTTAATTTATTTATTTATTAATAATATATATATATATTATTAATTTTAATTAATTTATCTACAATATGTTTATTTTGTTATTATTTAATTTTTTTATTTATTAATAAAATATATTTTTTTATTAATTTTAATTAATTTATTTATAATATGTTTATTTTATTATTAATTAATTAATTTATTTATTTATTTATTAATAATATATATATTTTTATTAATTAATTAATTTACTTATTTATTTATTAATAATATATATATTTTTATTAATATTAATTAATTTATTTATAATATGTTTATTTTATTATTATTTATTTAATTAATTAATTTATTTATTTATAATATATATTTTTTTATTAATTTTAATTAATTTATTTATAATATGTTTATTTTATTATTAATTAATTAATTAATAATTAATTTATTTATTTATAATATATATTATTTTTATTAATTTTAATTAATTAATTTATTTATTTATTTATTAATAATATATATTTTTTTATTAATTTTAATTAATTTATTTATTAAATAATATATATATTTTTTTTTATTAATCTTAATTAATTAATTTATTTATATTTTATAGCTTTTATTAATTTTATTTAATTTATTTATAATATATTTATTTTCTTTAATATTTAATCGGTTTATTTATTAATATTTTTTATCATATACATTTTTATTAATTTTAAAATTAATTTGTTTATATTAATATTGTATTATTTTTTATTAATATTATACTGATTTATTTATTTATATTGTATTTATTTTATTTTTATTTATTAAAATTATTTATATATTATTAATTTTTAATTAGTTTAGTTTATTTATTAATATTTATTTATTTTTTTTATTAATTTATATTATGTATATTTTATTAATTTCAATGAATTAATTTATTCTTATATACATTTTATTAATGTGTTTAATTTCCTTTTAATTTGATTATTAAATTTTTAAATTATTTTAATTTTATTATTTATTTGTTATATTTTTTTTTTTGTTAATATTCGAAGAATATTATATTATATATATATATTTATTAATTAATATATTAAAAAAAAAAAATAAATAAAAATAAATAAATATTCAGTTAATATATTAATTTATTTTTATTAAATTTTAATATTAATTAAATAACTTTTTGTTTATTATTATGATTCTTATTAATTAAATTAATTTATATTAACTTAAAATATTTATTATTTATTTAGCTAATTATAATTAATTTACACACATTTTTCATATATTTTTTATTTATTTTTTATTTTTTTATATTTTACATCTTATTTATTTAATAAAATAAATATATATGATGTGTATATATTTAACATAATATATTTTGAATGTTTTATTTTAGTAAAAATTTTTATTATTTAAATAATAATATTTTAGTTTAATAAATTTTATTATTTACATGCTATTTCATTTCATAAAATACATTTTAATGAAAAAATTTCCTTTTTTATATAGTTATTTTATTTATATTTATTAATATTATTTAAACTGTTTAGTTGTTATATTTTATAGTTTATATGAGGTATTAAATCAAGAAATTTTAATATATATCTATTTTTTTTCTTCATTAATTTTATTTAAGAACTGTTTAAATTTAGTTTTTTATAAATCAATTTTTTTTTTTTTTTTTTGAGTTGTACAATAATATTTTATGTATAATTTAAATGTTATTTCACTTTTTTTTGTTACAACATATTTTTTTGTGTAGTTTAACTTTTTAAATATAATATTAAATTTTTATTATAAAATTATTATATGTTGATATGTATTAATTCACTATATGTTTATTCATTTTTAATTTCTTTTATAAAATATTTTAAAAAATACAAACTATTCGTTTTTACATACCAATTTTTTTTACAAAAACACTCTTGAATTAATCTTTATTTTTTATTGTTTCTTTCTATGTTCTTCTAAAAAATTAATGGCTTATCTTCAGATTTTAATAATAAAAATACATAATGCATATGTTATCATTATTTATTCTTTTTTTTGTTTTTCTTAATATTTTATATTTTTTTTCTTTTTTGCTATTATATTTTTAAGTGGTGATTATTCTGTCTTTGCATTATTTAATGTTTATGAATAAATGGATAATCAACTTGTTTTTTAATAGAGTAAATGTTTTAATGTGACATTTTTTGCTTTTGTATATTCCCAAACATGTCAGTCTATTTAAATACTTATATTAGAATTATATGTGAAATATAAGTATATTTCACAATTAAAGAGAATATGAAATTTTATAAATTTTTTGTTAATACTATGGAAAATAAATAATTTATTATTTAACTGATTCTTAACCTTTATATAATTTTAGAATTGTAACAAAAAATTGAACATTTCATATAAACTATCTCACTTTTTAATGAAAAAAATAAGAGAAAATATAAATCATTATATATATCTTTTTTAATAAATTGGTTGTAATTTAATACATACTAGTTTTATTTTTAATATAAAGATAATTTTAACAAAAATCATAGAGAGAATCTTATCATGAAAAATAGAAGTTTTTTTTCAAACTTTTTATATTAAGATAGTTTTTATCATCTTTTGTTATTATTAAGAATATAGAGCATTATTATCCTCTTTTTTTATTGCTTATAAGAATATTTATATATTAAACATTTTAGGTTTTTATAATCAGATGAAACAATACAAATCGAAATATGTACAAGATAAGACATTTCGTTAACTTTATGATTCTTAAAGAACTTTCTTTTTTTTTTGAATAAAATCTTTCATATTTTACAAATATAACATGAAAAAATATTGATTACTTTGAATTTTATTGGAGCTATTTATATGAAAAGAAACTTCAAAGAATAGTTTTTCCTTTTTTTAGAAACTATATAAAATTTTTTTTTTTTTTTTTTTTTTTTTTTGTTATAGAATGAATAAAACACAAATTATAGAATAATACTAGCTATGTAAAAATTTATGAGAAAAATTATAACTTCAATTATTCAAAGAAAAATGAAAAATATTGAATATCTATGTTGTATAGTTTCTTTTGAACTAAATAATTTTGCTTTACAATAGAGGAGGGAAACATGGTAAGAAGATTAGACAATAAACATATGAAATTTAAGAAATCAAAGAAAATAAAATCAAGAAAAAAAAATAATGTTTTTTATAAACTTTTTGAATGAAAATAAACATATTTTTAGCACATAATAACTTTAATAAAAAAAAAAATACATTATAGAATATATTTTCTATCATATTCTGTTGTATATAATACAAAGTATAAACATTTACGAATAAATTTTGATATAAAATTTTCCAAAATCAGTATAATATCCTAAAAATAGAAATATTTATTATATTAATATCTTTAAATAACACTACTAATTTGTATGCCTACTTCTTAAATTTAAGAATTTTAGAAGAATGAAAAAAATATAATTTTGTTTCTGGCCAATTCCACAACAATTATTACAAAAAAATGATTTTTTTTTTAGAAATATTTGAAGTGCTTTTTATTTGCAAAAAAAAAAAAAATGTAATTTCAAATGAATTTACTTAAAAATAATCTTTTTGATTATTTATACGCTATTTGATGGTTACATTTAATCCTTTGAATGACAAATAAAATTTGTAAATCATCAATAGCTATATTAAAATCTCTCAAATTCTTCAAAAAAATCATTTATAAAAAAATATAAAATGAAAATAACTTATATATATAAAGTGAACCACTTTTATGAGTTTATAATTTCACACTTATTATATTTTTTTTTTCAGAGTATCTTAAGTTTTTATATTCATAATATAGTATTAATTATTTGCCATAACTATAGTTTAATCTGCAAAACTTTTATATTTTAATTGTAAATATGCATAGAATTTATTTAAACTAATTTTTGTAGTTAATTTTATTATATTTTCATAAAAAATTTTTTTATGTAATGGAAATGGATTATTTTTCTTTTTCGTATTTTTATAAAAATAAACCTTTTTGTATCTAAATAAAAGAATAAATTAGCTGATAACATTTATATATTTGTATTGATTTAAATAATTTCTAAAAATTTTTATAACTTAAAATATTTGTCTTTCCTAGTTATTTTAAAATGTAATTTTTTTTATAACTCAAGAAATATTTATTTTTTTGTATTATTTACGATATTATACTTAAAAAAGAATATAATGATTGTGTTTTAATTTTTTGAATTTTTTTATTAATATTCCTTAATAGAATTTTTATAAGTTTATAATATCTCTAAAGATATTTTCATATATAATTGAGTGAATATATTTCGTTTAATTTGTTTAACGAATTTACATATTTTATATGGTACATTTTCTTGTAATATAATAAAATCGTTGCACATCATAGACTATTAATTATTAAATAAATACATATGATAAAACAAATTTTATAAGTTATATTCTTGTGATATATTTAGAAAAAAAGATTAAACTTTATAGATAATAGATATACCATGTAAAATATGAATAATTATGAAAATTAAATAAGTATAATCTACAAATAAAAACTATAAAAGAGTGTTTTATGTAATGTATATAAAATGTACAATGTGTGAAATACTTAATTGTTTTTCATTAAAATATAATTAATTAAATATACACAAATATATTGCCTACTAAAATATATGTATAAATATATATCTAAATGTTACACTAAAAAAAATTAATACTGAAATTTAACAAAAATATATTAAAAAAAACTTGTTAAATTTGTGGGTTATCTAAGTAAAATTAAATAAACTCTAAAAGGAAATAGTAATGTCAAATATATATGAAAAATTAATAATTAAAAATACAAAAGACTTTTTCTTTAATTAAAATATTTATGAATAAAATTATTTGTATTTCTACAAAAATAATGGTATAAAAAAATATTAAGGACAAATATATATCTTATAAAAAGTGTTATAAAAATGATTATTAAAAAATTAGACTAATGGTTAAAACATATAAATTAGAAAATGTAAAAAACATTATTTTCTTTAAAAAGAACTCACTAATGCTGCTGTTATCATTTGTTTTTTCTACATTCCTCTTCAAGATATTGACTTAGTAATAAAATGGGATTTGTTTTTACATATTTTGTCAGGATCTAAGTAATAAAATGTCACATAAAATATATAAATAATATATATATATTATAAAGTATGAAAATACAATTATATATTCATTTAATATTAATTTCAAAGGTTAAAAAAAAAAGAAATATATCAAAAATATAAAAAAAATCATTACTTCTTGCTGAATTTCAAATAATACTGTAGGTTTTTCTTCTAATTTATCAGTATCGAATATATTTACATGATCTATTCAATTTTTTAAATAAAAATTTATTATTTTTTGTTTTGTTAATACGATTTTAAGTGATAAAAATAATTGAAATATTTTTTATTTGTGTAGTATCTTTTAAATTTATTAAAAATATAATTTTTTTATGAATTAATATGAATTTCCACTTGGTATTAAATTTATGTAACATATAGATATATTGAAATGAAATTGAAATTTCCTTAAATGTCTAAACATTTTGCAAAGTCAAAATAGGAAATTTCAAAAAAAAAAAGATTTTATTAATCTTAAAGTTTTACAAAAAAAGGCTGTGTGTACACATGTGTAAGTGGAAAATAAATAAATACAAATAAATTGTTTGTTTTACCAATATTAGTATCATTCCTATAAATTCACAAAAAGAAACGTTAAAAAAACAAATATTAAGCTATCAGATACCTTGATTAAAAGATATAAATATATATATTACTTTTCACAGCATAGATTATTTATCTTCTTTTTGTCACCACAATCATAAACTATTTTAAAATATTTATGTTTCTCTTTTTCCTGGTTTACTGATCTAACTAACTATATATATTATATATAGAAAAAAAAATGTATATATATACTTTAACACTTTCATTCATTTTGCTTATTAGAATATTTTTAATTAAATTTACTTTTTCCAATGCCTATAAAATTAAAAAGAACTAGATTTAAATTATTTACAATAAAAACAGAATAGATAATAAATTTAGACATTATGTATTCATTATTATACATTTTTTGTCATTAAGTAATTACTGGTATTAAAAAGGGGAAAATGAAATCTCTAATGTATTCAATATTTTCATCATCATGAAATACATTTTTTCCATATATAATATGAACAAAATCATCAAAATTCATTTGGAAAAAAATAAAAAATATTAATGTTTAAATTATTAGAAATAGACAAATGGTAAAAAATTATTATCTTTCCATATAAATAAAAGTATAAAAAATAATTGTAAGGTTTATTTTTTTAAAATAAAAATATAAGATATGAGAATAAAAGAGGTATTCATAATAATTAAGAATTCATATATGTTACTTCCGCGTGTTAATTTGAAAGAAAATTTTATTTTCAATAAATGAGATTTAAGGAATAATTTCCTTGAGATTAAGAAAAAAAAATAAAAAAGTTAATTATTATCGTTTTATAACTTTTAATGAATTTTTACTATGGAAATATAAAAATAAATGTACATATTATACACTTATTTTAATGGATATTTAATTGTTTTTCAATATAAATGTTAGCATTAGAAAGAAGTAATTTCAATAAAAATACATCTTGTGACAATAGAAATATATTATAAATTAACTTTTCAAAATAAATAGAGGCTTATGCAATTATTTAAAGTTATTTCTGAAAAAAAAAATAAGACAAAAAAAAAAATATATATAGATTTATGTTAGGAAAAATAACAATATGAAAAATAGAAACATCTTAATTTTACTTTTAAACTAATTTACTAATTTTTTTGTAAATACAAGATTTGAAAAAAAAAAAAAATAGAATTCATGACTAAGCATTTTAAATAATATTTTTATTTATTTTTATAATTAAAAAAAATTAGGGACTGTCTTGAAATTAAAAACTGAAATACTATTTTAATCATTGAGATAATTAGAAACTCTTTTTTTTTTAAATGTTAAGAAAAATGTAAAAAAAAAAATAAATATATACATTATATATAAATACAAATACATAGGAAAAATGTATATGTAAAATAAATAAATTGGTTTGTGGATATATTTTTTAATTTATTCTTTTTATTATTAATATAATAATTTCATAATTCATATATATACATAACGTATATGCATCATTACATTATAATTAAACGAGAAACTTTTTATATATACAAAGTTTACTTTTCAGACATATCCTATTCTTACTAAAATGGTTGAACTCCTTGATATAAAGAAAAAAACAATTATTTTTCTTTCATTTCTACTTGTCCATCGGAGAAATCTTCTAACGCATTCTGTGATTGTTCACTATGAGCTCTTTTAATTCCCTCAGCTACTAATTTTGCAACTGACAGAATATGCAGTTTTTCACAGCATATATTGCTTGGAATATGTATAGTATTTGTAGTAACAACTTCATCAATACATGAATCATTAATTTTTTCAATACAACCATCAGATAATATAGCATGCGTAGCATATAAATATATTTTTCTAGCTCCTGCATTTTTTAGAAGAGTGGCGACTTTTTGAGATTTTTCACCAGTATCAATAATATCATCTATTAAAATACAGTCACATCCTTTAATATCACCAACTATAGTGAATTTCTCTTTTTCATAAGAATTCCTATTTTTTTTATTCGTACCTTCTAAGTTTCCTGAATCGTTTAAAAACATATTATTCTTTTTTTCTTTGTTGAAGTTATTTATTTCATCTTCATTTATATAATTTTTTGTATCATTATTTTCTTGCTTTTTTTCCTGATAATTTATGTTTTTATAATCCTTATTAGAAAAATCGTTATCATTTGTTTCATTACTTGGATAACCTTCTCTACTATTCATTTCAGTAACTGTACTAGAAACAACTGTTGTAAATCCTGCATTAATTGAATGCTTTTTCATTCTCATCCAAAATTCCTTGGTTCTTTCTCCTCCCTCATTATCAATTGAAACAATAACTGGGTTTTGAAGATTTTTTTTTTTAAAATATTGTACAGCCAGAGACTGAGGATTAATGTTCATAAGAGGAGGTTGAAAATCTTTTTCTGTAGAAAAACCTTCTATTCTAGGATTGTGTAAATCAACAGATATAATTGCATCAACTCCACATGTTTGTAGCAAAATGGCTACTTCCGGTGCTCCTAATGAATGAACATAATTAAAGTCATCTAAATGTTTAGCTTGTCTTGAATAATTCAAATAAGGTATAACTGCTGTAACTTTTTTAGCAGAAGATCTTCTTAGTGTTGATATAAATAAAAACAACTCCATTAAACGAGAATGAACATCTTTACCACCTGATGGAGTAGAATGAATTATGTATATATCTCTTCCTCTAACTTCATCCATTATTTGAAGAGCTATCTCTCCATCACTATATTTTCCAACATAGGCTCTACCTAAACTTATTCCTAAATTGGAACATATTTCATTTGCTAATTCATGATGACTATTACTTGAAAATATTTGCATATTACTATATTCACTTAATTCTTGATAATATTCGTATTTATCATCTTCTGATTCATTATTATTCTTTATTGTAGGTAATTTATTTGTTTTATGTAAATTGTATGTTTCATACAAGTCAGTGGACATTTTGCTATTTTTATTTATTTTACTAACTTCGTTTTTCTTTTTAATATCTTCATTTATATTTGTCTGTATGTCGGATGATGGTTTGTTTTTTTTAAAATCTATGTTCTTATTTTCAAAGTTTTCATCTTTATTTGAATGAAGAAACAATCCAAATAAATGGGCAAATAAAATGGTTTTTGTTTTTAAGTTTTTTTTACCATTGAACCTTTTATCTTCTCTATTTGGGAATATTGGATATTTATTAAAATTGTTGTGTTTTGTGTTTTTGTAAATTATATATATGTTCTTCTGAAAAATATCCTTATATATGTTTACAGATCCATTTTTATTCAGCAAATATTTTAATTTTTCATTGCATTCATAAAACTTACGCGAGCAATTGTAAATTTTATTAATCATTATTGTATTATATGTTCTCCTTTTTAAGTTCAATAATAAATTAATATATAAAATACGCAAATGAAAAGAAAAAATATATATAAAGTCAATAAAAATACAAAAGAATAAAAGTAAAAAAAAATGTTTTTAATTTCATTAAAAAGACGTTTACAAGTTTCTTTTTCTTTTTTCTTTTTTTTTTTTTTATAAGAAATGTGCTAATTTTTTTGTAGATCTCACATTTGTATTCTAAATATGTTTAGTTAATTATAAATTATATTTAATTTTTATGTATTAACCAATTAAAGCGTTCAGAAATAAAATAAATATTCATATCTACTGCATTTTAGATATAATAATAACAAAGAATATCAATTCTCTTTATTACATTTATATTTGTATAAAACTTTCTTTAACTCTTAAAAAATTTCCATTTTTGTAAATTTAATTCAACGTAATTTTTAATAAATCTATTTATTTAAAAATCTATATTTATTTTTTCTTTATGTAAGTTATTAAAACAAAGTAAAAAATAACAAAAAAATCAATAAATTAATTTTATAAATTTAAAACATTTAATTTACTTTTATATTATTAACTACGAATACATATATTTTTATACAGTGATGCAAACATTATAAACCATAAATATTATATAGTTTAAAAATAGTCACGTAGAAGGATATATTAAAATATTATTTATAAAAATTTAAACATTTTAAATGTATAATATATATATTTAGCAATTTATATTTATATATTTAATATTTTTTTTTACTGTAAATATTTAGAATGTTATAAAAATTTTATATTATTTTTGTTTTATAAAAAAATGATTACATCTACATTTAAATTTTATTTTTGTAAATTTATTACATATTGCATATAATGATTATGTGAAAAAAAAAAAAATATATATAAATGATTTGAGTATAATTCACATATATATGAAGCAAGAAATTTCTGTTTATCTTTTTTTTTAATAAAAAAATTAAATTAAAACAAATAAAATGTGCTATATAATAATATACAATATATACAAAGTTTGATTTTTTAATACACAAAATCAGTAACGAAATTTTTTCTACTATTTATAAAAATATTAATTATAGAAAGTGTTTTGTGCCATATATATGCGTGCTAGTTCATTATTCTTTAAAATTCTTATTTGTAAATAAAACAAATGGTTAATAAATTGTTCGTTGTTATTCTCTTAATATAATAACATTACAAAAATGTATAGAATTAAATGAAAAAAAAGAAATATTTTAATTCATTTAATTTGAATCAAAGTAAAATTTTTTAAAACACATAATTATAAAAATGATTGTACAAAAATTATAAACGTAAATAATTATATTATAGAAAAAATTTTATCCCTATATAATTAAATATTAATTTTTTCCTATATATAATGAATTTTCACACTATTTTTAATGAGATGATTGCATTTTTTAATATGTATTTTCTGCTATTTTTTAAGAAACCTTACTATATTTACTTATCATAAATATGATGAATAATAGAAGCATATTAAGTTTCATTAAACCTTACTAAAGTTATTAAAAAAAAAAAAAAAAAAAAGTGTATTTTATCCACTTCTTATTTCAAAATAATATTTATTTAAAAAAGTGTGCTTTTTATTAGCCGCTTTAAGAAAAAAGAAAAACATATAAGGAAATATATTTTTAAAATATTGCATTTTTCAAAGCAAGAATTAACTTTTTAAAAGATAAAACAGGTTCATTCTATCACAAAATGTTTAATTTTTAAAATGAATAAAAAATATAATTTATAAATATATATTATGTTAACTTTTAATAAAAATAAATAACATAATATATTTAAATGAAATATAATTTTGCTAATTTGAAGTTATATCAGAAACGTTGATCAATTTATAAACATATTTTATAATACAAAAATTAGTACATATATTTAAATATATATATACATGTACTTATAAAATTTTTCTTGTTTTTAAAACTCAATATGTTTTCAAAAAATTATTTTAAATCATTTATTTTTTTATTTTATATTTCAAATATTTGTAATATTTAAAGTTGAATACATTTTTTTTTTAGTGTATTTTTAATGTATTTATTAAAAATATAAATGTTAAAATTTTTTTTTATTTTATTTTAATAAATAATATTAAAAAAAAAAAAAATATATATTAATGCAATTCACACTTTTTTTTTTTTTTTTTTTTTTATTAAAAAATATGCTAAAATGAAAATAAAAACAATTATATTTTTATAAATAATTAAAACTAGTTAATTATGAGTATATATTTTTATTAGTTATGAAATAAATTATGATTTAAAAAAGAAAAATATATGCTAGCATAGGAATGAATAAAAAACTTTGACTTACATAAAAACTCTATCATTTATTAATTTTTTTTGGTGTTAATTTTATAAAAGAGAGTTTATAGGAACATTTAGTTGTATCTATCCTATTTAAAATTAATATATTTATGTTTAATTTAAAAAGAAGAAAACATGTATTCATCTAAAAGACCATATAAAATATTACAAAAGGGGAAAATAAATGACGATAATAAAAAAGACACTAATGAAAAGAAAAAAGAAGATATAGTTTGTGAAGATAGTAAAAAATATATTAGTGAGAGAAAAAAAAAAGAAGAATTAAAATATTATGGAAAAAGTTATAGAAAATATAATAACAAAAATTATGAAGAAAATGAAAGAAGAAAAAAAAGTTCAAGAAATTATAATTCTGGTAGTAACTATTATGAAAAATATTCAAAAATATATACTAATTGCAATGATGAAAAATTGAACAATCAAACATCATTAAAAAAGAAAAACGATGTATTAGTATCTTTGTTAACTCAAGCGAAAAATGATGTTAATAAAAAAAAAATTGTAGTAAGACATTTACCTCCAACTTTAAGTGAAAACCATTTTTTTGACTCATTTTCAAATAATCTGAAAGATGAATTAGATTATTACTATTTTGTTAATGGAAAGATAGGGAAGGATTCATCTTCTGATATAATTCATTCACGCATTTATTTATCTTTTAAGGATGATTTAAAAACAGAGGAGTTCATAAAAAGTCAACATGGCAAATTTTTTTATGACATAAATGGGGTTAGGTATAAAGCAATTGTATCATTAGCACCAAATCAAACACTAATACAAAAAAATAAACATGATGGTAGAAATAATACCTTAGAATCGGATGAATATTTTTTAAAATGTTGTGAAGAAATGAATAATCCTATTCAACCACTACGAAAAGATATAGATTATTATGAATTAATTAATGTAGTAAATGAAAATGGTGCTATACTATCTCCTATAGTTGTAGAATTAAGAGATAAATTAAAAAAAAAAAAATAAAAATAAGTTCTATTTGAAAACAACATAATTTATATAAATTTTAAGACGAAATTATGTAAAATAAAATATAACAAGAAACGAGATAAAAGTAGATAAAAGAAAATAATAACAAATAATAAATTTGTAAAAATGTTTCACTATATATTCAAGCACAAATGTCAAAAAAAACAAAAAAAAAAAAAAAAATAAAATAAAATAAAAAATAAATTTTAAAAGATATATTAAAAAAAATTTAAGTGACAAATTAGCAGAGAAAAAATTAAGGATATAATAGATGTTTATTGTTCTAATGTAGTTTCGGGATATATGATCAAGAAAAAAAGGAGAAAAAAAAAAATATATTTAGATTTATGATTAAAAATTATTATGCTTAAAGTAGTTATTAAATATAGAATTAACTCCTAAATGGAGGGTAGTTAAATCACTGATAAAATAAACAAAAAAAAAAAAATAATTTTTTTACAATTTTATAATTATAAAAACTTATCTATTTTTTTATATGTATTGTTAGTAAAGATAATAATAAAGAGAAAAAAAAAAAAAAATGAATTATATGATTTATTTTTCATAAATATAAGTAATTCTATTTTAATTTGTAGTATAATTATTTAGAAATAAAAGCATGAAATTATAAGAATAAATTTTCTATTATTTATTTTTATTTGATGTTTTTATTTTAAAAATTATTTTTTTAAAATATTAGATACATATATTCTGGCTCATAAAAAACAATAAAGTCCTTTCAAATTACTATATACAATAATATATATATGAAGACAAATAAGTTAAATTATTACATGTTGTATCGGTATAGGTTATATTTTTTTATATAATTAAGAATTAGAGGATTGATTAATTTTTTTAATTCATTTGAATTATCATTTTTGGTTAAAATTTTTCTTATATTACTTGATGAAATAAAATTAACTTCAGATAGCTGTTTGAATTCAATTAAATAATATTTAGGAAATTGTTTTAATATGTTTTTGTCTATTTTAAAATTACCCCTTTCTATAATTATAAAATAATTTTCTAAAATTAGCTTTTCACCATTATCCCAAAGAATTATGTCATTTAACAAATCAGATCCAAGACAAAAGTAAAAAGTATTATTAGGATATTTTTCTTTTTGCATTTTTAGTAAATCGTAAGTTGGAGTAGTTCTATTTATATATTCAATATCCTTTAAAAATATTTTATTTTTTAATATTTGAGATGCATTATTTATAATTAAGGAGAACATTTTGTATCTGTGTTGAAAGTCTGTTAATTCTTTATCATTTCTACATTTACTTATAACTACCCATATTTCATCAATCCAATTTAAATTAGAAATTTCATTGAGAACCATTTCATGTGCTCTAGTAATTGGATCAAAGGAGCCTCCATATATACATATATTTTTATTCATTTTATAAAAAAAAAAAAAAGCAAAAACCTGAATAAATCTATGAAATAATGATAAAAAAATTTTAGTGCTTAATTACGATTTTATCTTGTCATTTTAAAAAATATTACTTTTTTTTGCATTTTCATTTACGTATGCTTTTATAAACTTATTCAATTTTATTGTTTTTTTTTTTTTTTTTTTTTTATGAAACAGTAATTGAATAATATAAGATTATTTAAAACATCATGTATTTTATCTTACAAGAATATTTTTTATGAAAAATATTTTTTAAATTAATAAACAAAAAGATGATATTTGTATTCATATAAATTATTTATAAAAGTTATTTATTAAATGTAACATACAAAAAAACAAAAAAAGTAATTTGCATTAACAAGGAATAAAAAGTGTAATAAATTTTAAAGTTTTAAAAAAAAATTCACTCTATTAAAATAGAATAATATATAGAAAAAAAAATGTAATTTTTTTTATCATATTGAATTAAAACATTATACTAATGTGAAGAAAATATTGCTTCAAGATGAAATGATGCTATAAAAAAAACGAAAAAAAAAAATTGCAAAAAAAAAAAAAAAAATGGATTATTAACTAAAAAAGTATTTAAAAAAAAATGACAAAAACAAAAAAAAAAAAATTTAAAAATAACCAAAAATTAAAAAAAAAAAAAATGAACAATTGAAAAGCATTTAGGATTTTTAAAAAAAGTGAGAAAATAAAAATTGAAATATATTCAATATACTATAAAAAATACGTATATTAAAGAATGATAATAATAATTAAAACAAAAAAATACAATGAGAAATAACTGAAATTATTATAAAAAAGGAAAAAATGAAAATATATGAATTGAAAAATATGTGAGTTTAAACAAAAAAAAAAAAAAAAAAAAAAGAATGAATTTTAATTAAGTGTTCCTTAATTTTTTTTTAAATTTTCATAGCTGGTATAGCAATAGAATCTAAAGAGTCTTTAAGAATAAAAAAAGGTTTTATATGAATAAATGGTTTTTTTATTATATCTCCTACGAAGATAGGTTTTAAAAATGCAAAAGAAGATGTAAAACTGATGTTTTTAGGCAATATGATTATATGAAAATGCAAAGCTTCGTTAATAACTGATATTTCGTAATTAATTGTATCTTCGTTTGTTATTTTATTTTCATCTGAATAAATGTTTAATTTTGTTTTATTTATTAATGTTAAATTATCATTATCTATATTACAAACATAAAAATCGTTTACAAAGAAGTCAAAATAAATAACTAAATGTTCATGATATTGAATTAAAAAGCTTGGTATTTTAGAATGCTTTTCATTCAAAAAATTTAACTCATTTGTTCTTAAAATTATTCCAATTGAAACATTACTATTTTTAGTTTGAATAATCTGAAAAAACAATTTACATTCGCTTATTAATCTTTCATCTCCATATGTGAAGGCATATTTTTCCATTTTATTTTTTTTTTTTTGTAAATAAAAAGAATATTTTTGATTTGTAAAGTTATTTACACAATTAAACTCTTTATTTTCTTTCCATGGATCACATCGCTTCTTTATTTCCTTATTTAAAATTTTTTTAAAAATATTATCAAATAATATGTTGTAAACATTATTCATACATTCAATAAACTTTTTATTAGAAATTTCTTTTTTCTCTTTAGTAAAATTAGGAGGTTCAAAAGATTCTTTATTTATACTTTTATACAACTCATTTATAGTTTTTATCTCTTCTGAAATTGGTAAATTAGAAGTATTATTATTAATTATCTCATTTTTATCATGTAGTTGATCTTTATCTTGAATATCAACATAGGAATCTTCAGAATTTGTCTTACTATTTACCATAATTCTTTTATCATTTTGTGAATGATATCCTACATAAATAAAATTAGATGAGTTGCATTTATTTTCTAAAATTTCTTCAAAACAATTTTTTATATATTGTTGAATACTATATAAATATTCATTATTTAATACATTGAATCTAATATTTTGAAAAATTAAGTTTTGCTGTTTTGCATCACAATTGTTTTTAATTATATATTTTATAGATTCAATAAATATTCTTATTTCGTTAATCATTATATTATCCAAACTCAAAATATAGATATATAATTCTGTGTCTAATAAATAGTGATACTTTCCTAAAAGATATAAAATAAAAGACATAAAGTATAATGATATGAATTAAAAAAGAAAAGAAATATCTTTAACAAATTTTAATTAATTAAATATATATATATTAATAAAGATAAAAATAAAAATAAAATTAAATCAAATAAATTATAATTTTTTACCTGAGAATAAATAAAATCCTGAATCTGAAATTATACGAGTAAAATCTTTAAATATATTGGTCTCTTTGTAAACTGAAGAAAAATGTAAAACTTTAACTATATTTTCAAAGTTAGCTTTTTCATTAATTGCATCGATAATGTCATTTATGATGCTAATAATTTTTAAATTGATGCATTCCATGTACATAGTTACTAATAATTTAAAATCTAAATTATATAGATTTATATTTTTATAATATATATATCTAAAAATAGTTTGAATAGCTTCAGGATAGTCCGTCTTTAACTTCATTTTTATATATATAGGACCATTTTTTTTCTTTAAATTATAATTCTCAACTTTTTTTTCAATAACATGATAAAAAAAAACAGAAATATATTTTGTTATAAATAAATTAGAAATTATTTTATGATATCCATAAAAATTATCACAGTTCTTTTGTTTTGGAATTAAAATAATTTCTACAATATTTTTATCATAAGGTGCTATAAGAAAATTTTTTAACGATTTTACTTTTTCAGCTAATAGAGTCTCACTTAATTCTAAAAAAGTTATATTTTCTTGATTAATGTATTTTTTCAATTCTTTTGATTCTAAAGAATGTTCATTTCTTTTAATTTTCAAGTAATATTGCAATTCAAGTTGCTTTAAAAAATATATTTCGGAAATTTTTTGTTTTAATTGATAATAATGCACATCTGATTTCCTTTTTATTAAACTATTTTTATTCAATTTTCCTTTTAATATCATTTCTAAAATTTCATTACAACTATAATATCCCTAATAAATAAAAATAAATAAATAAATAAAATAAATTAAATAACAAAATATATACATTCAAAAAAATATATTTTATATGCGCATTTATGACTGTATGATTATATTTCTAACTCTTACCTTATTTTTTTTTTTTTTGTCTAATATGGAATATATTTTTTTATGAGTTAGAGCATATATATTTAGAAATAAGATATCATTGTGAATATTAATTTTTTCGTCTTTTATCAACTGTTTAAGTTTCTTTTCTACTTCATTCAATATATTATATTTACTTTTTGTTTTTAATTTTGAAAAATCCTTTACTTCTTGTAACTCATTAGTCAAATTTTCTTTATTTTTATCTTCATCTTCATTTTTACTTAATTTCTCAGTTTCCTTTTTTTTTTCATGTTCTTTTTTTCTATTTAAATAAATTGTATTTTCATTATTTTTCTTTTTTAAAAATTTATTTTCGTAATATTTCAATATATTGGATTTTGATGTAAAAGGTTTTTTAATTAAATCTTTTTTCTCTTCTTGTAATTTTAAAGCATTTTCACTTGCTTTTTTTACAATATTAACAAGAGATACTTTATTATCATATATGGTAATTAATTCATTTCCATCATCTAAGCGAATATCTTTTTTTTCACTTTTTTCTTTTTTCTCTATGGCACCCAAATCATTTCTTTTTCTCGTATCAACTGAATGTATTATACTTTTTGAGCAACAAATCATTTTAAAAAAAAAAAATACAAACTAGTAACAATATATACAAAAAAATGAAATATAAAGTTTAAATAAATAATTCTTATTAGAAATATAACAAAATTTTATAAAAAAACAAATTTTTTTTTTAAATGAATTAAAATAAATGTGTAGTAACCACAAAAAGTCATAATTTAGTTTTGATTAAAAGAATAATAAAAAAAAAAATGTTAAATATATAGTTTTACAACAAAAAAAAAAAAAAGAAAAAGATATACATGCATATATAATTTGACATGAGATAGATAAATATCAATATATATAGTAAGAACTATTTTTAGATATTTCTGTCTAAATAAATGATAAATAATTATTCTACGAAAAAAAAAAAAAAAAAAGAAACTAAAAAAGCGGAAGAAGTATAATTTAAGCTTTTAAAATATAATTCTAATGAAAAATTATTAAAAAGAAAAAAAAAGTGCAATGTTATTTCTAAAAATATTGATAATAAAAAATTAATATAAATACAAGAATTATTTTTATTTTAAAAATAAGTTTTATAATATAAAAAACTAATTTTAAAAATTAAAATAATTAATTTTTTAAAAGCATTTTTCGATTTTTATAAACTAAAAAAAAAAAAAAAAAATTAAAAAAAACAGAATATACAATTTTAAAAAACAAAAATAACATATATTACAATTCATCATCGAATAAAAACAAATGAATAATTAAATGAATAACATCAATACGTATTTTATAATCCATGGTTATGCTAATAAGGATTTTAAATTTTTTTTTTTTAAAATGTACAATTAAGAATTATTTCATGTTGCATGCTAAATTATTTTATTTTTCATTGATCAATTTTTTTTTATATTTTATTTTATCTTTCGCTTTTGTTAATTCATATACAAATTCATATGCTATATAATATTTATTTTTTATATATAAAGCAGCATTATAACAAATTTTTTATAATATTAAAATGTGCATAAATAATTAAATGAACAAAATTATAGAAGAGTATTAAAATTTTTTACAGTTATAAAGAAAAATAAAGAATGCACAATAGTGTGTTGGTATTTATGAATAATATATTAAAATGAAGTAATAAATAATACATTTGAATATATATATATATATATATAATTTAATTACATGCATAAATAAGCTACATAGTTTAACGTAAAACTGTATAAATAGCAGTAATGAATTAATAAAAAATGAAATATAATGAAAAACAAATAATTTAATAAAATGAATAGCAATTACGTAAATGAAATTTTTAATGAAGCTATTGAATATAAAGATACACAAAAAGAAAATAAAATAAAAATAGTTAATGATTTAGTTAAAAACTTCTGTCTTTTGAAAGAATTAAATTTGTTAGATGCTATTAAAAATGAGGAAAAAGTAGTTCCCAATATCAAACTGGATATTACGTCTTATGATAGCAAAAATATAATTTATGCTAATAAATATATTGTGGATTTTTTACAATTAAAAAAACAGAATAAGTTAAAATTAAAAGAAGAAAAGAAAAGAAAAAAAGAAAAGTACGAAGAAATATTAAATGAAAAAGATGTAATGAATATTACTAACACTTTAAACGAAAATGAATTGAATTTATCTGTCTATGAAAAAAATATTAAGAATTATAATGAATTAAATAATTTTCAAACTATCAATAATAGCTTATTCATAAAATATATTGATATGCCGACAATAAATCATAATAGCTTTCATATAAAATTTCTTCAGCTTTTAAATCTATTAATTAAAAACTATAATGCTTCATTAAATTTAATTAAAACACAGAAAAATGTAATGAATTATTTTTCTTTTTACACGGAAAATTTATTAATGAATAATAAAAAGTTAATAGAGAAAAATAGAAAATTACTTCGGAATAATTCTATTAATATGGAATTAAGAAGTAAGTTAACCGTCAATAATTGTACTGAAATAAAGTTACCTTTTACAAATCAAGATAATTTATCTTCTTTATTTCAAATACAAATTGATTTATATAGAAAGCATATTAATAATCTCTATAATCAAATTGATGACTTAAAAAAATTTTTAAATATATTCAATGTGCAAGATTTATCTTCTAATAATTAAAAAAAAAATATATATTAATTTTACTTGTATTGCATAATGAAAATATTTAATGCTTACATTTAAATGGAAAAACTCAATTTTAACAACTTTTTGATAAATTTTAGTAACTTTAACCTTTAAAGATTTTTGTTTTTTAGATTTAATTTTTTTTTTTCATTCATTATTTTTTAGAATTCAGAACAGAATGAAAAAATTCATTAAATACAAAATCAAATAATATTGATATTATTTCACATTATTTTTATTGTATTTTAATTTTTTTTTTTTTTTTTTCCTCTGAAAATAGAATGATACGGCCTATTACAGAACTACGAGAATAAATTTGTTTATGCAGTATATTTGTTTATCATATTCTATAAATTAATACTCAATATCAATTAATGAAAAAAAAAAAAAATAGAAAAATTTTAGTAAGAAAAATTAGAGCCTTTTATTTATTAAGGAATAAAATAGTTTATATTAATAGAAAGAAGAAAACAAAAAATAAAATTAAACAAAAATTTTTTATTTTCCAGTTTGAAGTCTAAAATAATATATAATATTCTATAATTTTTTCATAAATGAATTATTCTTATTTATTCCTTCTTATATATATGTATATATATACATAGACTTGTAAAATAAAAAATAAGCATTAACATAATACAAACCATGTAAATCGATATAAATATATACATTATTAATTTAAAATAAAGCTGAAATTTAAATATTTAATTAACTAAAAATTATATATTTCAATGGTATAAATTAAATATAACTAAAAAAAAAATAAAATATTTTATTTAAAATATAATTTTTTAATTTATACACCACCTTGATATTACACCTTTAAATTTATTCTTCATTACTAAAAATAATGATGAAAAGACTTTTATAATATGAGAAAAATAAATGAAATGGAAGGAAAACATATATTTCAATTAATAAAAATTTTCATGGTTTTTAAAAATTATTTTTCTTATATAAATATATATATATATATATCTGTATGTAGAATAATTTAAAAACATAAAAAATGAGTTCATACTCTTAATAATTTTTTTTTGTGAAAACTACATAATAAATTTTTTTTTTTTAATAGAACATAACGAATTCTAATATAATTTTTTTTTATACTATTTAAAAGCGAAAAAAATAATATAATAAATTTTTTTTTTTTTTTATCATATAGAAAAAAAGGATAACATCTGTCTACAGAGTGTTATCTTTTTAAATTTCATTTTTATAAAAAAGGAAAGATTATTCTCTTTCCAATATATGTAAATAATTAAATATAAATATGAAAATTGAATTCAAAGAAAAAACTAATGAGCAAATTATATATATATATATATATATATATATATATAATATATATTCCATTTTATTTTTTGTTAAACTTTAAACGTGTATTTTCTTGAATTATTTATCTAATTTATGAATAAAATGAAATATTTCTTTTTATAAATATTCATTATTACTAACATTTCTTACATATTTATTTTAGATACAATTACAATATGTAGTTTTTCTGCTACCCGTTGGTATTTTTTTTAATCGTAATGTATAATTATTAAAACTTGAATTATTCATAAATCCAGGTGTATTAAAATTATTATTTAATGGCATTTTATTTCGTACATTACTAATGAATAAATCTGACTCATATATATTTGACATTTTTATCGTATTACTTGGATTTTCCAGTACTTCAGAAGTGTAAGCATATGGTATATATTTATTGTTTATATTGAATAAAGAACTAAAGTTCTGTACTGTAGGTTCCCGTCTTTCATAAAAACTCTTATTATTATTTGGAGTACAGCATTTACTAAAAATCCAATTAGAATTTTGTCTTCCCTCTTCTGTTTTTTTGAATATTGTAACATGATCACATAAATTATTAATGTGTTTATATGGTACTCTTTCTGTAATTAATTCTTTGGATGGATTAAGTTTCATATGAAGTGATAAATCTCTTAAAGATACTGCCGATTTATTCCTATTGAAATTAAATGATGGATTTTCATATAAATTAGATAATCCATGATTTCCTACACTTTGATTTCTTTTTTTTTCTTCATATTTTTTATTAGTTTGCCCTTTATTTATAGTTGAAAGTTGAGGTACCTCTAATTTAGGTATATATTTAGAGTATGTATCTCTAATGTTTGTATTTAAGATTTTTTTCGAAACATTTATATTTATTAATCTTTCTTTGAGAGCATCATCTATACTTAATGGATCTAATTTATTTTTATTTTTTTTTAATTTTTTTGTAGATGAAGAAAGTGCAATAGAATGTGGTGTAGGTTTAACAGAAGAATTCGAAGTAGACATATTTAATTTATCATTCATACTTTTAGGTTTATGAATTCCTATTCTTGGAGTTAAATAGTTATTTTTTCCTTTATCCTTTATAGTTTTTATTTTTCCTGATACAAATTTTGTTAATTCATTATCTCTTCCTCTATTAGTTATTTCATCATCATTTATTACTTTGTTTTTTTTTGGAACCTTTTTATCTTTCATCTTAAATACATTGCTTGTTCCTTTTGGCAAAATTTCGATTTTTAACTTCCTCATTTTTTTATCCATTTTTATCTGTGAAGGTATAACTTTTATCTTTTTTGGAATTTTCTTAATTAATTTATCTTCTTTATTTATGATATCACTCATATTTATCTTCTTAGTTATTTTAGATTTTAGTTTTTTAACTGTTTTAACTTCTTTTAAGGTATCATTAATTTTACTATTTTCAAAAATTCCTCTCGATGATGTTACATTTTTTACTAAAATTGTTTTCTTATTTTTTCCATCACTAAAGGAACTAAATTTTTTTATAGATGAGGTGTTAGATTTGCCATTTAATTTTGATAATTTAGAACTTAAGGTTTTTCTATTTTTAAATAATGTTTTTTTATTAAAAATCCCATTTTCATTTATCTTATCTTTTTTTTTAATTTTATCTTGTTCAGATACATTTTCAGTGTTTTCAGATTTTGAAGATACTACTGTTTTATTTTTAGCTGTTCTTATCCCGTGAATGTCTTCAGTTTTAGATTTTCCCAATATTTTTTTTTTCAAAGTAGAAATATTGCCTTTTGAAAGTGTTGTAGAAACTTTTTTGGAAAGATTTTTATTATTTTGTGAATCATCCTGAAAATCTTTTTTCATTTCGGTTGGATTAAATGATCCATTTACCAATTTTCCTAGTTTTTTTTGGTCTTCTACGTCTTTTACAGTATTTTTAGTTAATGAAACCTTTTTTAAATCAGTAGATTTTTTCACTGATGCAATTTTTTTTTGTGTTAAAAATCTATGAATACTACTTTTTGTTAAATCACTAGTATTTTCATTTTTAAAATTCTTTCTTTCTTTCGAATTTCCGTCAATTTCCATTTTTGATTTAAAAGAAATTGAATTATTCTTAATTATTGCTTTTTGCTTTAATCCCAGAGGAGTTTTTACATCATGTTTTTTTGATAATAAATTATCATTTTTTTTTGGAACTCTTTTGTTTAATTTTAAGTCTGCACTTTTTTTTATATCAGCTTTTCTTTTTTCCATTTCTTTCGAATTTTTTACCACTTCTTTTTCTGGATCAGATTCCTTTTTATCATCTAATTCATTTTCTTTTTTTTCTGCTCCTAATTCTTTTTCATCACTTAATTTTTCCTTTTCTTCTGTTTCAGATTCTTTTATATCATCTAATTTCTTTTCATCCGTTTCCATTTCAAGTTCCTTTTTATCATCTAATGTTTTGTTTTCTTTTTCTTCTTGAGACTTCATGTCATCTAGAGCTTTATCTTCTTTTTCTGCTTTAAATTCTTTTTTTTCATCTGATGATTTATCTTCCTTTTCTATTTCAGGCTCTTTATCAAATATTTTTAATTCTTCTTTTTTTATTTCAGGTTCGTCTTTATCACCTAAATTTATCACATTTTTTTCTTCATTTATTTCTTCTCTTTTTATATCTACTTTTTTTTCTTCAAATGTGGATTTATCTATTTCTGTGTCATCTTTTTTTTTTAAATCATTTTTTTCTGTTGAATCTTTAAACGACTTTTCTTTCTTATCCTGAGTATCCTTATCTTGTATTCTTTTTTTTTTATCTTTTTCTTTAGGTTTCATTTGTTCTACTAATTTTGAGATGGGTTTTTTTAGTAGAATTTTTTTTGTATCTACTGGATCTTTCGGTTTTTTAACAAGTTCTTTTTTCAAGGAACTAATTTTCATTGTAAATTTTGGCTTTGTTAAAAGTTTTTGAGAAAGTAGTGAACTTTTTTTTTCTTCATTAGGGACATTTATGGTATCTCTTGATTTCTCAGAGTTATGGATTTCCTTATTTTTTTTTTCTAATACATTTTTTATATCTTCTAATGTCTTTTTTGCAGTTGCTTTTAGTGGAATTTTATTCTTAGCATTTTTCTCTTTATTTAACAAAGGCATTATCTTAGGTGATATTTTTATAAATGATTTTTCCATTTTATTAAGATTATTTTTTTCTTTCTCTTCATTAGAAATTACCTTTGAAGGAACCAGATTTGATTTAATTGTTGCTTTAGGATGTAATTTTGGATTATCTGTTATAGTATTTTTTTTTGGTAAAACTCTAAAAGTACTTTTTTCTTTATTAGTATCTAATGGTTTTCCCATAATTGCGCTTTTGTTATCAGTAGGTTTTTTCACTATATGTGCTTGTTTTAAAGAATTTTTAAGCAATAAAGGAGGTTTTTTTTGTGTGTTAGATGATTTAGGTAGTCCTGATATTTTATATAGAGATCCATTTTTATAACTTTGTTTATTATTATCTTTAGGAATATTTTTTGTAACTGCTTTAGCTGGAACACTGTATGATCTCTTACTAGACAATGGATTCTCAGATTTTCCACTTAAAGTTGGATTTTTTATACCTATATTTTTTGCAAAATCTTGAACATTAAGTACTTCCAAAAGTCCCTTAACTTCAATATATAGCGGTCCACTACTATTAGTCCTAGTATTCGTTTTCTGGGATGGAATAACACTAGATTTTACATTTATAGAAACCTTTTTTTCAAGGTTTTTATCTTCATTTTTTTGAATATCTTTACCATTTTTTCCTGTTTCAATTATTTTGGATGAATTTTTTTCATTCTCATTCTTATTTACAGGATTATTTGGTATTTTTTCAGGTAAGTTTAAAGTTGAAATATTTTGATCAGAAACTGGATATGGTACAGAGATCTTCTGTTGGTTAATTTCTCTTTCATTAGTATTAAAATTCTTATTACTATTTGAAGGATCTAAACGTGTGCCATTATTTTCCTTCATTTCTTCATTAACTCCTTTTGAGTCATTTTCATTTATGTTTTCAATTTCTTCTTTTTCATTATTATCTATTTTTTCTAGATTTTCACTTGGTGTTTTATCTATTTTTTCGATTTCTTCTTTTTCTTTATTATCTATTTTTTCTAGATTTTCACTTGGTGTTTTATCTGTTTTTTCGATCTCTTCTTTTTCTTTATTATCTATTTGTTCAAGATTTTCAAATGGTGTTTTATCTGCTTTTTCTATATTTTCAAGATTTTCACATGGTGTTTTATCTGTTTTTTCTATATTTTCAAGATTTTCACATGGTGTTTTATCTGTTTTTTCTATATTTTCATTTGATGTTTTATATTCTATAGCAGTTTCTTGTCTTTCTTTTGTAGAATTATCTGACATATCGATGTTCACATTATTTTTAATATCCATTACTACTAGGTTTATTCATTACTATTATATAAAAACTTTTTTTTTTTTTTTTTATGTTACATAAGTGAATAAATTAAAAATTACTATAAAAAACAAACAAAAAAAAAGATAAAATTTTTATATGTGTGCATAAAAAAAAAAAAACATAAATTAAGAATTAAAGTGGCTAGAGAATAAAATAAAATTTTAAAAGCATGCTATAAAATATTTTTTTATGTATAAAATAAATAAAAAAAAAAAAAAAAGTTATTTTAAAATTTAATTATGAATATCTTATTTGTATTAATTGTAACCATAAAAGAAATTAAGTATATAAAACAAAAAGAGAAAAAAAAAAAAAAAAAAAAAGCTATAATATTTTTGAAAAAAGTATTGTAGGTGACTTGCTAATAAAAAAATATATTAAAAAGAGTTTAAACAATAGATATTTTTATATATACAGTTATCTCCAAAATTTAATAGATATATATAAAATTATTTATCACATTATTATAAATTAATTAAAAATAGAAATGTAAATGCACTAGTAGATATAGTAAGGTTTTTGCACTGTTGTAAAAAAAAAAAAAAAAAATAATAGCTAGCTTAGGGTAATAAAATTTTATTTTAGCATTACTTTAATATTACAAGATCATTAATTTTTATAAAAGAAATTACATAAATCATAATTACTGATTCTATTCATATATAAAAGAGTAGGAAATGTTAAAAAATTAAGGGAAATTTTTTAACATTTTTTTTATAACGTGAATTTTTGTGATATATTTTATGTAAAATGAATTTTCTAAACTTAATATATAACAAAAGAATAAATAGCTACGTATGAAATGTAATATTAAGAGAAAATTAACATAGTTTTATGAAATGCTAAATTTTGTGGTTTCTATTACAAAAATGTAGCTGAAATATTTCTGTTGCTTTTTTTTTAAGTTTTTACTATAAAACATATATTTAAATATTTGTTAACTTTTAATTTAAAAATTATTAAATGTGTTATGATTTCCTATCTTAATTTTTAAAATAATTAATCCTTTTTTATTGGTATATAATATATTTTTTTTTTCTATATATATTTCTCTTTTTTTTTAATATATTAGGCAATACAAGCATCAATAGAATAAATTTTATTTATATTTTTTATTCGTAAAAATTATTAGAATTTTTCTATACATGAAGCGTCAGCATGTATTTTTATATTTCTTTTTAAGATTAAACGAATAGAATTATAAAAATTTTTAATATTATAAACAATAAAAGGATAAATTTATTTTTATCTTGATTTATTTCTAGAAAATGTATATGAATTTTAAATATTTTTCATACAAAAATATATAAAATTTTATTTTATTTTTGGTCATAAATGTATGTAAATTAATTTTTTTTTTCTACCTTCTTGCTATTAAAGAAATAAAATTTACAACTTCTGTGTGCAAATAGAGAGATTTTTTTTTTTTTTTTTTTTCATAAATATTATCTGACAGGAAATATTTAATTATATTTAAAAGACAATTTTTTTTATATAACTAGATTGTTAGTTAAAATTTTATTTAAATTGATAGCTAATATTTTACTGAAGTGTTAAATTGTATGTACATTTTCCTCGAAGTTTTCTTTTTCTTGAGGAGTAATTAAATTGTTATCATAAACAAATTTAGTATTATGCTGGCAATAGTTACACTTATATGAAACTAAATATTCATCTTTTGATTTTATATTAAAATAATTATTTTTTTTTATAGAATCTTTTATGTGTTCATTTTTATCAATTTTTTTTTTTTGTAAATTCAGTGGATCAACCGAAACTTTACAAGTTACACTTGGAATAAGAACTGAATTACATTTTTTGCAAAATAATTTTTTGAATTTTTTATCATATTTTATTAAAAATTTATTGGAAAATCTTCTCATAGTTTTTATGTATTCCCTGGATATATTAGGATTAAATTTATTCATCAGAAATGATGCTTGCAATAAATAATTTATTCTAATCATTTGATTTGTCGGTTTTATAATTTCTGTGTTATTATTACTTTTTTTTTTTTTTTTTTTTCTTTTTTTTCGACTTGAATGATTTGTACATGATTCATTTATGTACATTTCTTCATGTATATCTTTATTTTTTAATAAATCCTTTTCTGTTTCAAGAAATTTTTTTTTCTCACACAATAAATTATCAAATGTATTGTTTTCTTTAACTCTTTCATATTTATTTTCTTTGTCATTTATATCAATTTTAGAGTCACTACTTAATTTATTTTTAGGATCTTCATCGTAAAAATATATGTCACTTAACTTTCTTTTTATTTCATTACATTTAATTTGATTTTTTAATAAATGGTTTTTATTGATTCCTTTTACCTCACTTTTTGAATTATCCATATTTTTATAAAAGTTGAATTTTTTTATGACTTCATAATATTTATGTTTAAAATATACTAATGAATTAATATTAATTAATTGTTTACCAGCACTAATTATCTGAATTACAAAAAATTAAAACAATTTCACAAAAGTAAAATTATGCTTATGCGTAAGTTTTATTTTTAAATTTTATTTTATTATTCTTTTCACTTATAATTATAAAGTGAAAAATATATATAACTACATATTTTTAATGTATAATTATTTTTTAAAAGAAAAAAAAATTTATTACTATTAAAAAAAAATTAAAAATGTTTTTTGTATGATTGTGATTGTTTTATTTTCACATACGTTATCATGAATATTAGAGACTTACAATTTTTATTTTTTATTTAAAAATATTTATGTTATTTGATATACTATTTTTCTTTGTAATATTTTCTATTTAAATTGGAATATATAGAGTATTATATTATTTTAAGATCTTAATTTTTAACATAGAATTTTTATAATTTTTTAGAGGAAAAAGAGAAGATAAAACTAAATGTAAGGTTGTGCTTTATAGGAATATCACAAGTTTCTTTTTAAGTTTTTTGTTCTACTTTTTTAATTTATTTATAAAGAAAAAAAATCAGTGAAAATTATAAGTTTTTTAAATTAATTTTTTTTTTAATTGTTTTTGTGGATTTTTTTTAAAATTAATTGTGCCTAAATAAGAACGTAATATAGTCACATATATGAAAAAAGTAAAGAAACACATAAATTTATAACTTTTTTCTTGTTATTTTTTTTATGAAAAAAATACATATTTTTGTATTAAAAACAAGATATAAAAGATATAAATTGAACAAAGAAAACAAAAATATAAATGCTACCTCATCTTAACATTTTTCCAAAAATTTTTTGTAGCATCTTTCATAAATAGTAATATAATATGCAAAGTAAAAAGGGTTAACTTTTTATGTATCATATAAATTAAATACATAATTAAATAATAATTTTGAAAATGTTAATAGGTTTTCCTTATTATATTTTATCTATTTTTAATATTAAGATACATAGAAAATAAAAGCACATGTCTATTTTTTATATAATATTTCTTTAGTTTTTTTTCCTTTTATATAAAATTTTATTTTAATTAAATTTTTTTTCTTCTCTATTTTAATAGATATATGTGTATGTACACATATAACCTTTATAACTTTATAATAGCATATTGTAATTACTATCTCTATAATATTGGAAATAGTTGATATAATTTAAAATAATGATAATTGTTTAAAATTAAACCAAGAATTTATCTATGGTATTATATGTTTTAGTTAAATTGTATTTTTATTATTATGTTAATTTGTATATAAAAATGTATTATTTAACATTTTTGAATTTCTTTGTATTAATTATTACTATGTGTAATAATTCAATAAAATGTTTAAAAAAAAAAGAAATCTTAAATGGAGATTTAAAAATATTAATCGGGAATTTAAATGAAACTATAACATTAAACTGTGATAATTATAAAAGCATTCATATTTTAGATGCAAGTTATGGAAATCCGTCAATTGATAAATTTTTGATAAAAAAAGGTTTCATTATATATATATATATATATTATTTAATTTAACAGAAAAAAAATTATATGTTTTCATTATAAAATTTATCTTTTTAGATTCATTAGATGCACCACATACATTACCAGTTGTTCAAATGATTTGTGAAGGAAGAACAAATTGTGATGTAAAATAAATACTATAATATAAATAATAATTACAATGCTAATAATAAATAGCAATTATATTAATTATAAAAACAAATTATTTAATGAATTTAATTACTCTTATTTTTTAAAGATAAATATAAATAACGATACATTCAAAATATTATCTTTGATAAAAGATTTTCATAAATTTATTGTAAAATATTCTTGTGTGTCTACTAAATTAAAAACTTTCCCTTCATGTATAATGATAATATATTTATTAATATTTTCAAAAAAAAAAAAAAAATAAAATTATATATTATAAAAAATAAAAATGAAATAGCAATATATCTTTATACGTGCTTTATTTCTATAATATTTTAATAGATAAAATAAAATCTAAAAGAGGAGATAATTATACATGGAATATTGAGTTTGAAGCTGGTTTATTATTGAGGAAAAACAAAAAATAAAATATCGAAAAGTTTAATGAGATGATATAAAAACTTTTAATTTTTTTTATAAATTTTATAGATGAAATATCAAATAAGGGAATATATCTTCATGTTAATGATGTGTAAATTTCATTAAATTGTTGATTAAAAAAATTATATATATATATATATATATATATATATATATATATATATATATATATATATATATATATATATATATATATTTCTTTTAATGTTTAATTTATTTTTATTTTTATTAAATAATAGAACTTCTTTTAATATTATCGTAATTTTATAGAAATGCAACTTGTGATTCCCCCTTGCTTAAAAAAAATTATTTAGATGTAAACGAGGCAGAACAAGAGTAATAAGAATATTTTTTGAATTATATATATTTTTTTTTTAATTTTTTTTTATATATTTATTTTAATTAGATGTAATAGCTTAAATAGTTGTGTATTTATAATTTTTAATAATGATGGCTATATATTGTGTGAATCATCTTTTTACAAAAATACCGTAATTCAAAAAAACGCTAAGGTATATTCAAAATTTTTCAAATAAATATAAGTAAAATATGGTTCAAGTATTGAAAAAAAAAAATATATTATTTAATAAATAGTTAATCAAAAAGAGCATATTATAATTACTATTTTTTTTTCTTTTTTAGATTTATATTAAAATGTCTTACAGTAAGGAAGAAAAAAATTAAAAATTTTTTTATTTTTAAAAAGATGAAAAAAAGTATAAATGTCTTTTATTTCATAACAGTACATGGAAACTTACCTAAGAATTTTGAAGTATTTCCTAATTTACAAGGTACAAAAAAAAAAAAAAAAAAAAAAAAAAAAAAACTAAGAATAGTAAAAGTATTTTAGATAAATTATCAATATATTTTAGTGAACATAATTTTATTTTAATATTTGAAGGAGTTTGTGAGACTAGTGAAATTATATATGAGAAAGACGAAGCTATGAATTTAGATGATATTTATAGTAATAATTATAAACTAGATATAAAATAATAATAAAACATTACAATTATTTAAATCATACTTTTTAGAAAAATGTAAAGAAATTGAATGTGATTATTTCACGGTAATTAATTATAATTTAAAAAAAAAAAAATAAAATTTTAGATAATTTTTTTTTACTTTTATTTTTAGATGTCCACTGCCAATGGGTTGGAAACATTTTCTTTTTCTATTTCTATAAAAATAAAATATTAGGATAATATTTATGCAACTATTTATTCTTTTTTTTTTTTTTTTTAAGTGTAAAAGGAGCATCTAAAAACTTCCGCAATCATGCTTGGTTTTGTAAAGGATTTCCTAAATATGTAACTTTTTTTTGTGATAAAATATATTAAAAATTAAAAGCAAAATGTTTAGTTCTATACAAAATATATTTCATAAAAAAATAATGAAATTAATTAGGTTTCTCATGAGGGATTTATTTTCGGAAAAAATAATAAAAAGTAATATTATAAAAGATGAAAAAAAAAATTCATAATTCTGTAGTTACAATTCATTTTTTGTAATTATAATAAATTGTGAAAAAAATATAATATAAATACTACTGTTTTTAACATTATTTATTTTATTTTTTTTTTTAATGTTTTTAGTTCAAGTGATCCTAAGCAAAGAATAAGTAAAAAGAATTATGAAAAAATTTAATTTAATTTTTTATATACTTCATATGTTTTATCTATAAAAACAACATTGTCGTTATAATATTCATTTATTCTTTTTTTTTTTTTTTTTTTTTTTTTTTTAATATTTTTTTTTTTTTTTTTTTTTTTTTTTTTTCAATAATATTATCTATTTTATATTATATTATTATTATTATCTTATTTTACTAATATTTTTTATTTTTTAATATCTTATTTTCAATTTGTTATTTCAAAAAGTATTCAAAGGTTATGAGGGTCCTTTGCGATGAGAATAAAAAAGAAAATAATTTTTTTTAAAAGTGAAATATTCTTATATTCATTTTTTTTTTTTTTTTTTTTAAAAAAAATTGTTTCAATAATTTTTTATTTTCTCTTATTTTTTGTTATTTTATCTAATAAAATTATTTAGTGGTATCAATAATCATTGTAAAGAGCAAAATAAAAATGATGTTTTATTTTATTTTATTTTAATTTTTTTTAATTTTTTTTTTTTTTTTTTTTTATATATTCCTAATATATATAAATATTTAATAATTTAAAATGAAAACAAAATAATATATGAGATGGAAAATGTATGTGAGTTAAATAAAAACGATGAAATAAAAAGGATTTTAAAAAATATAAAAGATAGTGAAAATACAAAAGAAAAATTTTGTAACATTTTATTGTTGACAAAAAATATAAAAGATTTAAAAGAAAATGATAAAATTAAAATTTTAAAAGCTATAGATATTGAATTTATTTGTTTATTATTGCGTTCAAAAAATGAATTTAAATTATTTACTCTTCGTTTAATAAATAGTTTAGTAGGTAATTCAACTTTTCTTTATTTAAAAAAATGCTTACCTTTTATTAATTCTATTATTTATTCTTATTTATCTTATATAAAAAATGCAAATAATGAAATAAATAAAGTTGAAAAAAAAGAAAATAACATAAAAATATATGAGAAGAAAAATGAAGAATATGTGAATAATTGTAAAATTGAGAGTGAAGAAGAAGAAAATAATGAATGGCATGAGGATGATATGAAAGATATCAATGTAATTTATAACGAATGCTTAATTTTTTTCTTAAAAATTCAACCATTTTTAAAAACAAAAGATTTTATAAAAACTACATACTTTAATAATGAAAATAATGATATTGATGTTGATGTTGAAATGTATTTTTTCAACAAAAGTTTAAAAAGAAAATATTGTGAAAACGTAGATTATAAAAATGAAAAAAGAGAGGTTAATGATATGAATGAAACATTAGATAGTGATAACTTAAATTCTGATTCTGCATTTTCTGAAGATGAAGAAAATGAAGAAAATTTTAGATCAAAAGAATATGATTTTTATTATTATGATAAAAATATTTGTTTAATTGAATTAATCTTTGATGTTTTAAAAGAAAATATTAATATTAAAGAATTAAAGAATGGAAAAAATAAAATAAAAAAAGAAAAAAGTGAAGATAAAAAAAAAGTAAATAGTAACGATATAGTAAATATAAAATCTCCGATGATTCATGAATCTATTTTTTCTGAAATACTATTAAATGAACAAAATATTAATATTTCTTTACTTTTTTTAAACAATATAATTTTAGAACTCCATGAAAATAAATTTATAAAGGAATATTTTTATTTATTGAATAAAATAGTTGAAAATTATGATAAACATAATATAGTTACATCAATGAATTGTTTGACTCATTTAAATATATATATAAAGAACAAAGGTTTTCATGATATATTAGATGAAAATACCATTTACAAGTTCTATGCAAATATTATATATTTATTTTCTCAAATCAAATATGAGAAAGAAAAAAAAGTTTTATATAAGTTATATTCAACCATATATTCCTGTCTTAATTTTATGTTTGTTAATAAAAATTCTATTGATATTTTAAAAACACCATTATCTTATATGAACGTTGAATTATATTTATTTCTTGAAGATATTATAAAATATGTAAATCAGAATGATAATAAAAATTTTACTTTTTGTAATAAACATTTCAAAAAAATGTTTCATTTAATATGTAAAAATATAGAAAATATCATAAATTTTGTTAGTTATAATTATTCGTTGAATGATGGATTTGAAATAAATAAAAAAATAGAAGAAAAAAGTGAAAATGAAGAAAATAATAATAATGAAGATAATATAAATAAAGTTAATAATTACACAAATAATAATAATAGTAATTTCAATAATAATAATAATAATATTAATAATAATGCAGATAATAACAAAATAAAAAGCATTTATGAATATACTAATGAAAATAAGAAAAAAGAACAAAAATACAATGACACATTATCAAAGAAAAGTTCGAACATATTAAGTAATAACAACTTAGAAATAAATGATATTTATATTGTTATTTCTAAAATAAAAAAATCAATTGATGTTTTATTAGAATTTTTTAAAGATATAAAAGGAAAATTTAAAGTTTTAAATGAAGATTCCAATGATTTTAAAAAATTTAAAAATGAGTTTAATGAGGAAATAAATTTAATGATACAACTGTTTTGCAATTATTTAATTCATGAAAATATTTATTATATTGATGATTTTATAAAACTATTAGAATTTTTTGCCATTTTTCTAGAAGAAAAAAACTTTTTTTTTCTTCTTATTGTAAAAAATGTTCATGTTGATAGATATTTTAATAACAAGATTTTTATCTCAAAACTTTTTCTGTATGTTTTTGATATCAGTTTGAAAAATATTATTCACGTAAAAATTTTATTTGATTTATTTAATAAATGTACTTTTAACATAATAGAATTTATAGAAATAAATGTGAAAAAGGATATTTCCGATAACTCATCAATTATTGAAAATTCTATCAGTAATTATGATTTAATTGAAAATTTAAATATATCAGTAGATAAATTAAATAACTTAAAATTTGTTTATACAATTTGTGAAGATGAATATAACAAAAACACCAATTGTAATTTCAAAGAAAATATAAAAAACATTATTTTATTCAGCACTTACTTTTTCTTTTACTACTATTTTAATATTTTGAATCAAAAAATTGAGAACTCATCTAAGCAAAAATTTGATATTGTTAAAGATAATTATTATAATTTATATAACAAGCAAATTGAAAAAGATGGAAAAAATTTTTTTCTCTCATTAAAGATTTTATTATCCATTTCTTCTTTGCTTTTTATGAGATTTGATGCTTATGTATTAACTCATATTTTAAAAAAAAAGGATATTCTTTTTATACAAGTATTTTATTATTTTATTATTATATTATTTTATTATTTTATTATTTTATTATTTTATTATTTAATTATTTTATTATTATTTTTTTCTTTTTTTTACTACTTTTACTTTCATTATAAATATACAAAATTAGTATTTCTTGTATACATTTATTATTATTTTTTAAATATATATTATAGATGCACAAATTCTGTATTATTTATTCACATATATACATTTAAATTTTTAATTTTTTGACAGGATTGCATGATTTTATCCCTTTTAAATTTGAAGTTTTTAAATGAATATAAAATGGATAATAATGAAGAAAGTCAAATAAAAAGAAAAAAGAAAAAATATTTTTTTCAAATTTTAAAACTAATTTATTTTATCATGTATTATCATCCTTATTTTATTTCTCTATTTATTTTTCGCCTAAAACAAATGAATGAAGTAATTATAGAATAAAAATATGTATACATTTAAAATCATTTTCATTTTTTTTTTTAAAATAAATATATATATTTTAAAATCATATTCACAGCTTTTCATGATAATTTTTCTTTCTCTTTTTTTAGGTAAATCATACAATATTTTTTGATACAAAAAAAATTAAAATGAAGGAAAAATATATATCTATTTGTATGTTCTTAAATAATTTTATAAAGAATTATGTATAAGAGGTGAAATATTTTTTTTATAGAATATTTAAAAAGCTTTTTTAGTTTTGTATTTAAATTTTCATATATTTTTAATTCTATTATTTTTAATTAATTCTAATCACATTTTTTAATCATATTTCTTTTTTTTTTTTTTTTTCATAAAAAGTAAAATTAGTGTATGTTTTATCCTATTGAATTTTATATTAATATTTATATTATCAAATTTTTTTATTTAACATTTTTTATTTTTTTTTTAATTTTTCTTATTTATTTTACATTAATTCAACTATTATTATTTATACTTAAAAATTATTTATTATTAATAATTTATACAAATTTAAAGTTTTTTTTTTTTTTTTTTTTTTTTTCTAATTTTCATTTTTAAAGAATATAACCTTCTTTATATAATTTTGAAAAGTATTATTATAATTATATTTTAATGAAACTAGTTGAATAAAAATAAAAAAGAAAATTTATATAGTGAAATAAAAGATTTTTGAGAATAAGCCTTTTTAGCCAATATGGGGTTGTTAGCATATATTATTAAAATTGTAAAATGAATTATAAAAAATAATAGGAATATAGATTTATATATGAACAAAAATATAAATATATCATTAGGGAAAAATAATCATTTAGTATTCATAAATTCATATATATATATATGTAAAGAGATAAGAGTTAATTAAAAGTATTGTATAATAATTTTATTATATTTAGAAGAAATATTCCATCTTTATAATGAATTCAAATTTAAAATATGACGAAAAATATTTATATAATAAAATATATGAACTAAAAAATTTGAAAACAATAAAAACAAATGAGTTGATAAATAATTATGTAATTTACTTTGTTTTATTTGTTAAAAAAATTATTGAAAAAAATGAAAAAAATAAAATATTAACAGAAATAAGTAAAGAAAAGAAAAGAAAAGAATTAATAAAAGAAAATATAGTGAAAATAAAGGATAAATTAAAAGTAGGTAAAAATGGATTAACATTAAAAGAAATACAATATAATAAAAATAGTGAGGAAAACAAACTGTTTGAAAAAGAAAAAAATAAAATAGAATATGAAGAAAATTCTGAAGACAATAGAAGTGATGATAAATGTAATTTTGTCAAAATATGTAATGATTTAAATTCTGCCTTTCACATTTGTATATTACTATTAGTTAATAATATAAAAAATAATGAAGAGGAATTATTTCATAAAAAAAGTTATGATAAAAATTCTTATTGTAGAGAGAGAAGCTATGAAGATTTAGATAAAATTGATAATACACAAATTATGGAACAACAAGAAAAGAAAAAGGAAGATGAAAATTTAAACAGAATTAATAAGAATAATTTATTTTTTCAATTAAATTTATTATATATTTCATTATGCTTTTATAATATGTATTTATTAAATGATAATAATTATTATTTGAATTTTAGCTTATTCTTATTTTTAAATAACTTTCATTATTTTAAAAATAAAGAAATTATTCATTATATTTGCATTGAAAATGTTTATGTAAAATATGAAATATCCGTACCAAAATTTTTATTTGATATTTGTAATACTATAGGAATAATTTATAAAAAACAAAAGGATATATATACTTCTATTTTTTTTTTTACCTATAGCTTTTTTTTTTTAAAATATATTAAAAAAGATGATAAAGATATGAATAAAGATAAAAAAGAAATTCAGAAAATAAATGTTTTGCAAAACCTTAATGAAATATTTTTAGAATTTAATTTTTTTTCAATTTCTACCTATTTTATTTTAAAAACTATCGATTTACACTTAATATTTTTAAAAAATAGTATTGAAAATATAGAAAGGGAGAAAAAGGAAATAGAATTAGAAAAAGAAAAAAATATAAAGATAAATGATGACACAAATAAGAGAGAAATAAAAAATAAAAGTGAGATAATAGAAGGATATTCTATAAATGAAAATAATATTTTACATTGTTCTAATAATTATAATAAAGATAATATTAATTATCATTTGGATAATGAATATAATAGTAATATAATAAGAGAGAAAGATATATATTTTGATGAAAAATTAAAAAATATAATGGATACATATATTTCATTATATAATAATATAAATGAATGTAGTTATATATTTCTAGATATGCATTTATTATCAATATATGAGCACTTAAATTTTGTTATCTTTTATATGACTAAAGATGTTTACAACCTATTTCATATATTAAAAAGAGAAAAAGAAAAAAAGATATTATTTGAGTATAAATATATGACTTATAGAAATTTATTAGAGATCTATATTATATATTTGAAGTACAATTATTTAAATTATTCTCAAAATGATTATAATTTAGATATTTATAAAAATGTACATCATATATATGAAAACAATGAAAAGATAGAAAATTTGTTTCATTCTTTGTTAAGAAAAAATAATTTTTATTTGGATGATCAAAAAAAAAAAAAAAAAAATGTAAATAGTGTTAATAATAATGAAATTATTAGTTGTGAAAATTTAGATAGTATATTTACTATTAATAATAATTTTAATAAAATGATAACTGATTATTCTGAGAATAAAGAAATTGCAAACAATAAAATAATAAATACTGACAAAAAATATATTAAAGAATGTTTTGATGATAAGAAAATTTTTATTTGTGATAATAATAATAATATAGAAAAAAATGTAATATATTTAGATAATGAAATAAGCATTGATACAGCAAATGTATGCTATGAAGAAACAAAAAAAAAATTATTTCTACAAACAAAAAGAAATAATTTTCATGATTTTTCTATATATGATAATAATATTATATATAGCTTCATTTTTCAACATATTTTAAAAGAAAATAAGTTAAATTTTGATAATAAAGAAGAAGAAAACATATTTTTTGTCAATAATGCTTACGAAAAAATGTCTTTTTTAAAATTTTTCCAAGATACCTTAAAAGATATGGATGAACTAGTTGAACAAATTTTTATTCTAATGATAAAACAAAATACTTCAATAAAAATTGAAATAGATGTAGATTGTTTTGAAGAATTTATTAAAATTTTTCAATTTAACAATATAAACTTGGCAAATATGAATATAAAATTTTGTAACTTTTCTAACTCAATATATAATAATTTGGCTATACATAAAATAAAAAAAATATATAAAAGTTTTTCTAAATATAGAAATAATAAGGAATATATTTCCTTTTTGTTATCAAAAAATAAAAAGGAAGAAAATTTAACAAAGTTTTTAAAATATATACACTATTTTTGTTATAATTATGATGAAATATTATTTTTATTTAAAAATATAAAAAAATATAAAAAGAGAAGTTTTGAATATTTCTCTTTATTTGATCAAACAACCTTTCATTTAGATATTTTATTAAACTCAAGTGAATCATATTTTTATTTCAACTTTTTTATTAAATCATTTAATTTATATATAAAGAATTATTTAGAAATTATAAATTCCCTAACATATCCTATAAATTACATAGAAAATAAACAATACTTATTTTATAAAAGGGAATTAATTTTAAAATGTGCTCTTTTGTTAAAAGATGTTTATATATGTAAAAAGTTAAATACATTTAATGAAAATATTTATTTTAATACAATTAACCAAAAAAAAAACTTAAATTTTGATGACAATCTCAGTGGTATTTTAAGTTTAGAACAAAAAAAAACTATAATGCAGATAATGAAATATTATTTTTCTTTTTTAAATACTTATGAAAAAGATGATAAAACTAATGAAATAATTTTTGAAAATGAAGAAGAAAAAAAATCATATTTTGATATATATTTTTATGTTTGCAAAACTTTATCATCAGTTGATGATAAAATTTTTATATCTAATTCAATACAACAATATAAATACTTATTAAATTATTCCTTAAAATACAAAATGTATGAAGATGAAAAATATAATGAATATATGCAAAATCTTTGTAAAAAATCCATTTATTTATTAAATTTAAAATTAAACGAAATGAATTAATTTTAAAATAATAACATTTATATTTTCTTTTTAATAATATTCCTTTAATATTATATTCATTTTTTTTTTTTTTTATTGAATAAATTTACTTATATTTTTATTATATTTAATTAAAAATATGGTGTTAATTTTTTTTTCTTATATATTATTTTACGTGTTTTTTTTTTTTTTTTTTTTTATAAACACAAGAGAAAGAAATAAGTTTATGGATATATTTTGTTTGTTTGTATTTATTTTTTTTCTACTAATAAACAATTAATTTTTGTAATTTTTTTTTATTTAATCTTTTTTTTTTTTTTTTTATTAAGAATGCTAAATTTTTTCTTGTTAATTCTTTTTTATAAACTATTTTAAATATGGATCGCTTTGATGAATTCATACATTTGTGTAAAAAGTTTGATAAAAATGTGGATTTCGTGAAAAGAGAAAAAAAAGAAAAGGATTTTTTTCTGATAAAAAGTAGTGAAATATATACAAAATTATTTAGTAATTGTGAATATATAGATAATAAAACTTTAAAAAAATATGGATTATTTTTAAAAAATAAATACATAAAAGAACATAAAACAAAAATAAAAAATAAAGATCATTTAATATATTCTATAAAAAAAATATCAGAAAATATAAAATTTTTAAAGCCACAAATTGAAATACATAAACATATTTTAAATTGTTTAAATAATTTGTTAAGCATATTTATTGATATAATTAATAAATATGAACATAATTTAAATAATTATCTTTTTAAGCTAAATAAATATACTAATTTTTATTTTTATGATATTCAAAGTATCAAATTTAATTTTGATTATCTTAATAAATTAAATAATATTATATATTCTGATTTTTATAATAATCAGCCAAACGAGTTTAATATTGATTCTTCTTTTGAATGCTCTTCATTTATGAAAAACAAAAAACACAATGATTGTGGAAATAATAAAAGAGTAAATTTAAAAAATGAAGATAATAATGATGATGAAAAGACACTGTTAAATAATGAAAATTATGTTAATGATAAAAGCACAAAGTTAAATGAAATTTATAATGGTGATAATAGTAATAAAAATTTAAGAAAAAGAGAAAGTAATAAAATAAAATTTGAAAGGAAAGATAATAATGATATATATAACAAATATAACTATATAGAAGAAGAGGAAGAAAAAAAAAATGATTGGATGCATAATAATAGTGTTTTTCATGATGATTATCCTTTAAATAATAATCAAAAATTAGAATTTAAAAAATATGTTGACCTATTTGAAAAGGAAGAAAATACTTATATAATGGAAACAAAAAAGAAAGTAGCAAAAATAAGTAATTTAATGAATGTATTTGTTAATAAAATATATGAACAAAATGAAAATTTAAAAATGATTGAAAACATAATAGAAGAAAGTATTGAAAATGTATCTCATGGTAATATTTATTTAAGCAAAATTCAAAAGAAGAAAAATTTAAATTCTCTTATATTTTTTGTTTTAATATGTGCTTCTTTTTTCTTGTTTATATTTGATTTTTTTAGATAATAAAAAAAAAAAAAAATTTATGTATATTATTAAAAAAAAATATATTGAACGCACAATTTTTTTTTTTTTTTCGTTATTTAATTATTCTCATGAAAATTATATAATTTATAAATCATATTCTTTTTTAATTTTGTCTAATTTTTTTATTTTTTTTTTTTTTTTTTGTACCTATTTTTCTC